GATGTATCATTTGCAGACAATACACTGGACAGAAAGAGTTTCCAAGGATATACAATCAAACTGTTCAATAGCCTCATTGCATGGAAGGCAAACAAGTGGCAAAGGAAGCCATGTTTATTTCAAGACTCCTCAAAGAACTGGAGGTTCCACTCCTAGAGTAGACAATAACCATCCATTGTGACAATCAACAAACCATCAGGCTCCTCAATGCGGAGATCTCAAGGTTGCAGACCAAGCTCAAACATGTGGACATTCACAATCACTGGCTGAGGCAAGAGATATTATCTGGGATCATCAAGATTGAGTATCTGCAATCAGAGAGGATGCTAGCTGATGGGTTTACAAAGGTATTACCTGAGAATAAGTGGAACAGGTTCTTGGAACAATTGGGGCTGCAAAGAGTGAAGGGCTCAAATGCCCTGAAGGAGATAGACTTGGATGAAGTGCAATGCAAGTTGGAAGATATGCTATTCTGAAGAGGAGATGCTGTTGGGTCCAGCTTGCAATGGGTTCCAAGCTGAGGGGGTGTGTCAGATGGTAAGCCAGTTTATGGATATCCTATCTGGGACTGGAGAGGAGGACTGGGAGAAACTGTCTGTACCGGTACTGTCTGAGGATATGTGGCTAGTGATTCTGCAGTGGCTAGTGCCCTGCACAGCCTTGGTGCCCAGAGAAGGAACATCAAAACCGGTGTCAGGCCTCAGCCTCACACACACAGGCACACACCTGAATACAATCAGTCAACCCATCTTCAATCAATCTTTCTGTCACCGTGACATCTTCAGATACCATCAAATCTGACACATCCACATAAGAACACACACCTGAATACAATCAGTCAACCCACCTTCAATCTTTCTGTCACCGTGACATCTTCAGATACCATCAAATCTGATACTTGGGCTTACTGTGGTATCCGGCCGAAGTAGTATAGCTGGTCCGCGTACGACAAGGGTACTCAGACCATATAATCAAATGTTATTACAAGATAAAAATATGAGTAGCACCCGTATCTTGTATAGAACTCCGCGTACCTCTGTCACATCATGCATCTACCTACAATCAACACGATGCCTGAAGCCCCATCTACGCCTCCTCACCACCACCACCGATATCTCACTCACGATGAGATTGTTGAGGCCCATACCCTACATCGAGCAGGCCATAGCTACACGTTTATTGCGAACCAGCTTAATTGCACTAAACAACAAGTTGGTTATGCAGTAACCAAGAACTTCGTCATATCTAAAAAGCACTCCGGTCATCTGCCTCGTCTTACTGATGCCCAAGTTGATGAGCTTGAGGCATACATCCAATCGTCCCACAACACCTGACAAATGAGCTACCTCCAACTTGCTCAGGGCCCCTTTGAGCACTGGAGCATTGGTGAATACACAATCAGGAGTGCTCTATGAAGAAGAGGGTACAGACACTGTGTAGCTTGAGCTAAGCCACCCTTTACTGAGGCTAATCAGTAGATTCGTCTTGAGTGGGCACAAGCTCACATCAACTGGCAGCCGTGGGAGTGGTAGAGGATCTTATGGAACGATGAGACCTGGATAACTGGTGGGCAGCATCGAAAACAATGGGTTACAAGAAAGCTAGGAGAGGAGCTTGATGATATGTGCTTGGTGGATAAAATTCGTAAGAAGTGTGGATAGATGTTTTGGGCATGTTTCTCAGGCATGTCAAAAGGCCCTCATCTCTTCTGGGAGAAAGAATGGAAGTCGATCAACAAAGAGAGCTACTGTGATCGAATTATGCCTCTTATTGATAGCTGGCTACGTCTGAATCCTCACCTTAAGTTCATGCAAGATGAGGCACCTGGGCATTCAGCTGCATATACAATGGAGGAGCTCTCATCAAGGAGTATCCACCCAATCTTCTGGCCAGCATTCTCTCCCGACCTAAATCCGATTAAGGCTGTGTGGAACAAGATGAAAGACTATATAGAGCAATTCTACCCTGAGCAAGAGGGAGGGAGGCAACTTACGTATAATCAACTACGTACGGTGGTTCAAGAGGCGTGGGAGTCAATCACAGTGGAAGTGCTTCGAGAGCTCATTGATAGTATACCAGCTCGTCGCCAAGCTGTGATTGAGATGGAAGGAGGTCACACGAAGTACTGAAGTTTGTATGTAACAATAGACAGATGTGGAAAAGCGTCATTTGAATGCATTAGCTAAACACCCCTGTCGTGCGTGGACCAGCTACACTACTTCGGCCGGATACCACAGTAAACCAGGCTCCACTGCGGGAACTAAAACGAAACCACCCACAGAAAACCTAGGCGTGTTTGGAATCGTTAACACGCTACACTCATCAACCCAGGCATGCCTACTATCTGGCCGCGATCCAAACTTGGGCTATTCCTGGCAATAGGGTCCCATTTTGGGTTTCGCAGTGGACCACGTTTTGGTCCCCCGCAGTGGACCAGGTCCCGAGGGCGGGTTCCAGGTTTTAGCCCCTCCAGATCTAATCAGATGATGGCCTGTGCTTAATCTCTTGGCGACCGCTTCTTCGCCTGCCTTTCCCTTCAGAAACACCAACGCCCATGCCAACATCTCTCTTCATCCACACCGAAAATCGAGCGCCTCCAGTGCAAGGTCATGGCAGGTGCGGGTTGACCGTCCTCCCTACTAGCGTGATTGATGCGTTCGTCTGCCTCTTAAGAAATTAGCATATGAGTCTAGTCATCTGCAAACTCGCCGCTGCAACTCACACCTCCACCCAAAGGGAGTTGGCAAGGCACAGTGGAAGGAGCTCACCGCGCTGCCTGGCTTTCAGGTGCAATTCTTCGGTATAACGTAGCGTCCGTCTTCTTGTATGCTCGCTAACCTCAATAGCTAGAAGTTAATATTCTCGCACATCCGGGCGAGTTCAACTCTAAGACAAATATCTCTACAATATGACCATCACTCGATCAGACCGCACACATCCGATAAAGTCCCCTCAAGGCAAACCCCACATTACAATTTGGATGATGCATGGTTAAAACGCCTCGCTTTCACTTCCTTTTCCCCCTGCGAGGCTTACGTTTCTCTAATAGATCCAGCTCGACGTCGATTCCAACAGCCATCCTAACATATTCTGAAAGAGTATTAGGTTTACGTCGCATGCAGAGTACTTCCTTGACTCGATCTTTCAACCCTTTATAAAAGAAGGCCATAAGTGCGCTATCTCCCCATTGCAGTTGAGAAGCGAGCTTCTCGAACGCAGTAGCATATTCCGATGCTGATCGTTCCTGGCGCAAAGACAGTAGTTTTTTTCCAGCAAGCTGAGTTATTGTTGCTGGGTCTAGCCACCGTGTGCATTCGCTCACGATGTGGTCTCGGCTATTGCCTGATATCTCCATTAGCATGCTTATATACGAGCTCACTGAGGGTGTGGATTACGTACATCCATAGCAGTGTGGTTCATTGGCATAGTGACCATATTCACCGCCTCAATACGTTAGCCAGACTAGATCGGCCTCAAAGTAATGGAAATCTCACATTTATAGCAATGTAGATCATTGGCAAAATGTCCATGTCGGCCACCTATAGTTGTTAGCAATGACAGAACGACAGAAGGAGAATTCCGATACGTACACTTGGAACAAGGAGCTTGATTGACATGGATGCTGGGTTCATCCCTTTGTAGTGACTCTTCAATTTCTTTCTGCAGCCTTTTGAAAGCGTTGTTGCCTTCTCCATAAATAGCTGGCATGAAAACGCCGAATATTCCCCATAGGCAGTATGCGGCGTCTTCTTCGCGTTTCGTATCTCGATTTGCAGCCCATGACATCCTCTCTTCAACACTGAAGTGTGAAAGTGGGCTCCCCTCGAGAGCCTTACTGTTGATTCCAGTAATGGTTTGGATCTCTTGGACCAGTGACTTTCTATCTCCAAGGTACTCGCCCTCTGCAGAATAAAATTCGACGGATTTTGGAGCTAGTAGCTCTTGTAGTGTCCAGCCCCGCGTAAACCATCTACTTCGCTGAAAGCTTGGTACCCATGTTGCTCGAGGCAATTGGCCCTTCCCTTTAGCGCTGTCGACAGAAACGTCGGACAGATAGACGTAACATTTGGCGGCATTAGCGTACCAACGGAACATGGAGTTGATTGCTTCTGTGAGCTCGGCACTACTAGACTTGTCGATGCAACATGTGTCCAGCCAGAACCACTCGAGGCTGTCCTTTGCAGCTTGCTTTCCACAGAACGTAAGCTTACGATATTCTGATTTGCTCTTTCCTCCTCCTTCCAACACGTCCTGAATCGTGAGTTCCTCTTGATCTGGTCCCCAAGTGTGTGAGAGAATTGCGTATGGTGGAATGTCTCTGCCAATATGCTCCTTCAGTCTGAAAAAGCCGTCGGCTTCAAGTCGTAAAAGTCGCATCAGAAATTATTAAGCCGATGAAGTTGGTTGGAATCGATGTCTACGATAGAATCCCACGTTAACGTCAGTTGCGTAGCACTGAGGTGAGGGTTTCGGGTTGTATGTTAGGCAGCAACGATAAGGCTAAATCGCATAAGCTGACTGTCACGTGAAGAGAGATGCATGATTAGTAAATTTATATAACAATAACAGCTAGGGGTAATTGTGGGCGTTGCTTGGAAGCAGAGCTGGCTTAGTGTATCTGCCTGATGTGATACCGGTAAATGAACCTCTGTCCCTTCGACAAGAAGGTTTCTCGCGGGCGAGTCTATGAACGACGCAACGCTCGGCGAAAGCTAGAGTTAATTCTATATACAAATACTTGGAACCGAATGCCGTACCGCGTTTATGCAGCAAATTCTAGCGACGCCTCAGAGCATCGGGGCCATCTCTAACTCTCTGCAGCCGCAACGAAGCATTCTCGCCTCCAAGGCAACCCTGTGGCCAGTGCGGCTCGACCGTCCTCCCTGCACATGGTGGCAAAGTTTGGTGCCACATAGTTTATGTTACCGTATCGCCACGCATAGCTATGCTTACATCTAGTAATACCTGTTCTACCTTTGCACTAGCTCAGTCCCATCCATTTAAAGCAGCATCAAATGTCCTAACCCCCATACTATCTGTTGACATACAGCCAGAGTTTCAAGTGATGACTTTGTATCAGGATGCTGGCCGCCGAAGACCTTTGTCTGCATCCGGGCGCATGTTTGCGGAAGTATCAAGGCTTTCTGGTTGCGGCTCTGTTAGGGAAGCGGGATGTTCATCGCCCAGTATCCGCACCTCCAGGTCTTCAGCTTCCATCAACCGGCTTTGACTGCAAAATATTGATGCTAAATTGGCCATGCTGGTGGCTTATTGGGGTGCTCGTTGGTGCATCGCTTCGGCCTCTTTGTACTTGCCCTGGCTCTTCAATACCGACCCAAGCTGGCTGACGCTGGCGAGCGTGTCCGAGTAGTCATCGACGAACGCCATCGAGCTGCCGTGTCGTGGTGTGCTCTGTACGAGACCAGCGTTGAAGAACAGGAAGAGGATCAGAGCGAGCACTGATCTCTGGGGAAGACCAGCCTGCGGGAACCTCTGCACCTCTGTCATCACGTCATCGACGAGGATGCACACCCACCGCACGATCGTCTCCGGGATCTATCGCTGCCGCAGTCGCCTGATCTCCGGCTCTATTACCACGCTGTTGCACCCTCCCTTCACGTCAAACAACACCAGCGACAGCGTCCTCTTCCCGCGCTACGCCTTGAACACGTCCTCCCAGAGGTACGACAGCGTATGCGTAGTTCCCCGCTGCCTCCGCGCGCCAAAGTGTGTCTTGGGCAGGAGTCCGTACTCCTCCACCAGGTACGCTATCCTCTCCGTCACCAGCGACTCTAGACTCAGATAAGTGTATGTGCGAATAGGTGTGTACCTGTCTGCATTCGAGGGGTTAATGGGAGAGCCAATGTTTTTTTCTTCAGGACTGAGGCATTGAGTGATTGGCTTAAGAGGCATCAAAACTTTTACGAAGCTCCGAATCAGCATATTCATATCGAGATTAGTGAACGGCTGCGGTTGTACTGAGCCAGCTTACAGAGAGCGTGGTATTACAATAAGGGAGTAGCGTGGCACGGTCGCTTGAGTTGTCTGAGCTTTATAGTAGTGTGGATCTCCTAGTGTGCGACATATATACACAGGTTCTGAGTTGCTTGAAGCGAGCGTACTCCTTGTATTTCTCAGCACCGTGAGCCTCTTGCTACATAGGTGGGGATGCTAGTATTTAAAGAAGTAAAGAGTGTATCCGTGGCCCGGTGGCCCAGGTTGCTCAGTTCTTTAATCTCGAGTTGCGTTTCAGTCCTTAGTTTCCATACCCAACGACTTGTTGCTTGACAAGTTCCTTCTGTGTGCCTTGAGGTGGCGTAAGATCAAATGTAGCACTGACACCATACCATACACCTACAAAAGACAAGAAAAGTGTCTTCTGTGGGTTTCCCTTCTGATCTAGAGCATCGACAATTGTGTACAAGGTCTGAGCATCAACAGAAATGTTTTCCTTCCCAGAGGGATCATTGTAGTACCTCGTGTAAGGTGCAATCTGCCATCCCTTGATGACGGGCTTCCCAGCCACTACCTGGACCCAGGTGGCCAGATCGTTGCGCATTTTCTTGAGGGCCCATTGAGGGATAAGAGAGTCGTCAATGAAGAGGTCGTTAGTTACGTAAATATTGATGTTGGTAGCAAGCACGTTCTGGGCGACATTGGTGAAGTCCTCAGGGGTACCAAAGAACTTGCTACCGTTGTAGTTGGGCGGGCTAGTGTTGGCGCCATTGTATGCATAGTTGTACTTTTGAAGGAATGCTGTGATCGCGACCTGCTGAACAGCTGTCTGGAGAGTGGGCTCATCCTTGTTTAGGTCCCCGGTGATCTGTGAGATGTTGTAAGCTAAGAGTGAGAGTTGTAAATCTACCGGGGAAGGTGTACCGGGAATGGGCTACCGCTGACCATGTCGTTGACCCATGTCAGAAGAGTGTCAATGAAGTTCGGCGTTGGAGGGTTCGGTGCAAAGTTGTTATTGATAATGATGTTTGTAGTGTTGTTGGTGGTGGTGTTGTTGCCGCCCATCTTGAAAGATAGAGAAATTTGCTCTATAGAGTAGTAAATTGTGCGAGGTCTTTGTTCAGTATGTGGTTGCTGCAAAGAAGAGACACCGTTTTATACTTTCTAGAGACTACAGAAAAGCATTCTTAACAGCTATTGCCGCTATCGCTTAGCGTTTTGTGTGTTCCACAAAAAGCAAATTGCACGAGTAGGCTGTGTCAATGCTAAGCTAAAAGCCATGGGTCTCTCCAGCTGTCGATGCATGTCTAGGACCTGTAAGGCCATACAGCTCGGTAATGGTAACTGTGGCTGGCTACACATTACGACTGCTCATAAGCATTGGTGGATGAATGGGAATGGTGGCGGCGGAGCCATGCGAGAGCAGCAGCGAGGCATTGGCGTTCTACATTCAATACCGTGTACTCGCTTCGAGAAGTAACAAACATTGGCTTGCTTATCGAGTGTGAGAGGAAGCCAAGAGCAGCTCAGATCCCCCGTCGTTGCAAGTGGACTTGGACCAAACACCCCGTCCCTCGAAGCGACTCCGCGACCTCGATAGCGTGCCCCAACCCCCTCTCTCTCCGACCAAGAGCGCCTCAAGCGCTGCAGCATCCGAAGCCTCCGAAGTCGAATCACATCAGAGTGGGCGCTTGAGCCCTGTGAAACAGCTCCAGTTGCTCGAAGACTTTGAGGAGCAGCCCGTTGTCTTTTGCAACTTTGGTGACGACGAGGAAGGGGAGGAGCCCGAAGACGTCACGGCGATGCGCAGAGCGACTCAGCAATTTGCAGATGGTATTGGAATCTTGGGGTACCATGACATCAATGCGGTCGTTTCCACTCTGCCGCCAATAGATAGGATGCGATTTCAGTATTCTTGGGCAAACGACCTGGAGCAGCGTTGTGTCCTCGGTTCTATGCCTTCGACGGCGCAGATACTAGAAATTGTAGAGACCGCACGAAAATACGATTATGGATCGGGTGTTTCCGAGGACGAGTGGAACTCTGAGGTCCAACATCCGCTCCTCAAACTTGCGCGCAATACGTCTAAGCACCGGCAGACACTCGACATCCACAATGTGTAAGTCCTTGTCGTCTTCCGAGATAGTCATGCACTCAAGGGTATAGGAAAACGGCTCGAATCGAACCCCCATCGCTCGCGCGCTCCACTGTTCCTGGTCGCGTCGTTGACTACGTTGTCACCCTCAACCCGAACCCCGCTACCAAGCAAGCGTGGCGCCACCTCCGTTTGCTACCAGGCGCACCTATAAAGTCCTGGAACCATACGACTCGTGCTCGTCACAATCCTATCGCCATCAATATCGAGACCAAAGGCCCCATGAAGTCATGGACAGATGGCAAACCCCAAATAGCGATATGGACGGACGCATGGTTGAAACGCCTTGCCCTGATTCGCGGCAATACTAGCGGACAGTGGCCCGATCTTCCGCTCCTGATCGTCCAAGGCCATGACTGGCATTTGTTGATTGTTCCGAAGAACGACCAGAAAATGACCATTTGGGAGCAAATTGACATGGGAAGCACAAGGTCGTGCTTTGATGCAATGAAAGTAGTGACGGTCCTTCACTGGCTTATGGACTGGGCCGAGAGGGTGTGGCGACCGTGGCTCCTGTCATTGCCAAAGTGAGGTTGATGGAATGCATCCAATACCTGCCTTAGAAGCATGTAGACACCCAGATCATGATACAGAGGGTGCGGCTGAGCCTAGCTTCGTCAACCTTCCGGGCCATGCTGTCCATTGTGGGCTGTGCCAGACGAGATAGTTGCCCTATCTGGTTCCCGTAGCGGGTTTCGTTCCGGACACAGGGTGAAGCAATTTAGTGGCAATAGGGTCCACACTCCAAGACCTTCATCCACGTGAAAGATTCCACGCCACTCGACAAGGTCCTGGCCGGTGCGGTACGGCCATCCTCCCTGCTGCTGGTGGCGATGCCGCGTACCGCTAAAGTAACTGCTTTAGCTATGCTCTAACCGCCCCCGTTATGGCGGAACACCTTTTGTGCTAGGATGAATCTAAGGTACTTCACATCCGAGCAATTTACAATCTGCACGCATGTAGATACTTTCATATCACTACACTTTATGAAATAGCGATCTCATGAGCCGTGTTACATGTGGCTTTACTCTCCCATGATCAACACTTGACACTCCTATACTAGACTATCCATCATCAAGCGAGGGTCGTTCAAACGAAGACAAGGACTTCCACACAAGTTAGGTAATTTATAATACAATCCCTAAGGTATTTTACCTCAGTCAGTGATAGCTGCGAGCCAAACGTATTGTCCCAAGGTAAGGTACTGTCTTTTTCCTGATCGTCCTATAGTAGGGTCAGCATCTTAGAGCACTATAATCCTTCTACAAGGAATTGAATGCACAGAATATCACCTTCAGGCCACGAACCCAAGCCATCTTACCGGCCAATGTGCGAAATAAGTTGAGAATTACGCCCACAATCAACATTGCGCTGGGGGGACAGGAACAACAGACAATCTGCCGACGGTAGAACACTTGCCTTGAAGGGGAGTGGCTCCTTTAGGACCGCGAGCAGTTCGTTGAGGTATTCGCGCACGTGCCCCGCTTTCGGCGGCTTCTCCTTCGCGGCAAATACATCGTATCTGAAGTCGGTGCCAGTCTGTATTTCGAAGGAACCTTTGTTGGCAGTCATCTTGTCCGCGCGGACAAAGGTTCCTTCGAAATACAGACTGGCACCGACTTCAGATAAGATGAGGATCCTGCAATAAGAGAGGTTAGGCTTAGATTTCAGTGCGGTACTATCCTCTCAGCTAAACATAACTGTAGCTCACTTTTGCGTGGAACATTGCTTCCAGTTTCACTTTTCGTGGAGCCGAATGTTGGGACCGCTCTTCACAGTGGTCCATTACATCATGTATCATAATGACATAAAACAACAAAAGATTGATTGAGGTGGCCTCAACAATCCCGGTGGTGGGACGGTCAAGTTTATGGCTTGCATCTGGCATTCTCCCTAATCCACTAGAGGGTGGTTTATGAAGCCCAAGGTGCCTAGCTAAGGAATTTGTTGTACTGTTGAAAGTTGTGGAAGTCCTCCATGCATTAGGAGACACCTGCCACAACTGGGAACATTACCTAAGCGAGACAGTTTAGGATCGCACTAGCCCTCGCAAAGCTTCTGAGCGGTCTCTCAGAACCCTTTTCAGATACCTACCGTAGATTTAATTTCGGTCCAGGTTTAGACCTTAGGTGCTAGGCGCGGCTGTCGACTGCCAAGTCTACCGACGCAGAGCCCCACGCCAAACCAAAGAGAGCTGCCACATTCATCAAAGCTCGCGGGGGCTTGGCCTCGGGATCTACAGACCTATTTTTCGATTCCGCTGCTGAGCTCCGCATCTAGGTCCAGTTTTGGACCCTGGTGCAGATCTAATTAGCTAACAATAAGCACCTTTTCGAAACCTCTAGCCCTACTCTATCAGGTCTCATGCATGCAGCATCATCCCTTGCATTTTATTCCATGAAAAATACCGCGACAACCCTATGGCGGGTGCGGTTCGGTCGTCCTCCCTGCTAGTGTGATCGAGGCGTTCGTCCGCCTCAAGTGGCAAATATATAATACGAAATTCTGCACGTGGACTTAATTTGTAGTTTGCTAGAAGCTTTGGTGTGGCAAATTGGCAAGCTATATATTTACGTTGATCCCCGTCCCTCTATGAAATAGAGAGGATAAAAAAAATAAGTAACGTTATAGTGAGTAAATATGACATAAATGTTCTAACGCCTTAGAATTTATTAAGCTTGTTGCGCTTAACACGGCATATCCGTACCCTTCCGTTTCCAGTTCCAATACCAATCATATTTTCTCGGATACTGTTGAACATGATGGTCGATACTATGACGGTAGCCATAGTAGGCTCTCTGAGTTGGATGTTACCCAAATACCCTCCAAACTCAAAACTAGGCATTGCTTGACTGTGTCATCAGCTAAACCCAATGCCAGCTAGGCAGAGTCGTGCGAGAAGGCTACTGACCAGACCGAATCGCTATGGCCCTTGAGCGTCTGGAGGCACGCGCCGCTGCTCGCACTCCAGATCTTGACTGTGGTGTTGCCATACGGCTCGTCTTGGGCGTCCATGTCAATCCGACTTTTGGACGGAAAATTCTTCATCAATTCATGGTATCCATGGAGCGATAATGCATAGAGTGGCATTGCATTTTTCCCACATCCCAGGCCGTGAATACTTTCAAAGGAGGTGGGGCGCAGCCCATCCACACTTGTATTGGGACACGGCGGCGCGTATTTACCGCTGCTCATTGGCAACACATGCTGGTGTGGCTTGGAGCTGAAATGTCGCGGACAAAGGCTATGGACCAATGGGCAGCCTCCAGGGAACGCAGCAAAGGGTTAGCGCCAATAATGTGGCTTCATCTTCAGCCCAACCAGTTTCTCGCAATGTGTCTTACCACTCCTCGAGATTCATCAACAAGCTGTGATAATTGATGGACCCATCATCAGCAGTCGGTGTCGCGAGCGCCGTTGTTCAGTTTGTGGATTTCTCCAGCAAGCTCATCTGGGGCACGATCAAAATCTATAGGGCGAAGCAGGAGAATCGCAGGGGCGGCGATGACTACGATGACCTTGAAGACCTTAACGAAAGCCTTGTAGGCATCAACGACCGGATTCAACTTGAGCTCTCCGGATTGAATGAGGCAACCATGTCTGCCAACGACTGAGTTGTCGCAAGACTGTGCAGAGAGTGCAATCAGGTCGCGGAGGAGCTCTTCGCTGCTCTGAAGCGTCTGAAGAGCGGGAGCAGAAACCAGGCTTGGGCGAGTTTTGTCCAGGCTTTACGAACTGTGTGGAGCGAATCCGAGATCGAGTCTTTAAAGAAGACCCTTGATAGCTTCCGGACACAGATATCTATGCATACCCTTGTGTCCGTGCGGTAAGATCTTCCGTCCTCTGAAGATCTCCAACGAGAGAGGAAGTGCTCACTTCGTCGTAGCGAGGAGGTATTTTCGTTGCAGCGAAGACAATCCTCCAAGAACGAGAAACTTGTCACCACCGTGAAGGAGACCCAATCAGCAGTTCGGCATTATCTCGACCAAGTCAGCATGTTGGATCGCGAATGGAAGCGGCAAGTTCTTGCAAGCTTGAACGAAACATACAGCGAGAAGAAACGAGCGGGAGACTCAGCCCAGCTACCTGCACTGAACATGAAAGACAATCTCGAAACCGGAGATATCGAGAGCTTCAGCCAGCGACTTCTTCTCGAGTTGCAATTCAGAGGGATGGACTATCGCTATGAGAAGATCTCAGATGCGCACGCCAAGACTTTTGAATGGATCTTCCGTCCTCCTGAAAGTCCTATCTGGTCCAACTTTGTCGAATGGCTGACAAACAATGAGTCCCTCTACTGGATCACCGGGAAGCCGGCTGCTGGGAAATCGACTCTTCTCAAGTTCGTCTACAAAGATAATCGTACTCAAGCTCTGCTCAGGAAATGGGCGGCCGACAAGAAGCTGATAGTTTCTAGCTTCTACTTCTGGCACGCCGGCGCAACTATGCAGATGTCACAGGAAGGATTCGCAAGGACGCTTTTGCACTCTGCCCTTCAGCAGGCACCTGACCTGCTCCCTGCTGTGTTTCCTAACAGGTTGGAAACATATGTTCTCTTCGGTCACAAAACAGCCTGGGCAGCGCCGTGGACGTGGAAAGAGCTGGTAACCGCCTTCAGGCCCCTCATCAAAGAAGCTGGCAAGACGATGAGGCTGTTCTTTTTGGTTGACGGCCTTGACGAATTCAATGGCAACCACGACGAGCTAGTGGAGCTGGTCCAGAGCTTCCTAGATCCAAATGTGAAGATCTGTGTCTCCAGCCGGCCGTGGAACGTCTTCGAGGATGGATTTCGTCAAAGGCCCAGTTTGAGAGTTGAGGACCTCACATCACAGGATATTCGGCACTACGTGCGTGCCCGGTTCCTCGCTAATCCCGGCTTCAACCAGCTCCACATGCTCGACCCCGAGTTTGCCGACCGTCTCATAGAGAACGTAACACAAAAATCAAAGGGCGTCTTTATATGGGTGTCATTGGTGACAGATTCTCTCCTCGAGGGATTGCGAGACGGAGAGCGCCTAACGGACCTTGAGGAGCGATTGGATTCGCTACCTCAGGATCTCGAGTCTCTGTTTTGGGCTGTCCTTTCCAACCTCAACCCGCAGCAGAAGGCACGCACATCTCAGATTCTACAGATTCTTAGATCTTCGTTGGATCCGATGACTCTGTTGATAATGTCGTTTGCCGATGAAGAGGATCCGGAACTGGCGCTCAGAATCCCTGTCGCCACCATTCCATTACGGCAAGCCACTGCGCAGGCCGAAATTATGAGAAGACGACTCAACGGCTGTTGCAAAGGCCTTATTGAAGCAAGTCGAGGGTGCACCTCGTACTTGCCCGACGCACAAATTGGTTATCTTCACCGGACGGTCAAAGATTATTTCGATCGCCCAGAGGTGTGGATTGAATTTGTCGCAATGACTGGCCCAAAATTCTACCCAGATGTTAGGCTGTGCAACGCCCAACTTGCAATGTTCAAAATTAGTTCGTCACCACTCGTCTGCGATAGCGCGTCTCGTAACAGATTTTTGGATAAAGTCGCGACTATTATCGAGTACGCGGTCCGGGCTGAGAAGGCTGGTGCAGGACCCCAACTCTCTCTGCTCAAAGATTTGGACGCCGCTGCAACAAAGAGAGTCAGAGCCGAAGGCTATTCCCGCCACTGGTCCGCTGGATGGATGGCTTGCGAGTACAATCGTGACTTTGTTCATCTGGCAGTCCAATGCCAGCTATGGTCGTACGTCGAGTCGGCCCTGTCAGAGCCTCTGGATCCGCAAATCCAACGAAATATAACGAATCTTCTATTTGTGGCAGTACACCTGTACAGTTTGTTCAAACCAACACCGACTTCGGATAAGGATCCCTCCTTTGAACGGTTCAAATACGTCTTCAAGAAAAATCCGCACATTGGGATTATCAAACTAGTTTTAGAACGAGGCGCGGACCCGAACATGAAGTTTGACAATGCAATAGTCAACTTCGGAATACAAGGCTCCTTTTCCACCTGGGAAGTGATATGTATGAAGACAGAACAAAGCAACTTTGATTACACGGAAATCTTTGGGCTCTTTCTCCAGCACGGCGCGGACCCGAAGGTCTGGCTGAAAATAAAGGGGAATCGAGGTTGCGTTTCGAAGCTAGCCCGCCGAAAGAGAAACGAAGCAAGACTTACCCGCGTTGTCAGCATCTTTGGGATGAAAGAGTACAAGAGTTGAATAGTTATAACCTTGGTCCAATTCAGGGCTCAACTATTTGAGCTAGTAAGGAATCTCGATCCTCTATAGACGCCGCATAGTTCTGAACCTATTAAACTCTCTTAGGCTATAGCTTGACTCAAAAGTTCTCCTATTGACTAGGGCGCTGTAGAGCCTGCTCGGCGACATCTGCTGACGCGAATTTTCAAATGTTTAGAAGTCTGTCACAAGATCGTTCAGTAAATAGTGACGAACTAGGAATTTAAGCGATTAGTTTTTAAGTAAAGTAGAATAGTTAATAGCTAAAAAGGCTTTTGCGTTGGTAATTGCATGCATGCTCAGCCTCTCCGCCTCTAGTGTTGAGCGGGCGCTTGGTGGTGGAACACGTTATTCATGCCTTTCGCTAGCGACGAGAACTAATTGGATATGCACAACGAGCTGAGCTGAGAGCTGAGGGATAAGATGCCCAACCCCACTTTCACTCCTTCCTACCGTGTTTTCAACTCCGAGCAAAGCCATGTCCCAAGAACAATGGAAGCAAAGCCATGCTGGAGGGCTGGAAGTCGATCCCTCACAATACGATCGTGACTATGAACGATTGCACACTGCTTCACCGCACCGCCTTCTCAGGACCCGTACAGCATTGTCCCTGTTCCAGCCGTCGCACCAGTCGATGCTGAGAAGAGCGATGTCGTTACTCACTCGACAAAGCCAGCTGCATCGCGAAGAACTATCTGGATCGCAACGGACTGTGTCATAGCAATGCTTGCAGTCGGCTCTGCTGGTCATCGCGCCATCGTCGGAAGGCGGAGTTTCCGAGGATCCAGCGGTACGAGCCCTCCAGCAGTCCGCCCTTTGTGTTCTCGATACGGTTCTTGTCATCACGGGGATCAGTGAGACGTAAGTCTTTGATACATTTCTGCACCTTGTGGAACCCGTCCAGGAGCCGAGCGAGTGCGCTCGCCATCCCCTCGCCATAAGTAGGGAGTATGTAGACGTCGAAAATCCCTAGTAATGAGTACGCTTTATCTTCTTCTAGCTTGGTCCGGCGGTGTTCCGTCCACCGCAATCGCTCCTCGACGCTGGATTGAGATAAAGGGTATCCTTGAAGCGCAGCGTGAGAGATATTAGTTATCTCGTAGATTTGTTGCCTTAGAGAACTCTTGTCACCCAGTCGCTGGCGTTCCCTGGAGAAGAATTCGACCGAAGCTGGGGCGAGGAGCTTTTGGAGCGTCCAGCCCCGAGTAAACCATCTGCTTTTCCAGAAATCTGATTCCTATGGCTTCGTCAACTTCTTTCTCCTGTTCGACGTAAAGGAGGATGTGGACACATCCGATAAATATACGTAGCATCGAGTCGCATTGCGGTACCAGCGAAACATGGAGTTGATAGAGCGTGAGATTTCGGCGTCGTTCTCCTCCTTGATATAATAGGTGTTAATCTAAAAGTATTGTAAGCCATCCTGTCTAGCTTGTTCTTCATAGAACCGGATCTTCTCGTATCTAAGCTTCTCTTCCCCAGTGCCATTTGTTAGGTCGTTGAAGGTGACCTCCTCCTCATCTGGTCCCCATGTGTGCGAAAGTATGGTATAGGGAGGGATTGAATCGTCGCCAATTAAGTCTTTCGTGAGGGTAAACTTTCCAGTGTTGCTGCGTAGCAAAAGACGCATTGCTACGCAGGAAGCTGTGCCAGACACATATAGTAGGAATAGGGTTTCGGAGGCTCAACGCGGCAGCCTAGCTGAGGAGAGAAACATGGCAACTCGGTCGTCTGAGAACGTCGGTCCTCGCTCGGAATGTTAGCGCGCATACAAGTAAATAGGGACGGTGAGCCTTACTGAAAGATCGCATCGAAAGTCAGGACAATGCCAGTGCTGTGAGATGATTCCGTAGTGCATTTGCAAGAAGGCTGAACAAATTCAGCTGAGGGTGGGCAATGGTACAGCCTACAGTGTGGCGCGGTAAGGCTGACATATGTGGTTAGCCGAAGGCGATTTTGCAATGCACCAAACTGAAGAGACGAACACGTTGGTGACGCTAGCAGGGAGGATGGCCGAGCCGCTCCGGCCAGGACGTTGCGCCGGAGGCGACAGTTTGTAGAAACAAGGGATGGAAGAGTGCTGTATGCAGTTCGTGAATCGTGCAGGGTCTTGCCATGCATGACCACCACCACCACCACCACAGCTCTGCCAGTACTCATCCCTCACGAACATGAACAACCCAGAAGCACCTCTCTTCGACCCTAGAGATTGCAGTGCACATGTAAGGAGCTGGCTGTTTGACCATACGACATCTGTATCATGAAAGCATGCAAGGACTTTCCACCTTCGTATGCGCTTGCAACGACGGTGTTTTGCCATAACGTTCGGTTGAACCCACATGCTGAAGCGCAGGCTTCGATTTCCAGGCCCACCGCGCTCTATCTTAGCTTGTATCCTTCCCATCACATTGTATTCCCCTTCAACGAGCTGGGACAAAAGCTCGCTGCGGCTTGGTCTAGGAATCGGCACGCCGACTCGAGAAGCATGAGGACGTGGTGAGCTCAATCAGGTCGTTCCATTGGTCAGCGGAAGGGTCAAAGACAGATCTCGGCACTCGGGAACGGCGCTATAGTATGGCTCTACATCCCAAAGTAGGTATCACTGTGCGTTGGACTGCATCTCGAGGTGTGTGAGATTGCTGGTTTCGCCGCTAGAAGCGCGTTGGCTGACTAAACAAGCACCAGGCCATGTCTTATTACTGCTCCCAATCCTAAGTCGGATTTACCGATAATCTGAACGCTTGTGACAGCTCGCACAGCCGCATAACTTACAATAAAATACCCACCAGTGTGCATGAGGTAAGATATATGGGGTCATCTCGCATTAGCCTGGATCGGTGGTTCGCTTCTGCTAGACGTACCAATCGACGACGGGGCGGCGCTGCGTGAAACTGCACACCGCAGCGCACCTAGGGCTAATAATGACTTCCTGGTATCAGAGGGAGGTTGTGAGAGTAGGATAAGCCTATTCTACAAAATTTTGGAGCAATAAGGACTTGAGGTTGGCGCTGTGGGGAGGGAAGTGTGTCAGGCCATGAAAGAAGGCGCTGCGCAAATCAGGCTCGGAGACGACGATGCAAATGTAATTTTTGGGGAGGAGTGGATTATAGACATTCAGAATTAGCTACAGCAGATTATTTTCGTAGAGTTATAGCAATATTCGTTGTGCGCATATCTAGTCGCTCAAAGTCAAAGTACCCCTCATTTGTCTCGCCACACCGGTTGTCTCGCTACGCAGGGAGGCACCTTAGCATCTCAAATTCACACATACCAGTGCAACGAAAGGCTTCGCACGGTCACAGATATATCAGCCACTGTTGGTAAGTTACATCATCATGAATTTGTGCAAAAAGACGGCAACAGTGAGAATCCCAAATTTTGGAATCAACGCAAATTATAGCACGCAAACGCCCACTCGAGACGTCAGCTGAACAGCCAGCACCCATGCCCGGCGCCCGCTGCGACTGGGGAGCTATGGCGACGCAATGGCCTCGGGAGTTAACCTGGCCAACCCAATCCGCGAGCACGCTACACGCCTCAGCACCCACCTCCTACTCCCTCTCGCCTACCAGGACCAGGTGCGCTTGCTTGCGTAAGTCCATAATGCCAAACACACGGCACAACTACTCGCGGCTCTTAAGGTCCTCCATATAGCCGCCATTGCGGAGCGAGGGCGGTGGGGGATCGATAGGGAGGGTGGAGAAGGCGGAGGTCGGCGTCGGTCACAGAGACGCGCCAGTGATCCCCACGAGACCTAGACGGGGTATTTGTCTGCAGAAAGTGACTTGTCAGCGGCGCGCGGCCATGGCGAATTGACTGTGGCTGTGACTGACAGCTGCAGTGGCTGACAAAGTAGAATATGTCGCCATCGGCGGCGACCAACGGCGCATCTCGCTCGCACATGTTGCTGCCGTCGGCTGAGCGAGCGAGCGAACTAACCGGTGTTCTAGCTGTTATCGGAGATGCAGATGGTGAGGGCTTCACCTTCATCTAGGGCGGGCAGCTTGATATACCGCCGTCACCTTCCAGTCATCTCCAAATCCCCGTGCCATCCAAGTACAAGCCTCCCTCCAATAAGTATGAACTGTCTGCCGCTAGCTCCGCCGGAAGAGTGCCATAATTGGGGCCATCTTTCTCCGTGACCGTGGTCTGCATAAATGCATCCTGCGATCCCGAATACGGGACGTTGCCGCTAACACCTTCCGGAACACCGAGTGAAGTGTGCCTGGAAGCTGCGCCTCTTGACTGAGGGCCGTACGGGAAATTGGTCTGGACACGCTTCGTCAAGGTTTTCCACAATATCTAGGGAATGGCCGGCTTCGTCAAACTCAAAGTTGCAGTTGTTCCGGTATGCATGAATCTCCGCCACCTAGTTCTACTATCAAATTCAGCCACCTTATCACCATCGGATCCCAGCTCTTCCTTGAATCCATGCCTAATACACTCCAATTATCTTCGTATGACGCCTACGCATGAAGTTGCCCCACTCCTATATGAATCCTAAGCCGCTCACAAGGTCATGGCGGCGCCGTGTTTGAGAGTCGAATTTGATCGTTCCACTCACTGTCAGCGCCCCGTTAGCACAGAGACCACGTCATATCCCCTCTCTTGCCGACTAACAAGCGTAGCATGCCGTAATACCACGCCTCTCCGGCGGCTCGAGCTCCTCTTCGGGTGCATGGGTGTTGGCTCCTGTCTCAGCAGGTCGAGTTGTTCAATGCTCTAAGAGTCTATCTTCGCATGAATATACCCTCATCCAACACATCCTCAATTCCAGGCCGATCCAATCCAGTCTCACTGTGCGTGGACCAGGCCAAAGTCATGGGTTCGGCGGTGAGAGTACGGAAATTGCACTCTCTGCTAAGGCTGTCACTCAGCTCGTCACTAGAGATGTAGGCTGATTTCTGCCACCCAGACATGGCTCGAGTCCTACCCAACATGTCAGTTTTTGCTGTACTGTCGAACATAGAGGGAAACAACCAGGACCTAGCTATATTTACTAATGATCTGGATAAACGTCGAGGGTGCGTACAAAAGTAAGACATAGGTCATAAACTCCACTGCCTTCTTACCTCTGCAAGGCTTTGAATACGTTGATGGTAGTAAGAGAAGGTGAGGTTTGGGCGACGAGAGACGGATGGTTGATGGAGGTGGCTTAGCCGAAGGCAGCAACCTTGGCCGAAACATAGCTGCACGTGACTAGGAAAGTATAGCCGAGTGTCGAGTGCCCTAAACAGGCCCCTTCATTCATGCTCAGGGGCTGTGCAGGTCCAATTTTGGACCTTTCCAATATGTACTCAGGCTCAGATCAGGCGTCTCTCGGAGCGACTCACCTTCAGCTCAGGCTAAAGCAGCGACTGCTCAGGCTAGCGACTGTAACCGGAACTGGTCGTTCCAGAGAGGTTTGCCTGTCTCTATAGGTATGCACGGCGTGCAATCCGAGAGAGTAGCCACAGTATTGATTTTCTCAACGGCGAATTCCAGCCCGATGAAAGTAGGCTTGATAAGCTGTCTCATCATCGATACGGGCTGAAAAATTAATTACATCGGTATCCTTAGTCCTAGCAATAATTGGAAGCTATATAGAGAGCCCACTGGAAATGCTGCGCCTTTCACAAACCTCAGCGCTTAATGCCGCATGCATGGCTGTGCAGTGTTATAACCTCACCTTGTTTCCCATAAATGGTTTTAAACAGAAGGTGCAGCGTTTAGCAACGGGAGCCGATCACAGATCTAAGGCATCCTTCTATACCAGAAAAGCCTCAGCGCTTAATCTGAAGCATCTATGCCGCATGCATTCTAATACCAGGCTAGCAGCTAACTTATATAGTCTAACGTTCCTAGTCCTTGAGGGATAGATGAACAGGTCGTCCCCCCTCCCCCCTAACCTCTACTACACAGACCGGAACCCAAAAACAAAGCGAAGATGGACGAACTTGAGCGTGCGGCAAATCTGAATATATGAAATATGACTGTATACTGTCCACTAATTCGTTTTCTAGGCTAAACAGTGCGACCGTTGCTGCGTCTTTGCCTCGTCCTCCCGACATTTACTCAATGAAGTTAGTGCCAAAGACCAGCAAGCTGTCCTCCTCCAAGCCAAATATCGACGAGCATATATCAATCTTCAGCTGTTCCATGCAGATCAGTACAGTAGCAAGAAGGATTTATTAAGGATACTTCGCAAGCTTGAGGCAAAAATCAGCGAACTTAAGGAGACTATCGTGCAACTGCAGGATGAGAACACAAACAAGCAGGACGCTAACGATAGATTGGAATATGCCGCCATGCTTCAACTACTTCCTCATGATGGTAGCTGTGCTCCCTCTGATGTTAGTATGAGGGGGTAGGGCGGATAGCTAAAAAATACTTGTTATCGACACTATCATGAATAACACTGTCGTCTTGCAATCATAAGCTCCCATTAGTTGTCAGATTTGATGGTATCTGAAGATGTCACGGTGACAGAAAGATTGAATGAAGATGGGTTGACTGATTGTATTCAGGTGTGTGCTCCTGTGTGTGTGAGGCTGAGGCCTGACACCGGTTTTGATGTTCCTTCTCTGGGCACCAAGGCTGTGCAGGGCACTAGCCACTGCAGAATCACTAGCCACATGTCCTCAGATAGTACCGGTACAGATACCTTCTCCTAGTCCTCCTCTCCAGTCCCAGATGGGATGTCCATAAACTGGCTTACCATCTGACAACCCTACAGAGGAGCAGGCCCTAGTAGATTGGATCCTAGACCTCGACCGATGCGGATTTCCACCTCCGATTATCGACGTACGATGAATGGCAGACAATCTACTCACCGTACATGGCCAAGAATCTCCTCCTCAGCCAGTCGGCGAGAAATGGGTGTCCCGTTTTGTCAACCGCCAGGCAGAGCTCCAGACAAAATGGAATCGTAAGTTCCACTCACAGCGTGCATGTCAGATGGTAAGCCAGTTTATGGATATCCTATCTGGGACTGGAGAGGAGGACTGGGAGAAACTGTATGTACCGATACTGTCTGAGGATATGTGGCTAGTGATTCTGCAGTGGCTAGTGCCCTATGCAGCCTTGGTGCCCAGAGAAGGAACATCAAAACCGGTGTCAGGCCCAGCCTCACCCACACAAGCACACACCTGAATACAATCAGTCAACCTATCTTCAATCAACCTTTCTGTCACCGTGACATCTTCAGATACCATCAAATCTAACAAGGTGCTTATAACAGGTAGAAAAAGGTGCTTAGTTATTGTAGGTAGGGCAGAAATTCTATATAGGCAAGCTATTACTTTTATAGTTAGAACTGCTATACTATAAAATTGCTAAATTAGGCTATACTTACTGCAGCTTTAGCTTTAATTTAACGCATTAAATTGTAATATATAGAGTTCTTGCGTAGTTTAGTTATTATCTAAGGCTCTATATATTTTTAGGTAAGTACTAAGATGCACCGCTAAATGCTAAGGAGTTGCGGATTAACGCATACAATAGATCCGAGCCATCCCCCCGATGTGAACTCCAACCCAAAACGACCGGAACCGAAAGTCAAATCAATAGGCAACTCGCAATTGGCATGATAAGATTGACTACAAGTACCGCAAACGAACGAAACCCCCTCCGCCTCCCCTCCCGTCCCCTCGGTGCCCCAATCCCCGCCTGGCCGGACCCTCGCGTCCCCGCGCAAGCGTGCAGTTCGAGGCTGCAGTGCTACCATATAGTGATCCAGTTCCTCTGCCGGATGATCTCTGCGCAAGCAATGGTAGGCCACGTCGTCTCTAGTTAGATGCTCGGCCGTCCAGTGCCCGATAAACTTGAGCATGCGGTATATAAAGCCTCTCCTTTAACATCAGTTCAGCGTCCATCTCTAAGGCACCTTGAAAATTTCTTCGTCAAGCTTCGCAGCCTGGGTACCCTTACACGGCCTCCACTAAGCAAATTTGCCAGCTAACCCTCTTTTTCGGAAGCACGTCTCATAAGCCTCGTCCGGGAAAATCAAAACATGTGCTGGGTGGAGAGACAGATATGGTACACCTGGAAGTGCCAGCATTACGCTCCTGATATCCCGCAGGAGAGGATTGGCTGGTTTCTGAACTAGAGAGAAAGGCGTGAATCAGATGCCTTATTACATAGGTAGAATGCTTTTTCACTCCTTTTGGTCAGACCATGCGTATTGATCTATAGTAGTCGAGAAGCGATACGCGCGTAAGTCGTTTCGGGGATGCTGTGATTATGGGGCTCTCATTGCTAAATCTTCCTAATCCTGGCCGCAAACTTCTGAGAAGAATTCCCGAGCCCCGCTTACTCGTCTTGATGACAACTTATACCGGCCACCTGGATCGTTATGCTTCGCGAACTGCAGCTGATAAGAAACGGTATGAAAATAATATAGGATTCATTGTCCCGTTCGAAGAACAAGGCCCCACATATGCATCAAGGAGGGGCGCGTTCTCGACAACGGTGGGACCTTATATCCCCTTCGAATGGACTAATTCACTGAACGCGTCCGCAAGCTTCAGCAGCCTCAAGCCACCAGTCATGCTGTGGAAAGTATTCCTGTTGGCTCTCCTTGCGGAGAATAGCCACGGTCAGAATGCCTTGTACCCCATGCTTCGATTCCAATGCTCGCAGCTCGTTCACGACCGCATTGACCCACTGGTCAACCCGGGGATGGTGCCTTCTCCACATCTTCACCAACTCGTTGGCGGTAATTCTCTGAGGCCATCGATGGTCCACCCAGCACACGACCTCCCCTCGCTCTCCACTTGTACAAGCTGCACGTTTTCGGAAGACTTTTCAAACTACTGGACGGCTGTTCTCTATTTTCGTGCCCGCAACGGTACCTTCAAACGCGTCCCCCAAGCTCCAGGATTGTATCTGAAAGGCAACGGGGGAATCACGGTGTATTATATCCCGCAGGGCGGTGCTACAAACAAGACGCAAGTGACGGCTTTCAAACCCGGGTTCCGAATGCTCGTCGGCGATGCAGCTGGAACAGGTCCCGGACCAGAAAGAAAGGTTTGCCATCGCTGCATGCCAGCAGAGGGTGAGATGAGTCACATCAACTGCGGAGCGCCGGACGCGCAGTCGATGCCTACCGGATTTTGCGAAGGTGGGATACGGACCGTTGTCACATTCCCTACGTGCTGGGATGGCGTCAACCTTGATAGTCCAGACCATATGAGCCATGTTGCGTATGCAATAGGGGCCAAGGCGAACGATGTCGGGCCAACGGGAACCTGTCCCCCAAGCCATCCTGTGGTGATACCACAAGTGATGTACGAGGTACAGTGGGATGTGAGTTGTGATTCTTTCATTACCAATGGCCAAGATTGCTGTTATTCGCTGACAGATGGGACAGACACGACAATTCAATCACAAAGATTTATGGCCTGAGGATGGCTCCCAACCTTTTGTCTGGAGCACCGGCGACACGTGAGTTATGGGTTTCTCGATTGGTACCTCCACATTGCTAATAGTAGAAGTCATGGATATTCGAATCATGGCGACTACGTCTTTGGTTGGAAAGGCGATTCTCTGCAACGTGCCATGGATGCCCGCTGCACGGGAGATACCTGTAATGTTCTAGAGGTACAAAGCACAGAGGAGGCAATGAAATGCACTGTACCGCGGGTTGTAGATGAAGATGTCGACGGATGTAAGTCTTCAACAGCTTCCGCTGGTGTGCGCAATCTAACGTGATCACAGGGCTAGATGTTCTTCCAGGGAATCGTACCTTGTTCTAAGCGAACAGCGGATTCGCATTTTAGATATTGTAGGATCCGATTACGAAGCAGCCTAGGGTCAGTGTAGAATCAAATTGGAGATATACATGTCTACAGCTTCGTATTGTGGGTCATGCATTATTACCACCTCGAGGAAATCATCGTCCCTCAAGTCCGTACCTGGCGTACAGTTATTGCAAACGAATTTTGACCAACACCAGTCCTTTTCAGAGAGCCTCACCACGCTCCATACGTATGGCACAACCACATCGGATTCATACGATGGCTTCGAAAGTCGCAAGATGATTAACTCGTTCGGTGCTACTTTCGCACACATTTGTTAGACGGATTCGACACCCTGTTGAAAATGGATGCTATAAAAGCCGGCTCAACTAACGCAGGAAGGCTGCTCGACGTATACCAAAAGTGTGAATCTCACGCTGGGACACAAGGCAAGACTGTTGTACCGCCTATAATGCTTGAAATGTGTAATCGTATGTTCGAGGAAGGTAATGCTTGGCCAAAGATGCTGATTAGGTCTGTTCGGATCGTCTATTATGCGTCTGGCATAAAACACTGTAGGGCGTAGAGGTTTCTCCCATCATATGTGGCGAAATCCGATACCCCTGGCTTCTCGCCGGAGAACCGGTTCAAATCACCTAGGGAAGCCGCTTCTACAACCTAACAATCTATCAGCTGTATCTTAAGATTGTTTTCAATCCAAACTTCCCTTCACGCTGTCGCATGAACCCTGATAGTCAATCATTGTCGCTATCGTGTTGCGCCAATTTCGGTAGATTCGATTTGGCATTGAACGTCGTTTCCTCTAAAGATAAACAGAAAGGCCGAGATTGTGAGGAGTTCCGAGTTTGTCGCACTTTAGAAGTTCGACCATAGTGTGAAAATAATGCTACTAATCTTATTCTACTGTTCAGGTTGACCGTCTAGGACGCATAGGGGAATAATCGATACCTAGAGCTCAACCATACCTCGTATTGCGTCGCTCTAGGACTAAGTTGATCCAACGACGCAGCGCATAGTGATGAAGACCAAATATGCCAGTAGTTTCACCTAAGAACGTCCGAACAATCTCGTTCCAGTCGATATTCGAGAACTTAAAATCTTGGTTCGTTTGCCTCGTCAGTAGAACTCCTGAGAATCCTATTGGTGGAAGGCTATTCGACCTCCTGAGAGCGAGGGAAGTCATTAAGCATAAACCCGGAATCATCAATTCCTCATATTAACCACCGTCTCTTCTCCTGGAACCGAGCCGCAGATCAACAGATCTGAAGATGCCCCTCCCTGTTAATATCCATGGCTTTGACGGAGAACAGAACAGAGTTGGCTGAAACAACCGAGCACTTATTGCGCAATATATGGAGTATCATTTTGGTGCCTGGGCCTGGGTCGACGGCTTCAAATTTCGGCATACAACTCTCACGACGTCTCCCCTTGTCTCAGAACCTTTAAATATCATGGACAGAATGGTCCCAGGGACAGATACGGCTCAACCGGGAGCTCATTCCTTGCAACATGACAAACCTCAAGCACCTTGCGCTACTTGGTGCGGCCGTCGTCCCAGGGCTGGCACTGCCCAAGGCGGCCGATTTCCTCGATTCCAGGCAGGCGTCGGTCTTCCCCAGCAAGTTCGAGTGGACCTCAACGGATGCTCTTGTCGGCCCCAAGAATGACGGTCGCGGAATTGCCGGCATCAAAGATCCCTCGATCATCCTGAAAGACAATGTGTACCATGTCTTCGCAAGCACTGCCAAAGATGAGGGATACAATCTAGTGTACTTCAACTTCACCAACTTCAAGGACGCTGGCAAAGCCCCATTCTACTATCTGGACCAATCCAGCATTGGCACTGGATATCGCGCAGCGCCTGAAGTATTCTACTTCGCACCTCAGAAGCTATGGTATCTCGTCTACCAAAACGGGAATGCAGCATACTCAACGAACCCGGACATCAGCAACCCCAAGGGATGGACTGCGCCGAAGACCTTCTATAACGGCACACCAAAGACAATCGAAGATCGGCTTACTGGTGGATACTGGGTGGATATGTGGGTCATTTGCGACGACAAGAACTGTCATCTCTTCTCCTCGGATGATAATGGACGTCTCTACCGCTCCCAGACGCCTGTTTCCCAGTTCCCCAACGGCATGAGCGAGCCCGTCATCGCCATGGAAGAGAAGAGAAAGGAAGACATGTTTGAAGCGTCGAACATCTACAGGTACGCTAGTGGGAAATATCTGCTTCTCGTGGAATGCATCGGCAGCACGGGTCGCTATTTCCGTTCGTGGACATCGACAGATATTGCCGGCCCCTGGAAACCACTTGCGGATAAGGAAAGCAACCCCTTCCTCGGCGCTAGCAACGTCAAGTTTACGGGTAAACAATGGACCAAGAGCATCAGCCATGGCGAGCTCATCAGAACAAGTCATGACCAGACACTGTCCATTGATCCGTGTAAGATGAGATACTTGTACCAGGGCGTCGATCCAACGGTTGATGTGAGCTATAATTCCCTCCCGTGGAGGCTGGGGTTGGCCGAACACAAGAATCCGGCATGTTAGTCCACCGGACGCGTAGCCAGACGCTCGGTTGGAGCTGCACTATGCAGTGAATGCAATTTCGCTCAAGATATGTCGCTAGAAGTTGGGTAACCCATATAACGCTCTGATAGTAACATTCAGACTCCACTAGTTCTCGAGCAATCATCTCCAAATCCTCAACCTCATGGTTCCTCCTCACATCTACACTGGGGAACACGGGTTCCATGGTGAAGTGCGCTTGACTCGAAAATGAATCAAGAAATCCACCCCACACTATCAGAACGTTAATAGAATTGGACCCCTTGCTCTATAACCGCTTGAGAATATTCCGCCGTTTCAGAAACATGATCTGATCAAATCAGAGGATTGAAACGAACTCACCAATCCCCAGCCCACTCCACCACACTCGGAGCCCACTCTGCAAAGGCGACACTCAGCGTCCATGCCAAAACAATCAAGAAAAGCGCAGTGAGCCAATTCCACCATTCAAGCCACGGAATCCACTGCGTTTTGTCTAACTGACTGACATTGTCTGGAACATCTTCGCTTGCCTCCCATGGCACATTCTTGTTCCAATGGCGCAACACCTGTTCGCTCACAAGTTTGGCACCTGCGAGTACGATGGGCACGCCAGTACCAGGGTGGGTGCTTGCACCCACGAAATACATGTTCTTAATCTTGGGATGTTGGGTCTTAGGTCGGAAGGACAAGACATTGAAGAAAGAGTGCGAAAGGCCAAGAATAGCGCCACGGTCTAGATTAAATCTCTCCCTCCAGGACGGAGGAGTGTTGATCGTCTCGCTGACGATGTGAGGGCCCAGAGATATTCCCAGACGTGCCTCCAGAGTTTTGAGAACTGTATCTCGAGCTGCGGAAACCATACGTCCCCAGTCTTGACTGCTCTGTGAACCACCTTTACCGCCTGACATTCCCCTGTGAGTGTTCGAAGCGTCAAGCATATGTCCGACTGGCACAAGGACAGTGACTGCGTCTGCTCCGGTCGGGGCGGCATTGGGATCGAGGCGTGATGGTACATTGACGTAGAAGCTCGGCTCATCCGGGATCAACTTGGCTTTGAAAATACTGTCGAAGCTTTCCTTGTAGTACTCAGCAAGGAAGATATTATGAGCAGAGAGCTCGTGGAACTGGGTGTCCAGGCCCCAGTAGAAGGATATGCTGGAGCAGGAGGTCTCGCGCTTCGCCAACGACAGCGCGTACGATGTCGAGGGGAGGAGGTTATTGTAGGCGTATATTAGATCCGCGTTGCAGATAACGACATCTGCTCGCAGTTCCTCGCAGTTGTCCAACAAGACCCCATCGACGCGGCTCTGGCCGTCTAACAATAGCATCTTTGAGACCGCGGTATTTAGGCGGAAATCGACGCCCTCGCGCTTGCCAATTTTGACGAGCGCTTCGACAACCTGCTCCGACTTAGCATACCACATTCGATTGGACGGGAGGATGGGAGACCCGGGAAGCGGAAGATGATCACTACCTACCTGATGAAAGCCGCCTTTCGGATACCAAATCCCCTCTGCTAGTTCCGTATACTGTAGCAGACTATACGTGCCGGGGGCATCGAAAGGGCTCATCCCCATATACATGCTCGCAAAGGTGAAAACTCTTCTTAATCTTTCCGTCCAGAAATATTTGCTGGCTCGTCCGTAGACGCTCTCAAACACGTGCAGGGCTAGCAAGTGCGGCAGAAAGCGGTGTCTAAACATGCTCCAAAAGTTGAAGAAATTCTTGTGCAAGACGTGAATGACGGATTGTTCGTAGTGTTGATGGGACTCCTTGAGGAAACTGAGATAACGGTCAAAGCCGCCTTTGCCTTCGTATCTCTCAACCTCGACTTTCATTCTGGCCAAATCTGTCGAGAGAGTGAAGGAGGCGTTGTCGTGGAAATGGACCTTGTAATTAGAGTCGCATTTGATCAATTGGATACCCTCATCTTCCATGGTAGTTCCCAGATCACGGAATGTCTCGTGAAATATCTGGGGAAGAAGGAGTAAACTTGGTCCTTGATCAAATCGCTTGATGTCATTAGTAGGCGTAAGGTTCTGTCCGTATCACTTGATACTCACGTATCCATCCTTGTATATCAATGAGCACCTGCCGCCTGTGAAATCGTTCTTCTCGATCACCGTGACATGCCAGCCACATTTTGAAAGGCGGGCTGCGGTCGCACAACCTCCCGCTCCAGCACCAACAATGATAACACTGGGTGACGGGTCCTGGCCCATCTCGCACTCTGGGATTTGTGCCTCCAGCTCGATGAGCATCTCGGACGAGAGCCGAGTCGCGAAACGGGAACCACATATACATGGTGTGGCCACAGGGAAGTCTATGCGAAAATGCCTGCCATACCATCTAGACCAACTTCGAAGTGGTTCCACAAATAATAATGGTGACGTCGGACAAAGTGTCATAAGATCGAATGAAGCCTTGGTCTGTGCACAGACTCACCATCGGCGTCAGTCCAATTTAGATCGATGCTCACATAAAATAATGCAAACACTCCACTTCTATGGTGAATGTGGTGCAGGTGGATGTTTCCAAGACCAAAGGGCGTTCCAACTACTAGGACCTACATAGCGCCACCAAAAGACGGAGCGGAAATTCCCACAGATTAAGGCAGTGTTTGGCTTGCTTTAATCTCGATCAGTAACCTGGTCTATCAAAAAGCCTAATAAATGCTGCATGAGCACCTCGTCGTCCTTAAGAGGTACAGAGCACCACTCCGGCTTCCGAACTCACTGCAAACCGCCCAAGACTTGTATCATTGGGACCTCAGAGACTTCCAAGCGACGCGCAACCTTCTCAGCTTCGGGACCGTGGCTCTGCCCGCCTTGACCACGTACCCTTCCCGCCTAAGCACCCGCCCGATTTCCATGTAGCTCTCCACAGCCACACGACGGGGCCCTCGTGCTTCTACAGGCAGCTCCTCAATTGCGTCTTTGGCACCTTTGTGCAGGGCAAAGGCTTTCTTGAGTAACTGGCTCCGGAGCTTCTCCACAACTGGCCTATGCGGATTGTGTAATATCGAGCTCGCACTGAGGCCTTCTTTCTTAAGCCAACTGCGCGGGATGTAAACACGGCCCATGCTCGCATCGACAGCGATGTCCCGAGCGATGTTGACGCACTGAAGGGCAACCCCCATGCGATCGCCGGCTTCAATAATACGCTGTCGGTCCTCCCCTTTCACGTGTGTGTCGTAATCATATAAAATGAGCTCCAAGCACATGTTTGCGACCGTCCCAGCGACACGATGCGCATAGATATCCAGGTCCGATTCGACAAGAATGGGGCCGTCCTTATCTTGGCAGAAGCACATGTCCATCTCGAACCCACGCAGCAGGTCTTCCAGGGGTTGACGGGAGAGTTTCTTAATGGGCACTTGGATGAGCGCCGCCTGCGTCTCCTTCGGAAAAGTCGTTCGAATAAAGTTGGACGTGGCAGCTTGCTCGCTGTTTCCATCATATGCCCGTTCGAGAAACTCTTGCAACCTCGCAATCCAAGTGCGGGCTTCAGTTGGGTTGCGGGCATCATCCACAAGGTCATCTGCAACTCTGCAGAACGAGTAGAGCAAAATCAAGTCAGTACGGATCTGACTTTGGAAAGCTGAACTCGCGACATAGAAGCTGCGACTTTTCTTCTCGAGACGCTGGACAGCTTCTCGCAAGCCTGCTATTTGGTTCTCGTCGAACCTTGACGCGGGCATCAGCGAGGCCCGCATCAGAAATGCAGGCGATGGCAGTGGCGGAGAGTCTGGAAACAGATCGGGGAAGGCGCTGAGAATTGACAAGGCACTGTCGAAGGCGATCTGACCGAACACTATGACCACGTTGGTCAAGAGGAAGAAAAGCGCCTCTTCTATCTCCAGGCCGTCCCAGAGATGGACTCCCATTTTAGTGCCCGGGTTTATTACCCACGTACCCCGTTGCAAGGCTAGAGTATCCACCATCCAAAGGTAGACAGTAGGCAGCATAATGGGTGCGAGTGTATTCGAGAGGGGTAAGCTGATGATGAACTGATACGCAAGAGTCCTACAGCCATGATTAGTGTGACGCAGAAGTGGGCGTACTTTGTCTGGTTTCCCTACCATAAGAACACCAGAAATGGAACTGCCCAAATGATGATTAGACCGGCATAGGTAGCACGCCCTGCAGAAAGGACCATGCACCAGCCCCAGCCAATGATACCCACCAAGACTAACTGACCAGCCACCCGGTAATTCCGCCATTCCGGATTCAGCACGCCGTTTGGATGACCATCACCCCTCACGGCCGTGAGGAGCACAGGTTGATATGTCGGTTTGCTGAGAATCAGATAAAAAAGTGAGGTGTTGTAAGTTTGTACAATGAAGAAGAAGATCTCCTCCACCGGGATCTTGAAGAACGTCTGGCCAACAATGACATGGCTTGGATAGCTCCAGATGTTCTTTCGAATCAGATACGAGTCCCATGGTAATGTTGATATCACGGCGACCTGGCATGTGAGCGACGATAACAACCGGCATGTGAGATCACGTACGCTGATAAGAAATCCAAGCTTATAGATGTCCATCTTGGTGAGCAATGGCCGGTACAGGAGAGTTAGCGCGACTGCTGGTGGGATGGTGTACTTGAGGTGTCTACACTACATGATCAGCATTGTTGGGTGTTGAAAGGACTCGGACACGGTCTTAGAATTGCCATACACAAAGACATATTCGAGGCCCATTATATTGCGAAGGCTCGATGAAATGATTGGGGAGGCGTGAACTCGGCGGTGCGGTGTTGAGAATGAGCCGGCCGCAGGTCCAAGGGGTTCAAAGAGATTCGGAATCTCCATTGAAACGCCATACATGCTGCGTACGATTCGACTATTATTGGGGCGCCATCGGAAGCGTGCTAGCGGGATCGCCAAGGGCCGTTTTAATCGATATAGGACGTCATCATTTGAAGGTACGATCGCAACAAAGGGTGAGAAGAGCAATAATCGGGAGAAGCATTGTTATTCGCCTGATGCGCCATCCCTACCTTGGTGTGTGGTGGCCGGTACCTGGTGAACCCCTCTTCGTGGACAGACGGTGGGGGTTTTGGGGCTTGAAAATTGTTGTTTCGGATGGCGTAGATGGTATCGTCGCGATTCTTTGTCGTTTGCCCAACTGGATCTGTTTGAAGTTATCGCATCTTGAGGTGGATGCTGTGCACTGTGCACTAACCACATTGAGAGATATTCATTAACATCGTGGATGGTGATGCCGATATCTATAGCTTGTTGCCAGCGCAACGACATGGAGGGCAGTTCCTATCACGGCGCATATATGATGCAGCTGGTGCGAGTGACCCCACACGTCGAAAGTACCGGGGCTGAGCCTTTCAGGAATTCTCGATACGAACATCGAAACTCCAGTGCACAACACTAATGCCTCGGAGAAGTACCAATGTGCGCCGATTTGCTCACAAGCCCGAGCCCAACCCAGCTTTCCTATGGAATGGAATATCGGAAGCATGGCCGTAATCGCAAGCAGGACGAAGACGCCGCCTCGTAGTGCTCGCATCTTATTCCCTCCTCCTCCAGTGTCAAACAGGGTAACTGCCGCACCGAGTGCCGCACACCCATTGAGCGCCCAGTATATGCGTTGGACCTTAGGGTAACAGAAGAAAGCGTAATATGTTGCCGATGATCCTCCTCCGAGTGCGAGCAAGCAGATTCCAAAGATGTCCAGTCTTCCCCAGAAGTGATGAACGTTGTAAGAGTGGCTTCGTAGAGTATGAAAAATGGTGCTCAGTGCGAAACAAATGGCTCCCGCGGTCATTTGGATTCCGAAGGCAAACTTGTCCCCAACGCTGAGATAGAGGGATCTGGAGACTGCATGGTTGTATAAAATGATACCAGCTGCTACGAAAGCTCCACTGCCAATGAGGTGGGTCCAGATGTTCATCGTCTCCATGTGCAGACAGCGCCAAAGTCGAAAAGAGCGTTTGTAGGAATAGGTCGGCATTGGATGTCCTCCGATTATATAGTCATTATCTTTCAGCCAGCCGGGAATTTCATCCTTTGTTGCAATTGTGGGCCAGTACGGGTCATTGTTATGTTTGGCCAAGATGGGCGAGGCGCTTCCGAATGATGAGTCCGTATTCCTGGAGGTGGGCGACAGTGTTGCGTCCTTGGCCATGTCTGCGTTTCCGATACTCTGCGACTCCAAAATCGGGGTCCTAGAGCGAGGCAACATTATATGAACCTCCGCGTTTCGCCGTTTCCGTGGTCGTTGAAGTGCCGGGAAGCTTGTGGGAAAGAGCGTAGGATCCAAGTTTCAACTTCGAGGAGGCGAGGGCAACGCTGGGGCTGGGTTTTAGCCGCTGTTGAACATGGGCGGCTATCGAGCTGCTGGCATGGGTCAGAGAACCGCCAACCGTCTCCCCTCCCTGATTTACGTATAATAGTATATCTAACTCCTCACCAAAAACTGCAACTGCACGGAAATAGCACAATCAATGCCCCAAGCGCTAGTTACATGTTCATCACTGGCATGATCCCTTTGCAGCTGGCGGGTTTTCGTTTCACTTACCGACTCTGCATTGTGCTATTTTTTGCGAGAGAGTTGCGGCACAGCATCGAAATACACAAGTTGCAAATGGATCTTATAGCTAGAAACTCGATGTTGTACAGCTGCACTCCAGCAAACGCTTCGAGCAACCCGTGTTATTACATTAGGGCGCCTCACTCATTTGTGTCTCCATGGAGAACCTGAACAACACTGGACCTGCAGTCGTCTCAGGATGGGTATCCAGCCCGAATACTAGAGGCACGATGGACATAATATGGTCCTCTTTTCTCACCATCTTCCTCTGTACATGGACCGCTGTATCACTCAATATTCCCCATCCGCACGACTCCAAGTACGACATATTTTGCAGGAAGGCGAAGTGGATGTTCTGGGCTATCGTGGGGCCAGAGATCGTCCTTGCGGTAGCAATTGGCCAATTTGCATCAGCTCGAAGATCGGTGAAGCGCTTCAGAAGTCTCGGCTACAACATATGGACTGTCCGCCATGGTTTTTTTCGCTGATATGGGTGGAATCCTTCTCCAGCCGAAAGCACCCCATTCCTCGTCAACAGTCGACAATTGGCCTACTTGGTTGAAAAGGAGTACGTTCAGTTTCCGAACATTACCGCTGAGGACATATGGGACAAGTCGAAGGCGGACACCCTCGCCAAGATCATGACGTTGGTGCAAGCTAGCTGGCTTGTTATACAACTCCTTGGTCGTGCTGTGCTTGGCCTATCCACTACCACGCTCGAACTTTCGGCCGGGGCCATATTGTTCTGCACATTTGGTACATTTGTTTGCTGGTCACACAAACCAACCGACGTGCAGAAAGGGATTGTCCTCACATGCGAAGCAACTACCGCTCAAATATTGATGGAAGCCGGAGAAGCGGCAGCTGAGCCATACAAACACACGCCCCTGGACTTCGTTGCGAAGCAGTCTTTCACCTGCGGTTACGACGTCATGCGTTTCTTTAATCTACGCTGCGATAATCCAGAGCGCCCTCTAAGACGATTCCCGAACGACCGATTTCCCGATATCTGCACGTGGGAAAAGTTCGCACTGTTTTGTATGACTTCGGCATACGCAGCAACGCACATGATTCCATGGAAGCTCGCATTTCCAACGCGCCAGGAAAAGATGCTCTGGCGCATTTCCGCGTTGATTTTCACATGCGTCACGGTGTTCTTTTGGGTCTTTGAAACTGTTGCTGTGCGTCAGCGATTCGGCAGGTGGGACAAGTATCTCATATGGTTAAGACTAAAGAAACCGACCGAATGTGTCGCGGCGGATGAAGAGGCGCCCCCAAAGCGGGTAAGGACCGTCGATCAGCTTGATGCTTTCGAGCGGGAACAACAAAATGCTAAGCCGTTGCTGGTGTGGGAGGTTGGCCTGTTGCTTCCTATCGTTGCCCTCTACGTATTGGCTAGAGCATACATGATTGTGGAAGTTTTCGTCAGTTTGAGGGAGGTACCAAAGGAGGTGTACCAAACGTTCGAGTTGGCCGATGTCTTACCTCACTGGTAACAGCCTTTCCGACCTTAAGATAGTATACGGCTTGGATAAGGGTAATACATATCACCGCACTGGAGTTAGAGAATCTCTTTTACAATTAGTTAAGAGAAAGATATCTTAGACATCTTCTACTTAATGTTTCTGAACTGGATGCAGGGCCCAGTCATCTAGAATCTTTCAACAAAGTTTACATTTCCCTAGAGAGACCTAACTTTGCGTTCATGTGCTGATTGCTGTATGATTTGCATCATTATCCCTGAATCGTGCAGAACTTTCTGAAGCTTCATGACTGACTAGAACCTTTGGAAGATCTCGAAACACATAAATTTCCTAGACCTGCACGCTGCATTAGGATCTTGAGGTGATGGTGCCAGTCTCCTGCTAGGATGCTTATACTACAAGTGATTACGCACGAGTGCCGGCTCCTTCGGAACTACAGTCGGGACTGGTTATTAGGAAACTATTGGAAATAGGAAAACCATTGACGTAAGGAAAATTTCCGCGCTACCGTACGAATTTGTATAGGAAATAAGGAAACCCTAGGGTAAAGGAATTTCCTGAGGTTTCGCCTATACATTTCCTTATTCTTATACCCCTAACTAGCCCTATTTAGTAGTAGTATCGCCCAGGTTAGGTATTGTAACTATCGACTTATAGACTGTAGAGAGGCTTATTTGTACAAAACAAGATACTGTGCCTGGTTATCCTACAGATAAGGAGCTGCTTATTAATATAGAGCTTCTACCTAGGTATAACTCTATGTAAATATATTATATAATCGGACTGGGTATAGGGAAAGTCATCTACTTAAGGAAAAATTTTCGCTCCACCATAGATTTCCTAATAACCAGTCCCGACTGTATTCCGATCATTCCGTAATCGGAATATGGCAGAGCTTGGCGAAACCCATCTATCTCTATCAGGACTCTGGCCGATGGAACCACACCCTGAGCAACAGAAAAGCTCAATGCCGTCCGCGGCTTCAACGACATCGCAGCAGCACTCTCTAGATGCTGTGCCCGATCCCGACCGCCTCGCTCCTGCCGATGCCTACTATCGAGCCCGCAACCTATCCCCCGATGCTGCACTGAGCGCCCGAAAGCGTCGCGAACGGACGCGAAGTGCCACGCGGCGACAGAAGGGACATTATAAGAAGCTTCTATGGTTCAAGCAGCCATTTCCAGATAACTATACCGATGAGGAGACGTTCTTGGATCACCTCCAGCGGAACCCGCGACTGCAGCCGTACCAGTTCTGGTCGTTGATGGCCGATGCGACCGTCATTGTGCAACACATTGCTTCGGTCGCTATCTTCTGCTGCTGTTTTGTAGCGATCGCGCAAGAGCGGGTATCACCTGTTTCTGTTGTGAGCTGGGCGACGTTCTGTACCGTGCTGGGATGGGCCATGTGGGATTATTGGGTTGGACAGGAAGAAGCACGCGCTGCCGAGGTGGCTTCAAGGGAGACTAATATCGTCGACGAGAGCTCCGATCCAAGCTCATCTCACTCTTCGGAGGAAGCCAGTGGTCTCGGACTGGTACTCCCAGATACGAGCGGGAAGTCTTCGGGCCATTCTCACCATCCCAGTATATCTTCCGTTGCTTCCAACGTGTCTGGTACTTCTCACGAGCCGGCTCCAACACCAACTGATCCAGATAGTATTGACTACCAACCTCCCTATGTAGATCCTACGTCGTCTCTGTCACCTCGAAATCAGCAGCGTGTGGCGACTGCAAAGTCCGCGCTACTCATTTATGCAGCGGTGCTTGGCCTGAGCCCAATCCTGAAGTCTCTCACAAGGTCAACCACAAGCGACTCCATCTGGGCACTTAGCACATGGCTGCTGTGCATGAATGTTGCGTTCTTTGACTATGGCGAAGGGACAGGTGCACAGTATGTTTCCCGAACTATCTGCCTGGATATATTCTGAAAACCTCAAACAGCCTTCCCGCATCCATTTCCACAAACTCGGCCCTGATGGCATCAACCGTTCTCGCCTCTCGCCTGCCATCCACAACGCACGTATTCTCTCTCACCCTGTTCTCCATCGAAGTGTTTGGTCTCTTTCCCATATTCCGCCGTCGACTCCGAAGTGTGTCCTGGCATGGCCATCTCGTTCTCACCGTCGTGCTCGTCCTCGTTGCATGTGGAGGCCTTTCCGTCATTTTGACAGGCGGCGGTCGCGGAGCCTGCATCGCCGGCGTCATCCTTGGTGGGACTCTAACATATTTCACTATGGGGCTGTGCAGTTGGTGGCTTATAGGGCTGCAGAAATACAAGAATGAAATTCATGGGCCCTGGGATCCGGCGAGACCTATTATACGGCGTCGTTGGGATTAATGAGACGTTTATATTTTCATTCCCAAATCCTCCAGAACAGGAACTGCTCTCTGTGGGTTAGATATGGTCCAGACGATATAATCAGAGCGGCTCTCCTGAGCGCCATTTCACTCCTCTCTGTAGGCGAGCGCTAGAGGTGGGGCGCAGCCACCGCAGCCACTCAACGAAGCGACTACACGTCACAATGGGCTGGACAGAGCTACGAGAGCTATGGAGCTGAAAAACAAAGAAAAGAAAAGAGAAGTTGGATGCGAAGATGTACAGCTGGTTGAATCGTGTCCCTGTTCTTCTCCCTGTCGTCCCTTGTCTAATCTCACTCCTGTTGTTCTTCACTGTCTTGAATCACGTCCAAATCCTCATTTCGACCATCTCATTTCCCCTCTCCAATTGCTTTCCGTTTGAAGATACTCCGCTCTTCATTCCAAGATGTCGCACTCATATGCCTCGCGCACCGCTTCGATCCGGATCCCAACGCAATCGCAGCTGGGCTCCCCACTCCTCCGCCTCCCACTCGAACTTCAATTGATGATATATGGGTTCTGTCTCACCATGCCGACTCAGATCGTTGATCCTGGGATTCCCAGCCACCTTTCTCCCTGCAATGAGACGGATGGTCATCAAAATCCAGCGCTTCCCATGCTACTCGTCTGTGAGGAGACTTACCACGCCGTCCATGCAGCGGCCAGGTGCCTATACACGAACAACAGCTTCCACTTCACCACAATTGCTAACCTGGATTCTTTCCTCGGGCATCTCCCGCCCCACCATTCCGCCCTCTTAGCTCACATCTCCATCTCCTTGGACGGCATCCTGGGCTGGCATCCAAACCAGACGGACGAATGGCTGCAGTATCTCGCGGACGACCTTGCTGGAGGTAGCAAGACCACGTGGTCGAGGGTACTCGACTCACTGAAGACGAGAACTCCGAACCTGAAGTCATTAATGCTGACACTGGACCGAGATGGGCTAATAAGCCAGCTTGCGCTCGATAACCGAGTAATGTGTGTGGCCCAGGCCATGGTGAAGAGGGTCAGGGGGTTGGGGCTGGAAGAGTGCGTTGTTGTTTGTCCGGTGGCCGAACTACGGATACTCTGGAAGGGCCTTGAGGACCAGTTCCATTTTGACTTTGAAATTTGACTGCGATGGGGGTTGATGATTGATTCCTTGGAGATAGGTGGACGCTGTCCGTCTAGGTATCACCCGACAACACAACTTTGCTTTCGTTCCATTCCGTCCCGTTCGGCTTACTGGGTAATTCTTTTATAACGCGCGAGCTCATAGGTCGTCGACCACGCCAGAGATCCGCGGTCGGGCCAGCCGAGTTCAGCGGGTATCGCTGATAGACTAGGCCCTGTCCAGTGCCTGTCCACGTTCCGGACGAGATATCTTTCCATGACGACCTCAAGATTGAGGAAGTTGCCTACCCTCGTCCATCTAATCACCTTGTCCCCCCTGGGTTCGCCGTCTTTGCCACCAACCGCGTCCCCCGCAAACGCGAGAAACCCACGGTAACGATATATGTCTTCCAATCCCCCTACGAAGTTCACACTGGACCAAGGCTTCACGCCCGCACTGGCACGGCCAGCCACGAGGAGGAGTCTCTGCAGCCCAAGGTCCGCCAGTCTCCTGACTGCGGTTCGGATGCCCATGGCTATGCTGTACCGCATCCACCCGGCCCCGTCCCACGAGTCGTCGGCCGGTTCTTCCCAGCCTCGAAACTGCAGAGTGAGGACTTGCAGTCCCGACAGCTTCGTCCTTCCCTTCAGCACCGTTATTCCACCCCAGTAATCCTGGTACCGCTGCCCAAAATGATCTCGTTTCCAGTCCTCCACGGCCGGGTAGCATCGATGCAGAACATCATCGGAGAGAGTCACATCGCGGATGAGAGCGCGGCGGCGCCGCGGGAGCATGTACAGGAAATCGCCCAGGTCGGAAAGATGAGTGAAGTGGAATTCGGTAAATAGATAGAGCGGAGCTGCAGGGGGGAAGAAGGGAATGGTGTGGTAGATTTTGCGGCATGTGCGGGGGAGAGCGGTGCCTAGGCTTCGGACGGGCGTTTCGAGCTCCTGTTGAAGTGCCGGGTTGATGACGGGGCCTGGCGCCGTGAGAGCATAGGTGAAGATTATCTGTTGGATTTCGGTGGGGAGGCGGAGGAGGGGTGACTGCAGTTGCAGGTTCGTGGGTAGTGGTATCTGAGCAGCCGTTCGTCTTCTGGGGTACCGGGGCATGGCTGGGGAATATGGAAGTGGATTGTTGGACCCGATGTAGTGGAAACCCCGGGCTACGGGAAGCCGCAGGATGAAAGTAAAACAATTGATTTTAGTCCGACAGCGGAGAAAAGTCCAGGATGCATATCTACTTGTATACTTGTAGGATGGATATTTTTGGGGCGTCAGGGAGGTACAAAAAACCGGTCAGGTTGGCGGGAAACCCTGGAGACACAGGATTGATCTGATGCGGCACAGCAGATTCTATGCTTCTACGCCTCGCGCGCCCTGTATAGAATACGTAAATACACAGAGGCCGTAGCTCTAGATAGTCTTCAAAACATGTGTCCATGTAAGACAAATACTCTACTTTACTTGAGTTCTCGGGCTAAACAGCTAATACCTTGAAGTGCTCAGCCTCATCTATCTCCCATATTTTCTTCTGGGTCGAAACCCTTCCAAGACCAGACGATCAAGCGTCCAACGTGCCCTTGAACGCTGGAACAGAATGCATGTAGCGAATAACGGCATGCTTCTTCCATCGTATGAGCTGATCATGCAGAGTGGCTAGATAGCCACAACGCGACGGTTGTGCACCCCGAATGGAAGGCGAAGATGAATGTGCCAAATATCAAAAATTCGCAAGTAGGTATCATAGCATCTCGAAATCCCATCTTTGGCGAACAAGCCGGAAAGGAAGAGCCAGATTTCCGAACCAGTTCCCAACATGTATCAACAACAGAAGAAACCCGAGCCTGCCCTTATCCAAGTACCATTACCCCATTCACTATATCGTGTCAGATCCTGATTTTTTCTTTTCCTACATCACATCCGGGATCTTCACTCCACCCGATCTCACCCACCTACCGCCCAGTCTGACAAATGGCAAGACAAAACTCCCGAAAATCCCCCTTGGTCGCCTCTTCAATATCCTCCTCCAACAGCCTCTTATACTTCTCCTCGTACTCCGCCTTCACCCTGGCCAGGTGCATGCGATCCCAATGCAGTCTCACGAGCCGCGAAATGAGAAGTTCGTAGCGCTGCTGGCGCTCGTGCTTAGCTGAGGACGATTCTTTGTTGGAGGAGGAGCGCGACGGCGAGTGGGATGGCTCGATGAGGTCCATGAGGGCGTGGTGCAGGAGCATGGCGTCGCGGGAGGGGCGGTTGATGACGCCGTTGAGAATGTGCGCGATGACTTCGCCCTAAAACGTACTGTATTAGCAACCGCTTCATTGTGACTTGGCTTCACCGTCTTGATGGTTCAAAGAAAATGCACTCACCACAAGATTATTGCTCTTGCGCAACGCCTCCCTCGCGAAATTCCCTCCGTACTTCCTCTCGTACGTCCTCAACACCTCCCTCAAATGCGCATCACTCCGCATCACGATGATATTCAGCATTGCGCTCTCTCCGCCCTCCCTCGCCTTCAGCGCCTTGTACAAAGTATCCACATCGCGGTTCCTATACTCCACATCCCACACATCGCTCTCCTCCTGCCTCTCCCCCTCGAGCGCCATCAACACCGCTCTTCGAAACTTATCCGCCTTGAGCTCCTTATCCATACACCTCGTCAAGCTATCCCCATACCGCTTATCCTTGAACGCATCCTTGATCTCGCGGATTTCGTAGTTCTGGCGTCCCATGAGTGCTTCGATCAGAAGCTCGCGTCTCGCGTTGCCGGACTGGTACCAGTAGTTTGCCCAGTATCCCTCGCTCTCGTAGCGACCCAGCGCCGTCACGTAGGCGATTTTGCCAAAGTTGCCGCTCGTCTTGAGCTTGATGTGTTTCGCAATGTTGATGCCTCGACCCTGGACTTTGCAGTGGCGTTTATATTCCGAGCGCAGCTCCATCATCTGGTCGTGCGAGAGTATGGGCAGAATGTCGATGAGCGTGTCCGCGTCCGGTGGGCGGGAGGAGAGGGCGTCCACGAGGGCGAGCGCATCCTCCTCGGCATCATAGATCTTGACGCGCTTTTCCTTTTCGCGATCCCGGTCGCGACCTGAGGCTCCGGCAAGACTGCCGTATGCAGCCATGGCCAGCTTGTCTTTGTGTTTGGATCTGCGTGCGGGGCTAGGAGAGCGTCGACTAGCAGACGAATGCGCACGGCGTCTTCCTCCATGCAGGGACGTGCTGGATCCACGTGGGGAGAGACTATCAAGGGGTTGAAGATGGTCGATATCATCATCCGGTAGCATCAAAGCATGCGGCATCGGTGATATGGACTGATAGACACCGTGATATGCCTCCAGCATGGGACTAGGAGGAGGAAGGCTGCCTTCACCACCGCCATGATATCCGCCTGGAACCAGAGTCTGTATATCCGGCCTGTTTCCGCTGACTGACAGCCTCTCCATCCGGTTCGTCAAGTTATCGGGCCGCCCACCGCTGACCGAATGACTATGTGGACGTAACCCAGGCGAAGGCGGAGCGTTGAGCTTCCCTCCTCCTTGAGGAGTAACCTCGACGACGTGATGGCCATTGTATGCGCTTGGGTGTCCGCCGTGCGAAGGCGTACGATGGTGTTCGGAGTGTCCGGGGTACGGTCCAGGGGGAGGGGGAGGATACTGCTGTTGAGTAGGTTGAGGAGGCGGCGGTGGCGGCGCAGGCATTGAAGTGTAGTACTGTTGCTGCGGCTGCGATTGCGATTGCGGTTGCAGTTGCGAATGCTGACTCGCAGATGACTGGCTGGCGGTAGGTGCATGGCGTACGGGCGGAGGCGCCTGAGCTGTGGGAACGACTGGCTTCGCGGTGAAGGTAATCTTGTCGGGAGGGGCCGCGTACTGAAAGCCTCCGCTCGCGGAGGGATTTCGCGTAGGTCCACCTTGGGTAGCGGGAGCGGGTGTATACGCGTACTGTCCACCGGTCGTCGCATACTGTATGTTCGGTTGCGCATATGATATGCCTGGCGAAACAGGCCCTCTTTCCGCCGTCGCAGTATACTGGTAATGGGCCGCTGCTTGCGCTTGTTGTATATATGCCGGACGCTGGTCTGGAGGAAGGTCTGTATAGTTGCCCATGGTTATGGGTTCGCTCCCCGGTTGTCTGGTTGCCATATCTCAGCCCCGTTCGTGCCGTCTCAAGGTCGGAAGAATGAAGAGAAGAAGCGTGCACTCCCGCAATAGCTACTCACGTCGCGTGGTGTTGTCCTGGTTGCCTAAGCTCATATTGCGGCTGCGGGGTAGCTCCCCCATGGCCATAAGCATGTTCAGCTAATGAGCCGTGTGGTTGGGTGTAGTGCTGCGGTCCTGGCGAAGGCGCCCGTACATTGCTGCGAGATCGTTCGCGTCCGCGACCGGGCGACTTTGACCGTGAGCGCCCCTTGCGGTCGTCTGGGCGCAGAGTGGACATGAGAGAGTGGCAGCTCGAGGCACGGGTGTTGTTTGTTATGCGAGTAACGGTAGTAAGGCTTTTGGTGATAGGGAAGCCCTTGGAAGGCAGAGGCAGACAAAGCGAGGGAGACAGTGTAAGCAGTGCGAAAAAGGAGCGTAATGAGAGAGTTCATAGGACACTCTCGAAAAAGCGAGAGGTTGGCTTGAGGTGCGGCTGGCGTTTTACGAAACACAATGGCGGGGATCCACAGCTCAGGCTCAGGGCTGTAAGCGACGCGCTACTAACCCCCAGAGATCTAGTGTCAACCTAGGCGTTTGTATCGCGCCGAGCTTACAGTATGCGAACGTGGTTTGTTGGTCCGTTGCTGGTTCCTTCTTGTGCTCGTTTGGCCAATGTGGGGGCCACAGGATGCAAAGGAGTCAGCAAGCCGGGCGATATTCGAACGTAATACAACAGTGAATGTAGAAGGGAAAACGAGAATTGATTTACGCCGTACACTGACGGCATCGGTATGAAAATGCATGGTATGTTCCGAATTTCCAAGAAAATTCAGCTATTCACCTATGAACTTTCAGGTACTTCAGTTAAGAGAGAAACCGACATCCTGAGCCAGAATACTTGAGCTATATCCGCACAAAAACCTACGTGCTTCCCTCAGTATTCAAATATGCATTCTTTTGAGATGACCTCGCAGCCCAAAGTTAACCTGGATTGCCAGACCCCTCGCGTCCTGGAGGGCGCTCACGTCGCAACCCGTTCCCTACAATAGAACAACCACCAGCAATGGTTCCTTGAGCGGGATAAACGGGTCTCAAGGTGGACCACTCTAACCCATGAACTGCCGTGCCGCCGGGCTGGGAGAGGGGTACAGACACCTGCTCCATGCCTGGGCCTTGCAAGTCCATTCCGAGCGTGTTCATACGCATTGTCGGTGCAAAGTTGGTCCCTAGAAGGCCAACGTCGTTGGAGGTCTGCGAGATGGAGGGCATTTGCTCCTCTCGCATGAGTCCATCCCCATCAACCATGGAGAGCAGGTCCGCTGGCCGAGGCAAGTTGTGCGTTGCGTTCCTGGCACTGGAGCTGGGCACCGGCGGAACCACAAGGGTGGGAAGAGTGGGATGCGACGAAAGCGACTGTTCGTGAGGGAGACAACGTTGCCTCTGCAAGGTGTTGCCAGAGGATATCTTCTTAGTCGTGCATCCATCAAGGGAAGGGAATCTCACATTCGACGGAGTGGCAACGGAGGGTTTCATCGTCATGCTGGGCTGGTTCCGGGATTGTTGGACAGCAGCCTTGCGAGACATATCACCGCTTAGAGAGTATGAGGAAGTCGGCTGTAAGGGTCCAGTCGACAATGACGACGTAATTGAAGGGAGTGGGTAATTTTTGGCTGAACTATGGCTTTTCTGAAGCATCGGTAGGTTCAAGGCGCGGGGGTCAATATGCTGGCCATCCGAACTGTGGATCCAACTCGCCGCAGTCTCGTCCATGACTGGGCCAACCCGCTGAGCAAAGGCAGCGCTGGAACTGGGTAATGCGGCGGCAGGAGATCCCTTATTGTTTGTTGGGTTGGAATCGAGGATAGTGCGGCTGAGAACAATGGGACTGTGACTGTCGTGCGTGTCGTTTTCGGAGAATATGTCCCCCAAGTCATCTAGGGGGCCGGGGAATGTGTCGGGTTGGAGGTACGGACGGGGTTGCGAATCCCATTCTTGAGATTCGGCTGTTGTCGCCGTGACTTGCCCCGATCCTGGCTCCCGGGGTTCTCCATGTTCCTGTGCGATCCTGCTCGAAGACCCGCTTATACTCACAGTACCGTTGGCCGACTCGTCCTTAGAGTCTGTCAACTTCTTATCGAGAAGCAGCTTTTCCCTCTCTTTCAACTTTTTCCCGGCCTCCGCATACTCTTCTGGATACCGTACACGGAATCGGTCACGCAGATCCGTCGCATGACGCCCAGAAAACCCAAGCTCTTCGTCATCTCTGATGAGATGCCATTTGCCTTTCCATTTTCGAAATCCCTTGAGCAGATTCTCATCATCTTCTGCGGTAAAGTGGCGATGTTTTCGGCGTTCCGCTCTGATGAACGGTCCGCGAATACCCATCTCTTCCAGCTCTGCCACGCTAACTCGGTCAGTGCCGTCTCTGGGTTTCCTGGTACGCACACCCTCGCTCCTGAAAGCCTCACCGGAAGACATGTCTTCACATATGCTGCGGGAAGTAGTCGAAGGAGACACGCGGTCAGTTCCGACCTTGCCCATCCGCGCGCCTTTGGCTCGACTCTTCCTGGTAGCTTTGAGGCCACCTTCAGGGCAGCAGGTACGAAACCGGTCCTTCAAGTCCACGGCAGTACGGTTGTTGAAATGGAAATCCTCACAATCCAGGATCTTCTTCCATTTCCCAACTCCGAACAAACTTACCCCGGTGAGGAGATCTTTGGTCTCCTGTGCAGTCCACTTGTTTCGTTTCCTGGTCTCCTTAGCCTCGCCGGTGGCTACTGCATCAGCATCGATGTTCTCCTTCGGGGTCCCATTCGGGCCCGCCACTCGTGACTGAGGAGTAGCTGGAGTCCGCTTGTCCACCTTGACGTAGTTTGCCTTTCCCTTCTCTTTCTCGGACACAGCAATGTCCGAAGATTCGTGAACCTCGTCTCGACTCTGGCTTGTGCTCTTTTCTGTTACTCGCCGAAATTCTAGCCCGTCGCCGCCACCAATCCCAGCTCCGAAACCTCCCCCCTCGCCAGTGATAGGTGGAAACAACCGCCCCTCCGGCGGCAGAGGGGGTGGTTGGTGAAGGCCTTGGAGAAGTGGTGGTATGCGTTGTCGCCTAGCTTTGCTCTTCACGGGACGGGTTGTCGGCTTTGGCAGCGTAAGAGAGTTGTTCTCTAGACTACCAAGCAGAGGATTACCGGACACAATGGATGGAGTGACCGGGGATATAATGTTCCCTGGTGCGTTCGCTTCCAAGCCATCGTTCAACTTTCTTCGCTTGTCTTGATGAAGGTTATGGGATGAAGATGATGATGATGATGATTTGGTTGGGTCAATGAGAATATCAGTCAACCGACCGCTGAAGGTTGGCGGTACTGCTGAATGGCGCAGCTGCTGCTCAGCTGTCACGCCAGGACGGCTGAACAGCGATGATGAGGAGGCGCCATGGTTGAGGACCTCCGCAATGGGCACACCCGACTTTGATGGATTCGCTATATACGGAGCCGGAGGTGTAAATTGATCGCCGCTGTGGTTAACAGAGGAAAACCTGCTCTCGGTGCCAGAGTCATCAAAGAGAGTTTGGCGTTCCAGGGGTCCCGGTGGTCTCGAACCGGGATGGAGAGAGATGGGTTGAATGCCTTTGTCGGAGTTGGGTTCATAAGTATACAAAGCCTGCGCCCGAGAGGTATAGGTGCTTCGTTCCATGGTAGCTGGGCACTCTTGGGAGATGGAGGGGAGCGGATGAGGTGCACTAGCTCAGGTTGGTTCAATCATGGAGCGTGGCGGTTTGAGGTTTCGAGATAAAGACGAGAACAATCCATCCATAATTCCCTAGTAGTTAAACGGTACCCTCTATTGCGATCAGTAAGAACGACGGACTGCTGAAGAATGTGGGAGCGACGTTTGTTGGTCAGGCTTTCTCAAACTTCGCTGAGGTGCAGTCGGAGATATTGCCAAGCGCCGACTCCCGAAAGGGAAAGCCACAACCGCGCCCCGCGCCCCGCGCAACTGCGGTCTCGCCTCTGCAAGTTATATACTAGACTAGTTCCCAGCCGTGACGTCGGTAATGAACCTTGGAACAAAAGCTAGCAGTGGACGGCTTGGCCCTTACGCAGGTACACGCAGGTACCCGCAGATACCCGCATGTAAACAGCACATTCAACAATTCTGGAACGAGATGGAGGACGATACACGCTCATCTATATTGACAGAGTGTACAGAGCTATGGGCAGTACATGAAGCGGAAGCCAAAAGGTTCCAGCTGGACGCCGCATCGTAAAGCGGCCGAATACCGGTACACGGCATGCCAAATATGATCCTCAAAGCAACTGTACATGGAGGCCCTCGCCACGCCAAGGCCGATAGAGGGAAGCATGGGAAAAGAAACGAAACAGGTATCGTACGCTGTACTCGCCGGGTCAAACGTGCTGTTGCTCCTCTCGCTAAATGCGACGCGTCTATGAAATCTTCTGTTGTCTCCAGGACTCCCAATCCCCAGCTGTACTCTTGATTGCTTGGTATTACATTATTGACATTGGTCTAGCGAGATGGCTCTTCTTCTCTCCATTTCCTTATGCGCCGTTCATCTTAGCATCCACCTTGGAATGGTAGGCCTTGATGCCCTCGGGGGTCGCCTTGATGGTCTCGTCTCCGGGGTTCCAGTTGGCAGGGCAGACCTCGCCGTACTTGTCGGTGAACTGGAAGGCGTCGATGAGGCGGAGGGTCTCGTCTACGCTACGGCCGACGGGGAGGTCATTGACGGTGATCTGTCGTACAACGCCGTTGGGGTCGATCAGGAACAGACCCCTGAGGGCGATGCCCTCCTCCTCGAGCAGAACGCCGTAGTCCTTGCTGATGGCATGGTTCTTGTCGCTCAACAGCGGGATGTTGATGGGTCCCAGTCCGCCGTCGCGCCTGCTAGCGTTGGTCCATGCCAGCAAGCTGTATTCGGAATCGGTGCTGGCGAAGACGACGGAGGTGTTGCGGGCCTTGAAGTCGTTGATCCTGTCGCTGAAGGCGATGATCTCAGTCGGGCACACGAAAGTCCAGGCCATTGGGATGAAGCCAAGGACTAGCCATTGCTTCTGGGCAGTGAAGGAGGACAAGCTTATTTCTACACACGGAAGACCATGTCAGTGTCTGGTGATGGAGAAGGGGATACAGTCTGAATGGAATAGGCGGAAAGGAGAAGGAGAAGAAACGACATACCCTCATGTGCGCCATCGACAACGGCAATACCGGAGAAGTGCGGCGCGGGCTTCTGAACGCGAACCTTGGGAACGTATGCGTTGGACATGGTGTGCAAGTGTTGATGTGAGACGGGAGGGATGGTGCAGACGGTGCAATTGAGGTTAGAGGTGGAAGTGAAGTGCCGGATATGGGATCAGAGTTGGAAGAGGTGGGCGAAGAGGTATCTATAAGAAGGCAATGGCCGCTAAAGTCAGGTACATGAAGTGGGTCGCTTCGGGTCCGAGCACGCGGTGGCCAAGAAGAAGGACGACGACTTGGCCGATTAGGGAATAGGCGGTGAACAAGAAGAGAAGCGGCGGAAGGCGGGAGAAGGAGGCAGAAGGATGCAGAGTCGAGAGAGAAGAGAGAAGAGAGAAGCGTGGTTTGGAAATAATCAAGGAGATAGGAACAGGATAGGATGGGCTCATCAGCAATTTGTGACAGATATCGAGACAAATACCCGAAAGCGGTTTAGCGTGGGTTGAGTTCGGCATCGGCGAGCGCTCAAGATGGAGCAGGTCGATTAGTGATGCGCCGACGTCTGGAAGCTCTTTGCAGTCATCTCATAATAATAATGGCCCATGGACACACGTCCTGCTGTAGGTCCTCTCTCCCGCTATCGGCGCAACTCTTCGAATTCGAGCCTCGTCAGCTTAATAATAAACTGCCGTGGCCCTCTCAATCATGCTGTGGTATTTCCAGCCCTATCGGAACCCTAATCACTTTTTATCCCACGGTCTGATTGGCTGCATTTGATATTTCGCGAACGCGTGCTGGAGCGTGCCAAGAAGTGACGTCTACGGCTTCTGGGCTTGCGTGCGAGAAACCCTGGCCGGAACACCACCTCAGTACCACAGGACAAGAATAGCATCTGACTATTTCCGACACTCGTTCACTGTGTACTCAGTTCTATACAAAGAGTCTTCTACTTGTTTGCTGGGTATACAGTCCCAAGGGCCCTTCTCGCATCTCTACGCATCACTCAGACAACCGCCACGCCCGGAGAGGCAGCGCCTGAATCTTCATCACAGCCGGCTTGATGAAGCCCCAGAATGTCACGACTCCAATGATGATGCACACCACATTCATAACGTAGTAGCCGTCCGTCGTGACGTTGCAGTACCCTCCGCCGTCGCGGCATCGGTGCTTATCGGCCTCGAGCGCACATGAAAACGCTTGCGTCACCAGCTCACCCTTCAGTGTCTCGGGTTTGGGCGTCGTCCGAGGCGGCTCGCATGTAGCCACCGTGAAGATGTCGATGAACTTGAGCACAAAGTACCGCGGGAACGTCCCGCCTAGATTCGACACGCTTACCAATGGGTTAGCACACAACCTTCGGGATCTAGTTCGGTGGGGGCGGGTGGCAACTCACGTGGCTAGCAGAGTCATGTACGTCCCGCCGATCACTGGGTCCGAGATTTTCGCGTGGAACGCCGACACGGCAACGAACATGACCGTGTTCATGAATGTCGACAGCACGTGTTCGCAGATGACGAGGAGCAGGTACCAGGTCGTCGTGCCTCCAGACGGGAATATGGAGACGACGAACTGCGCAAATGCAGCCGCACCCAGCCTGCCCACAAACGCCCAACACCAGATGTGCATCGGCGGGTACGTCTGGCACCACTTTCCAATGTAGTAGCCGAGTGACAGCTCAATGGGAAAGTCGATGAGAATCGTAAGCGCAAGGTCTTCCTGGCTGAAGCCCTTGTCGAGCAGCTTCAAGCTGGTCGCAGCATCGTTGGCCTGGAAGCCAATCTTCGCAATGAGGTGCACAACGATGAACGTCTGGATGTTCCTCAGCTTCAAGATCCCCCACATGGTCCGATACACCTCCATGATGCCATCCGTGTTCTTCGTGCGTTCCTCCCGCTTGAAGATGGCCAGTCCAAAGGTAACGAGCAGGTACGTCCAGCCCCAGAACTTGAGATATCCATCCAGGGTCATGAGCCCGACTTCTTGCGGCGCATTGGCAGGTCGGAACCACTTGTTGGCAAAGTCTTTCGAGTTGAATGCGAGGAAAACGGTGTACGATAGAAACTGTCCACCTGTGAGACCCACTGTCTGCGCTGTGGAGGCATATGCGAGGTTTTCTTCGGAAAGGAGTGTCAGCGCCCAGCCTGCATATTAAATCAGCTTTGTTCTGATGTCGATGCAATGTAACCCTCACCGTCAACAGCAATATCCTGAGTAGCACACAGAAACACAAGAGCGAACCACCAGAAGGTGAAGGCCCAGATGCTGTTTGTATCTTCATGCCCAGCCAGCTCCATCATTTGGTTCACTCTCGAACCAAGCCATATCATAGAGAACCCGGAGATGGTCTGGATAGGCAGGATCCAGCTTTTCCTCCTACCAAGCCTCGGGGTCCAGACAGCGTCTACAATTGGACTCCAGAAGAGTTTCAAGGAGTAGGGATAGGCAGCGAGCGAAAACACTCCAATAGAGGAGTACGAAACAACAGTCTTGAGGAGAAATGGCACAGAGCCCGTGGCCAATCCCATCGGGATGCCTTGCAAAAAGTAGAGCAGAACCAGCAGCAAGAAGTTTCTCTGATCCTTCTTGGACAACTCGAAGAAGCCTACAGACGGTCCCTCTTCAGGATTCTGTAGGGGAGGTACCGGCTCGTCCAGCGTGAAGCTTGACCGTCCCATCAATGACGCCGCATGTGTGGCCGAAGAAGGTGTGTCAATGGAAGCATGCTTCCTTCTATGCTCAACGAATCCATTCATTGTGCTCGTCGTGTTCGCATGACCCTGGTCGTCCTGCAGCGACTCTGACGAGCTCTGTCGCGCGACGGATTTGCGGTTCGCCTTCTTCGTAGACCGCTTGCTCATTTGTGTGTCCGAGGCAGAGTCCGGGTCGAAGGCGATGGAGGAAGTTGGAGATGGACTAGGGAATGGAGGAGACGAGTGCCTTTCAGCGTTGCGACTTGAGGAGACCGCGGTGCCGTTATCTAGACGAGATGCTCGCGAGTTGTTATATCGCCGGCGCTCGTTTGTAGAAATGGGAGAGACAAGGTCTTGTAATTCCAAGTCGGACAGATTCAAGGAGTGGCGCTGCGGAGACAATGGCTTGACGCTTGGGCGACGGTGATGGGTGGAGTTTCGTCGAGCGTCAGTAGTACTGGGTGAAAGTATAGAACGAGCGGCGTGGTGGGAAGGAGAAGTGCCAGTTGGGGTAGGCATCCATGTGGTGACCAATGTGGATGGTTGAGCCTCCAAGGGAGAACGTGTCGTCTACTCTGAAGAGCCTAGCGGCTGTGAGGGGGTATTGGCCATCTATGCTGGGGCTCGAATCGTCTTCGCCGAACCTCTATCCCCGCGCCGCTAGACGAGCCCTGGAATTATTGCCAAGGTTGTTCGGCATACCAGATCAAATATCTCCGAGAACGAGACTGTTTAAAATTATTTCGTATGGCAGGTTTCCTGTAAAGATCGCTAACGGGCGTTTCTTCGCCAAGTCCTCACGTGGATCCGCGATCATGCCCCTTCCTGTTTTTGACGTAGCTTACCTTCCGCCGCACATCACAACGCGACAAGCAACATCACTTCAACAACGTCCATTCTTACCGCAATGGCATCTATCGAAGATATCAATGCCGAGATCAATGGCATTCAGGCGCGCATCGATGTACTGAAGGCGCACCGCGCGAATATCACCTCGATCCTCCTCTCCACACCCCACCTAGCGACGCGCTTAGAGCAACGGCCTGTCCGCCAGGAACGCCTACGTCGCAATGCCATAAAAACCGTCAAGCAGCAATCGAAGCGTAATCTCGAGAATATTTACCGCGCCTGTGCCGGAGTCACAGCATACAGGGTCAAAGATCCAGATCCCAATGCCGTCGACAACGGCAATCTGCTGGGCGTGAGGATCGATGTCTCCGTGGAGGCGAAATTCGTAGATACCTACCATGTGCTGTTCAATCGGCCCAACACCCGGTTTAGGACCATGCTGAAGATCCATCGGCATACCATTCCTCCTTGTATACCGCTGCGACAACTGGCGAATCGGTATCTACCTCAACTCCGGAAGGACTCCAGTCCTGAGGTGGAACAAGACTTGATCAGATTTGGGAAGCTGCTGAGGAAAGAGCTCGTATCGTGGCACTTGCGTAGTGCGGCTGTGGAGAGCCTGCGACGGGAGGCCGGCGTCCTGGACCCCAAAGTCCGGAAGGGAGCAGAAACCCAAGGGCCTTCTTATGGAAAGGTTTTGAATGCATTCATGAGTGACGAGGAGAACGAAGGCGACGACTCTGGGGTCGAGGAGAGGATAACCGGGCGTCAGGACGGCCCAGCAAAGATCATCGAGGTTGAATCTGATCTCGCTGTACGCCAGATCAGTCTTGTATGGTCGAACGGGCAGACTGCCGTTGCGCAAATAGCAAAAGATGGGGAGATTGTCAGAGGGGCAGTGAGAACCCGAGATGGGGAGAGGCTGCCACAGCTTGAGAGGTTACTCTCAGGGCGTATGGATGGCTTGGTCAAAAGGTTGAATTCTGAAGCTGGTGCAGCGGATCCTGATAATTAGGGAGGGCGATCGGTGAAGGCATCGGGAGAGGTTCGCTACTGATCAATTTTCGGAACAGATTACAATGATACCCGGTCTTACTTTTCTATACATTTATATCCTGTTGACTCTGCATGATCAGACCTTCCGGTATTCCTTCAGAATGCCAATACAAGCTTTCTTCTATGAGAGGGAGCTCTGCATGCATCGGAGTGTCACAGTAGTGATTTCCTATTTCAGGCTAGCGCGATTTCGCACCCTTGCCACAAAACTCTTTCAGACTACAACCTCATATCTCTCCCGTTTCCATCGCCAGACTGCAGTATCAAACAAGTGTCCATCAACCAAAGCTCGATCCACCAAGTCGAGTTATGGGACGCACCAATCGCACCCTGACAAGGCGCATGATACGAGCTGCACCGTTGGAACTTATCATCAAAACAGATGATCGTAGTACTGCTACACCCTCTTCAGTATACGTCGTCTTTCTTTCCCAATGGAAGACTCGTTTGTCACTGGAGGTAGAGAAATACCGTCACGAGATAACTTTAACGTTGACCAGTGCTTCGCGGCATGCAGGCGAGCGCTGTGCTTGGGTCGGGACATTGGAACAACTAGAGATCATGCAGCGGGACGAAGAGTACTGTCAAGAGAGAATGAACAGGGTGCAGGATGCTAAGTGCGAGCCTGCCCAAGTCCACGTCGTCATCTCCTCAATATGCCATCAGCTCCGCGATCCAACTTGTCGCAGACGCAAGGCAGACGTGTTCATCAAGAGCGTCCCTTAGTTTCTGAACAAGTAGATCTACCCCTTCAATGCCCGCTCTCCTCCATCGCGCACATCAAGTCCGCCTACCTCTCCCCAACCTAGAAAATCCCTGGCACGAACCTCTTCGTCCTCGCATGATACTCCTCCCATTCCTTCCCAAACTCCTCCTTCATCATCACCTCCTCATCCCTCACTCTGAGCCAGGTAGCATACAACCCGACACCCATAAACCCCACCAACCCTGCATGCCATATCCCGAGAATCCCCCTCCCCATACCCAACGTCACCACCTCCGTCGGCAGTATACACCCGACGACACCATCCAGCCTCAGCAGCAACCCCAGATTCGCAGCTAGGATCAACCAAAGGGTAGGGTAACTGGGATGCTGCACATATGCATACAATCCCGTCGTGATCAACCGTTTTGGTCTCGCGAGCCGGAAGGTGAAATTCTCTCCCAGGTCCTTGTACGCTAGCAGACGGATCGGAGCCGATATGGAGATGATGACGAGGACCGTGGCGGTGTAAGGGCTCCAGGTGAATAATTGGCCATTGAGATTTCCAGGGGTCGGACATATTGCTCTTGGAGGCGAAGGATAGGAGAATGCGATGAGAGTTTGTACGAGCCAGAGGGCAGAGGTGAGGAATCGGAGGATATTGAGGGGCGCCGTTACGGGGGCTATGGTGTCTTTTGGGAGCGAAGACGCAGGACCTGTAGGGTTTGAATTGGGAGGTGTCCAGCAGTGGTCGGTGAGGTAGGCGGCTAAGAGGAAGGAGGCCGAGAGCGAGAGGGTTGCTGTGTTGGGAAGTGAGGATACATGTAGCATTTTGAAATGTTGAATTGGCCCGGAAAATCGAGCTTCAAAACTTTGCGAAACGAGGTGCTAGCTGGGGAAGAAGACGTAAAGATGTTTGCTCTGCTGATATTTTGGAATTAAGTTAGGTAAATACGCGTATGACTCGCCACTGATTTGAAAACCAAACATGGAAAGCGGGGCATACAAGAAGCGTAATAAAACCGAGGATCATTGCTGGCGACTACCAGCCATGTATCGATAGAAGAAGGCCGGACAGCGTTCTATGGTTATGGTTGAGGAGTGCGGCTCTTCTTTGAGGTTACGTCCTACGTCTTCTCTACTGACAGCCTACTAAGACTTGCACCCATACAAGCGGGCTCGGGAATCCCCTCTTCGCCTCTTTTCCTAACGCCCCGTCCCGCCCTTAACCCCTGACTAGTAGAAACAAGTTAATATTAGACGACTATGCAATGCCTACAGATCCAATCCTAACTGTGGCGGCTTGGTGAGAATACAGCACCCTGAGACAGTCTGCCAGGCGAGTCATCAGCTATCTGTCAGCTAGCTCCAACTTCAGCCCCTTCACATCGACGACACGTTACTAACATGTGATGGGCTCAAGGCTGTGTTCAAGATTTTGACGCAATAAAATCAAACACGATACGAAGCCTTCCTATAAGAACCAGCGAATCCATCTGACTGGGTACTGGATGCTGTGGACGAAATGACCATGGGAGGGAATCTTACTTATTCGACGGAGCGATTGTGGTTCTCATAAGGTACCTCATCCTAAGGGAACGGATCGTCGACGCTGAAAGACGAGACGAGTCCACAAGCACTGTCGGTTGGCCGGGCATAATATTATGAAGAGAAGAGAGAATTCACCTGCTCGCTACAGCACGGTTAGGCTCCCGTAGTTAAAACCGATCTCTCCTTGTCCTTTACAGCATTGTTTGCATGCAATTGCAGTGTCGACTCAACTTCCGCGTCTATGCCCGTTACAATACCATACAACTCCCAGTACCACGGCTTATGCTGCATGCCGCTAAGATCAATCCACTCTTACCTTTATTACAAGACAACCTGGAACCCGATTCTCGTAGCGTAACTTTGTAGTAGTGGCAATAAACAAGGGGTATATTTCTTCCCTCTTCATCTTCGTCTTGGCGCCAAATACTTAACGGAATCATCGCTGCACGCACATCGTGCGCCATAACATACCATGGACTTCGATATCCAACCACTATACCATTAGGCGCACACCGCTATTGCGCTGCTGCGTTTCTTACCCAGAACCACCTACCACCCTGACATCACACCGGCCCCTCACTGCCCCTTCTTCTCCTTCTCAATCCGCTCCTTCGCCTCCAGTTCCCCCTTGACAGGGGCATAAGGGTACTTGATCGTCAGGCACCAGATATCCAGATAATCACATATCGTCCAGATGACATCCACAACAAAACTGCCGTGCACGCCAATCGCTAGACCCAAACACATGAACACAAACGCAACCTGATACACGTCGTTTCCGAGTGCGCTTGGCCATCCCACACCAATGTGTTCTTGTAGCCGGGGGCCGAGCGAGTCGATGACACCGTAGATCAGGGGGTACATGAGGACGTTTCCGCGTGGGAATCGTGACTTGGTGAGGTGGGAGATGATCATCCGGCCGACGGAGAAAGCATTGATGAGACCGGCGAAAAAGACGAATGGGACGAGATGGTAGTGCAGAATGATCGGTTGGAGGTAGAGGTAGGCGCCAATGAGAATCCAAGCAGCGGCGAACGTAAGAAGACCAAGGAGGGCGATACGCGCGCGTTGGCCTCGCGCGCGACGAGCATCCATGACATTCTTCGCGCTATATAATATCAGCACCATCGCCCGAGCAACTTGCCTTTGTACAGACATACCTGGAAATGGTGTTGTACACCAGTACAACACCGCCGTATACCATATACCATTCGTTCCATGCAAGTTTGTACAAGGAATCCGGAATCATGTCGTTGTTCCTAATGCCAATGCTTTCAAGTAGAGAATGCTGCCAAAAGCTACCACCGCCGAGGAATGCCGTCACAGCGTAGACGATGCATAGGGTAAGAATGCCTTCAACGGGCCCTGAGATTAGACCCAAAGTGAGGGTGTGGGTGTGATATTCCTCCCAAGTCTGGACATAGAAGGTCATGGATGCTAGGTAATGTTGGTCAATGTCGTCATGGGAAACGCGTGATACGAACATGCAAAAAGCGTCAGGACAGTCTTCCAGCCCTGTCCGAGGTTCATGCAGGCAGAGAAGATCAATACCTCCAAAGTAGTGTTGATGGCGTCGACGCCTGCTCAAGTCAGTCTCTGGTGCCAATGCTGGGTGGACACAGTGCTCATACCATGGTCGAACAGTTCACCCAGTGGACCACTCTGATGCGTTCTCCTGGCCTGCGAGCCATCGATAGCATCAAAAGTTTGGTATAGAAACAGTCCAACTGCCCAGCTCAAGTACACCCACGGAGGACAGTCCTGGTCAAGCGTGGGATTGTACCATAACAACGTCAGGAAGTTCACCACGACAAAGCTAAAACCAGTGAGGGTTATCTACGGCAGCGCGGTATTAGGGAACAGTTTCTCAAGGGTGTATTGCACGACGTAGCGGGGCGGTGGGCTCGAGGGTTGTTGAAGGAATGTCGAAGGGAGGCTTACAAGATTTGGCCTGGTCGGGGATTAGTCGATTGAAAGACGGGAAGAGAAGAGACTTACGCCATCCACATGGGAAAGCAATGGATGACCACATTGGAATAGAAGGGCTTCAACACATAGCGCGAAACCAGACTGTGGTCAACACCGGAGTACTTGTACTCCCTCAGCTTGGGAAGCTTGTCCTGGCGAATGTAAACCATGACTCTCTAGTTTCGTCGCGGCGCCGGAGCGAGGGGACAGGTGCAGAGCACAGAGCGATGGTGGGGTGGGGTGTGTCGCGATATCAAAATTTCCCAGAGGCGGTGTCGCGTTTGGCTCGTGAAGCTTGGCATTGGTTGTCCAGCAAGTTTGTTGATCGATGACGTTGGCGGGGTTGGGAGAAAAGAAACGCCGACTCCCGCCACGTGCCGACCGATGTACAGCCCTGGAGAGTAGTGGTTGTAGGATGTGAGAAAGGAAGCTTCTGTAGGGATACCGAGGTTTTCTGAGGATATCAATACCATTTGAAAGAGTTGTCGCTGAAGATGTAATGATCCTGTTCCCCGCTTTGCTCCAATACACCATGCTTAGTGGAATCACCAGATGAAGAAGTACTACAATAACGCCCGGCTGCCTCCTCGGTATCCGCAATCAGCTCCTGTGCATGTACCTGACCGCCTTCTCCTCGATGCGTCCATGCTTCCTTGCACTAACTGGCTGGAATATGCATCGCATCACGCCACAGGGCTCCAGGGGCATGGGATCAGAATCCGGCTCTTCATCTCCTGAATGAGCGGCACAGTCTTATGTACCGTTTCCCCCCAGCCTTCAATGCTCCAGCTCTGCTCACGACGGACCTTGCGTTCCTCCAGGTCGGCAAACTGCCATAGATGGTGAACGGTGTTCAGCTCGCCAATCTGCACGAACCAGGCTCCAACGCCTTCCATGACCTCCCGGCGAGCCTTCAGGCCACGCCTCCAGTGTGTCTCCCATTCCAACAGATTCCCGGGATGTAGCGTGTAGGAGCGGAGCTCGAATAGACCGCCTAATTGGCGAGGAGGGGTGGTCGGCCAGAAGGAGAACTCCTGCATGAGGGAGGTGCGCTTGGAGCGGATCAGCTTCCGCAGCTCCTTGTAGAATTGAGGGAATTCGGGGTGGTTGTTGATCGTGTTCAACGAAGCATGGTAGCCTTGGTAGCGCTGATACTCCCAGATGTGCACTGCCTAGGTGTGAGTCTTGCCCAAAGTGCCTCCCTCTCCAAGACCCCAAGACTTACCGAATGTGTCACAATCGCCCACCTCCGTCCGCCAGCTGCCCACCAGATTCACCTTGTTCCCAGGGTCATTTGCGATCTTGGGGTACCACTTCCCGACAAGTTCCGTGTACTCATCGACCTTGTCCGGGTATACCTCGTGGAAGACGATGGAGTGCACGTACTTGCCCCGTGCTAGCACCTGAGAGAAGCTGCGCTCGAGGTCCTTGTCGAGCTCGCGTCCCTCGGGAGTGCCATAGATGAGGGATGACAGCGCACCGCCCTTCGTTTTGCCGCCATCTTTGGCCTCACGTGCGCGAGCCTCTTCTGCAACAGACGAGTTTAGCAACCTACCGAGCGAGGGAGGAATCGCAGAGGTATCGGAGACAGAGGGGAACTGACTCTCTTCCTGCTCCCTCTTCTTCTGGGCGGCGGCGACGCTCTCACGAAACTGTCGTTGGCGCTCATTGAACCTGGCCGCGTTGTCTGGGGTGATGTCTGCCAACGCTGGAGCGCGCGTTGGAGCCTGTGCGCAGGCGAGAGCGGTGAATGCGCGTGGAGTGGAAGCAGCCCTGGGCGTAGCTAGAAGCCCACTGCGCACACTACTGCTAGCAAGCCGGGCGAGCATGGCGTGGAGATGGAGGTATGTGTTGACAAGTCGTCGGATGTGATGTCAGCAAAGCGGGATTGGTGGGTCGCTTTGGGGATAGCTATATACGAACAAGCCGCAGAGATGTGAGCATGAACAAAGAAATCCGATCCTGGTCTCGGTCCACCAGAAAGAGTAGCAGAAGAAGCTGTCAGAAGTTGTACAGTGGGCTCTAAGCTGCGTGGGTTGGCCTGGCTTTTGTGTAACCAGGAGGTCTGTTCCCCCTCTCAACCTCTCAAGAAGGAATGTGTGGCCCGTGCTCGAGCTAACGCTACTGCCTGAAAGCTGGGGAAATCCCCGACGTCATCTCCCCCAAGAATTCACCACGCGACGTCTACTGTGTACCACAGTCTGTACAACTTTCGCTCATCTAAGCACTACGATTTACTGCTTCAACCAAGGCACCTAAGTTCTTGACTGCGCGCCTCGAAGTGATCCAAGACAATGACGCCCCATTATTTCTCTGAACAGACACTCCCCCGCGCCGACTACACAGGATACCAAGTACTCCGTTCAGCCTGACGATCCATGCAGACCCTGAGCGATTCCGCGGCCGGGACTCGCATCGCAGTACCCTCTTGCCGCCGAGGGCACCTCACCTACAGCAGGATGTGAGAGAGATATAGCTGGGCAGCCTCTCGAGCGAATATATCAAAGGAGAAGCAAACCAGTCAAACATTAGCTTCATGCTATCGCTGCAGGGTGTACTCACCCCAACCATGCGTCGTTGAGGCTGGTAGTCTCCTGCAAAGACAAAGGCATGACAGAAGCAAGCTCTTACCCCGTAGAATTGTTCGAGGCAAAACACGTAATACCCACGAGCTAGTATCCGGGGATGGAGACTCGAGCGCTGTGAATGTCCAGAAAGCGAAGACTGCGACCCTCGGAACCGTTGTTGTTGGATTTCTTTACCCGAAACCCGCTCACAACTCCGTTACTGCTAAAGAAAGATGTTAGGAAGATTCATGCGCGCTGCCGCCGAGGCCTTCCAAGGTTCCCCGATCCCGAGTGGTGCATCCAATTACTTCTAGTGTAACGCATGATTTACACTCTGGTTCTATATCAGCAGGAAATGAATCATCGTCTATCACATACGACCATAGCACACGGAAAATTGGGCCTCTCGTCCGATCGACCATACACAAGCCGTGTAGTGCCCGTTGAGTAGTACCGTGGGTGACCAGGTGCGAATAGCGTGGTGTTGTATGTTTTTGCCTATTTGTCCGCATTACTGCTCTGTTTTTTTTTTATTTCCAAAATGGTGCTGTCCTTGTCCTTAAGAGGTGGGATATGAGGATCGGGTGGCTGAAGCTTTCCCGGTATTTGATCCTTAAGCTTGCAGTGCCGGAACATCCTATTTAACTGAGCCCTAGCCTCCTCTGGTCTTTTTTAGACTATTGCAGATCACAGCGGCCCCCAGATCCGTAATCTAATCTACATTCAACGAGCTCTTACACCTGGCGGGCGCTTCTCCTCTCGAACAGAGACCCCTGTTTTGCAGCGCAGTCGTCCTTCATGCTTGCAAGAAAACCCATCAGATGTGTCCGCCCACAATCACATGAAAGACAGCGGTTCCGTCATCAAATAAATTTATATTACTAGTAACTGCAGCTTTATTTCTGGCAGAATGGCGTTTCAATTGCCAACTGCATATTCAGGCCCACCTAAAACTAGCAAGAACTCGATCTTTGCCGCAAACCTCCCGTCTAGGAAGAGTGCATGTGTTTCTAGATCCTCCAAAGCGGCGACCATCCGATATACATCAAGAGACCACCGGGTAAGCGTCAAATTACCACCTAACGCTCCTTGAATACACATAAACAGGACAAAAATAATGACGATGATCTGAGTTCTGTTAGATGTAACGGGTAACGGCGAAGTAATAAAGGGGAATGCGAGCATATAAGGCGATGAGCATCGCGAAGAACTAAGTAATAGAGACCACATCCAAGATGATAATAAGGGGGCAATTGACAAAGAAGATTGGAAAGAATCTAGTGATGATAACGGAGAAGAATGTGATAACGAAATTCCTGAGGAAGAAACGGTGTCTCTTCTTCCAAAAGCCAAGGAGTTACATGGCGTAGCCACCGCTTTTGCAGGAACAGCTGCCGTTCCACGAACCCCAAAGACGGAAAGGAGACTACCTAGGCAAACGCCATCAAAGAAGGTGGAACTGTGAACGAGAGAAACGATCCACCAGCTGCCTCAGCACATACAGTGAGTGAAAAGCCGCTGGAGTTCGCATATAGAAGAAATGTATCATGTGTAAACACCGCGTTTACACTTCGACCACTACCCGGCAGTGGTTCGACTTTGAACTTCGCTGCAACTTGGAACATCAACCCCCGACCTGCTTCTTCCCCTGAACCCCTCTGCGAATCTTCTTCGACGAGCCTTTCTAATTATTTACCATTCAAAGAGGTATTCAGAATTGAAGAGATAGATCGTAAATCTCATCGCTGCCGGCACCTCGACGAACAAGGCGCTCACTGTGACTCCTACGTCCCACGATGTCACAGCCTTGACATCAAACGCGTGGAAAACTCGCTCAGGATTAGCACTTCGCAGCGAGATCTCTGCTCTAAGTTCTCCGCTCTAAGTTCGAAAGTCAGCTAACTGACGACCGAGAACTACTCCCAAAGAAGGGACCAAGAAGCAAGTGAAGGCGCTCTCGTTGAAGAGAGGAAGCGCGGCCAACAGGACCTTGAAGACGCGAAAGGCCTCTACGGGGGCTCCCAGGAAACCATCAAAGCTCTTAGCAAGGAGGTTGGCGCTCTAAATCGTGTACCATCGAGCTATCGACTAGCGAAACTTCACTTAAGAATTCGCTACCTATGTAGATTCAAGGCAAGACGTGCTAATCAAGGAGAAGCCGCGCAGCCAAGAGCTTGCGATCAGGCTTGAAGAAAGGGTAGCGCTCGGGCTTCGCTTTCGTGGCTTTGCTTTTTCGTTCCAGTCCCGACAGCCTGACCTGCAGCTGCAGCTGACAGCCTGATCCTACCCATCTCTCCCGACTGCAACACTTAGCGTCGCCATTCTGCCATCAAACAACCCTGGAATTGGAACCTTTCAGCGCGCTAACAATCGCGATATCCGCGGTTCAGTTTGTGGACTTTACCGTCAGGGTCATCTTGCAGGGCCGCGAAATCAAGAAGGATGGCGCCTCGGTCCATGTTGTTGCGATCGTGAAACGGACCGAAGAACTCAAGTCTTGGATTGAATTCCTCAAGGTGCCTATTGACCGGCGTGACGCCGCTCTGAAGGCGGAGTACGAGGTATGGACATCCAGATATGTAACTAGGGTTCTCACGACTGAAATTTGCACCAGGCTCTCGATTCCGTCGTCACGGGATGTACAGAGGTCGCGGATGAGATAGTGAAACTCCTCGACAAAAATCGCCCTTACAACGGAAGAACGTACAACGTGGAAAAGCTTTCATGCCGCCTTGAAAACAATAATCAAACGGGGAACAGATTGAAGAGCTTACACAGACACTAAAATATCATCGACACGAACTGTCGCTGCACTTGCTAGCGCTCATGAACGCCAAACATGATTTGCAGTCCTCGCACTTGGATGATCGGCTGAATGACCTCAACAAAACACAGTCTCGCATAGTCGAAATCCTGAACTTTACCCAGAGCCGGTCAAACGCAACCAAGCATGTATCGGGCGAGTTGGTCCGGGAAAGAGCGCCCCTGAAGCAAGAAGAGGTCCTTGCAGCAATTATCGGACTCGAGAAATGGAACTACATTGAATTTTGGCGATAGAGATTGCTCACCTAACATGAGCCAGATCGCGCCAAGACGTAACATCGAGCGCGTGATTACTTTCAGAGAGTCTAGAGATTCTACAGACGAAACAGTGTCTAATCATCAGGTCTCTACCCTGTCAAAAGTGGTTCTCGGGTCGCTGTACTTCAGAATGATGAGAATGAGGGTGGAAGCTACTTCCGAGGCACATTCTGGTACTTTCAGCTGGATTTTTCAACCGCCCAAGGACGGTAAATGGTCCGATTTTGCCAGATGGCTTCGACAGGGGAACGGCGTCTATTGGATTACTGGCAAACCTGGATCCGACAAATCGACGCCTATGAAACATATCCTACAAGACCCCAAGAGGGATGAGCTTCTCAATGAGTGGAAGGGTCGGGATGCATTGGTCAAGGTGGAGTTCTTCTTCTGGGCATCAGGCACCACTATCCAAAAATCGCTGGAGGGTTTACTACGAGCATTACTATACTCCCTCCTAGAGCAATGCGCCGATATGATTCTTTCGGCCTTTCCCAGTGTGTGTAAGGAGATAATGGCCGGTAGCCAATGGGGAGGGTTGGGACTACCTCCGAGGTCCAGCGAACTGACGTTGGCCGAGCTCGACATGGCAATCCGGTTACTCGTCGAAAAGAGCAAGAGACTCAAATTTTGTCTGTTTATCGACGGGTTGGACGAATATTCTGGGGCCCAAGACAAAATCATCCAGACATTCCAGAAATTGGCATCGCACCCACACGTCAAGATAATCATCTCAAGTAGGCCGTGTGTTATTTTCCAAGACGCCTTCCACAACAAACCTCGGCTGCGGGTCCAGGATCTCACCTATGCGGACATTGAGAAATATATCTCTGACTCGTTGAGCAGTTCTCGGGGGCTACAAGAAATGAAGCGAATAAACGCCGAGCTAGACACAACTCTTGTCCAAGCCGTATGCCAGAAGTCTCAAGGCGTATTTCTTTGGGTTATTCTTGCGGTTCGCTCACTCCTGGATGGTTTGATGAATGGGGACAAAGTCTCCATGCTACACGATCGAATTGAACAACTTCCATCCGATCTTCAGGAAATGTACACCGGGATGTTTGATGCAACCAGCCCATCGATGCGTGCTGCTACTGCTCGCACCATGCTTTTGATTATGAGGAACCAAGAGGTACCCAAGGCCGAGCCAGTGACATTGTTGAAACTGGCTTTGGTGGAAGAATTAGAGATGACAAAGGAGAAGATCATCAGCCACCCTGTTCAGACGATACCGGAAAGTCACCGCCGATCATTATGTCAGACCATGACACGAAGGATCAACGGGCGAACCAAAGGTCTTTTGGAGGTCTACGGAACGAACGATGCTGCTTTACGGGGTTCGTCGCCTTCCAAAGGCTACGTGGGCTTCTTCCACAGGACCGCTATTGATTTCTTTCGAGATTCTGCCATGTGGAACAAGTTGATAATGCTCGCGGGCAGTACCTTCGATGCTGATATCACACTTCTCTTGGCCTGCCTTTGCGAAATGAAAATCCTCCCTCCAAAAGATAGTTCGACCATGGACGCGGATCACATCGTCAACGGCATGACACAATGTCTTGTTTATGCAAGTTTCATAGAGGACCGACATCTGCGGGCGTTTCCCTCCGTCCTGGATGAGGTCGAGCAAACAATGAAAACTCACTGGCACTGGCAACGAGAAAAATCGAAACAGGCGGAATCGTTTTGGGATGTGTTCTTGATGTTGTCACAGTTCGAGCCTATCAGCTCCGTTTCCTCTTGGTACCGACCGTATCTTGGACATTCCTTCTTGTTTCTTGCTATATCTCGTAACTGTGTTCTTTATGCTGCCGAGAAGGCATCTTTGCACGACGAGGTATCGGAGGAGCTACGCGCACTAATGGTGATAACCATCATATCAGACAATTTCATGCCGTACCTACCCGTCTCGAATGAAGCGAAGTGGGACCGGATGGACGAATCTAGCATCATAGTAGCGATCACCAAAGTTCTCGAAACCGATCGACGCGCTCCGAAGCCAATGGATTTGGGCAGTTGTTGGAGAGATTATCTTAGCCTTGTGGACGGCCACGCTCAAAGTAGCGTACTACGACCACCCCGCTACGTAAACGGAGTGCTGCAGATACTCGGCCTGTTTCTTGAGTCAGGCGTCGATCCTGATATTATGGTCACTTCATACCCTGGGTACGACAACCTTAAGGTTCCTTCGGTATCCAAATCCGCGCAGACCATCGTAGCGAATTTTCTTGCCGCCGTGAAGAGCGCAATGAACGGCGCCCTGGACCACGATCCGCAAGCGGAAAATGACTTCGACACCATGTGCGAGAAGATTCAATTTCTTCTGAACACCGCATCAAGGGATCCGCGGCCGGATCCGTCCAAACCATCCGAAATGGCGAATCCTCCCAAACCCCGCAAGAGATTCACGCGATTGCGGAAGTTTCTACACTTCTTTTGAACAGACAGGGATAAGGGCCGCGGGTGTGCTTTGACTTCTAGATTGGCTTTCCTACAATCTATTGTATGCGTAAAACCAAGATTTCTTAGCCTTGCTTCGCGTCTAAACTCCCCTCTGTTTCGTGCACCTACCTGCGCTGCAATTTATTGTGTATGATGCAGCTGTTTGAGAAACCCGGTGCACCAGCGAACCTGTGATTCGGCGATTGGGCCACCTCACAGCCAATTGACGTGGCACTGGCTTCTTTTCGCTGTTGGTCAATCCTCACCTCCTGGATCCCCTTCGTTGCTCTTGGGTCGTTACACTACAGCTTCCGCGCTGCGAAAATGACTGGCGGAGATGAAACCTTACGGGTACTGGCTCGCACGAGCTTCTGAAGAACAGAAACGTCTCCTTGAACGGCATCACGTGTGGACCAAGTAAGTTAGCAGGCAGTTCCAATCCCGAATCACGAAACTCACGGCGTGCAGGAGCATTGGATACCTTCTACATCCCACAGTCCGCAACGCTCTCCCAGAAGATGCTCGAATAGCAGATATCGGAACTGGAACCGGCATCTGGCTGGCAGAGATAGCCAAGAATTTGCCCTCTACCTACTAATTCAATGGTTATGACACCTCTAACGAAGAGTTTCTGTCTGCTTAGGCCCTTCCGTTAAACGTTATACTTAGACTTGGCGACATTAAGAAGCCTATTCTAAAGGAGTTGCGCGGCAAGTTTAACCTCGTTAATATCCGCTTGACTATTATCTCTATAGGCGAGCGTGTTTAGGGGCCTACTCTGCGCAACGTTCTTACCCTGCTGAAGCCTAGTAGAGCAATCTAATGGACGGAGGGGAACTTCTTTGTAGCAAGGGGATTCCGTAGAGTGAGTAAAAGCTCTACTAGAAACTACTACCTTACTCGCGCCTAGATCTAGCTTAATACGACTCTTCAGAAGCGCTTTGGGTACAACTTCCTAGATTGGATTAAGATGTTCACGGAAGCTGGGTTGGAGAAGGTAGAAGAAGAAGTATCCAGCACGGATCAACTAGTAGAGCAGCAACTAGACTTTACAGAAATTAGGATTAGCGCTGTGTTTAGTAGGCTAAAGAAACTGCTAACTACTAGAGTAGAGGGTTATTAGATAGTGGAAGAGGTGGAAGAGTACAGGAAGAAGGCGCTTGGGGACATGTAGTCGGGCGCATATTTTCGCTGGGATCTTCATGTTTCCATCGGCTTCACGAAATCGGACGCTCGAGAAGCGTTGGCGGAACCACCCGATCGGGTCATTCACCCCTGTGCAACGCAAGGCCCGCATTAGCTCCGAATTGACATATGCAGCCATATATGCTCGAAAGCTCACTGGAACCACGACAGCAAGTATTACAAAGTTGAGAAATGCGAGATTGAGATGGTATGACATGTTAGGTGGGGTGAATAATTCTATAACGGGTGTCTAAATCCGCGCAACTTGTTAGAATCATTCAAATATCTCTCACTCCAGTTCATCCTCAAAAGGGGCATCCTGCAGCGTCCTCAATCAATTCCACTCCTTTCTGCCCATCTCAAATTGCTCTCCGCCGCGATCTCTGGCACTGCATCCTCGTCCCTCAGCAGTCCACGATCCTGAAAGTATCAAACTTGACTTTGTCCAAAATAGGAATATCCGCATGGCAACCCGTAATCCGGAAACTCTTCATCTTGGAGCCCTTCTTGCTGACAGGGTTCTTCTTCCAGCTATACCCGCGACCACCGCTGTGACCCAGGTTCTCGCCCTTGCAGCCGACATCCGAATAGAAGGAGATCTGACAGCCATACATCTGGATGGTGCAGAACTCGAAGTCGTGGACGCCCTTCTTTTGGATGGTCGTGGAGATTTCGTGGCAGCCGTTTTCGGCTGTTCGGCTGTAGAAGGTCTCGCTTTTGGGGAAATCGCCGTTCGCAGTGACTTCGAGGACCCAGGCGTGGGAGAGGTGGAGGAGGGCTGCGAGGCCGAAGATGGTTGCAAGCAGCTTCATTTTGTCGGTGCTGGTTTTTGACTTGAAATGAGAAGATAGTGGAGTAGCAATGCAGAGCTGGATGTGCTGGATGGGTTTACAGCTGGGAGTTGGGGGCCTACTTATACATTTTTGGAGACCTTCTTAGGCGCAACCGATTCTCCCTATCTCCAGTAAGGGCCGGACTTTCGTATTTCGTTCTATGAATACAGCTGATCGGCCGTACTCGGAAATTACAAGTAGAGGTCAGATTTTTAGGGTAGTGGCAAACCCTCCCTTCGTCGATCACTTTCCGCACTGTCAACTTTGGTTCTTGAGGTGAAAATCTCGAACACGATTATGGACGGCATCTTTTCAATTCGTAGCGCTTATTTTCCGCTGAACACCTCCCCCACCACGTAACGCGCGTGAGATGCGACACCATTGTAGTAAATTTTTCCGTCAATAATTAAAGGAGATAGTAGGAGGAATATAGCAATGTTTGCATCATCCCATCCTGCACCGTACCTGCACCGAGCAGAGCCTCGTATAAGAGAACCAAGCTCATGATTGGAATGCCTCGGCCAATGCTTGGTCAGGTCAATGATATAATTGGGTGATGAGCGGAAAACACTAGCGACCACAGATGTGGCGCAGGGTCCAAAAACAAGAGTAGACGCGCCCCACCCGTCGCTCTCCACTCGTATTTCGTGTAACCCTTGAAGTCATCTTCGTGTTTCGGGTTGGATTGTTTCACTAGTAGGCACAGCCATAGACAGTTATAAATAGACAATAATGTTTTCCACAATAATCAACTGTAATTCCGTTGTTTCGGGAAAAGAGTGTCCCTGTGGTCTACAAGGCTACGGCCTTTTGCGCCTCATTGACCATGTGATTGAAAAAGCCAATAGTTGCTACTTAACACGCAGCTGGGGGAGGGATCATCAACACCCTGCATCGAAGAAGCCGGGTTACTGGTGAATGTCATAAGAGTTGGGAGATTTTCGTCCACTTGATATTTCTCCAGGTCTCCGTTTCGCTCCTCATAGCCTAATCGCCGAGTTAGACTGACTCGTTGGGCAACCCTGGGAATGGTTTCATTTCTACTTCCTTCGTCGTCTTCCAGTCCTGAACGTATCCACAGCATCGCAAGACCACATGCAATTGTAACTAATGAGACGATTATTGGGCCTGGGCCGACATACATGGACACTCGACCGGACTGTCTGAATCGCACTGGGACTTCCTTCAAGCTAAGGTACCAGACGATGACGCGGATCCCTGGACTTGCTGGGAGTAGGCAATGCCCCCGGAATGGGCAGGATCTGTATGTGAGATGTTATTTCCTATACCTTTCCAGGTGCGTACGCGTGTAGTAACAACTCCTTGTTTCTTATAGCACGCGTATACGTAAGGACTGGGTAGTTTGCGCAGAAGAACTGGGAGATCGTGCAAACAAGGCGATCTGCTGTACTTGGCAGAGGAAACAAGGCAGCTGGGCGCATTGGCGGCGTTGCTTATTTATAACAGTCTACCGTACTTGGCTCGGTGCACGGGGAGAGCCCTGGTCAGCAAACCCTACAGACCCACGACGCCCCAGAGAATCCGGGGCGAGTTCAGGAGTCACGTGGGGTGTAACATTCAACCCAGAAAATCCGGGGCATCCGGGGCATCCGGGGCATCCGGGGCATCTATAATGCATCTGGGGCAAGGCGCTATAACAAAAGCAGGCAATTAACGTAGATTATTTGTGCACGAGTTGCCCCCATTTACCCGTTCTCTACACCTTATTTCTACACACCTTGGCAGTTCCTCTACGCGCGCCTGCATGCCTGCCTACCTATTTCAGGGCTGTGCAAGCTTCAAGGAATTGAAAAGTTTTTTTGTAGTACGAAACCCAGGTGCCGGTCCTCACAGTACTAGCATAGCGGAGGCTTGAATATAGAACAGTTCATTCGAGGGTATCAATAACCCCCTCCATCTCCTACAACCAACACTCACACCGCGGCTATGCGCGCGATGCATCCACCTAACCTAAGTGGGTATCACACCGATTTCATAGGCCGAGTGCAACCACCCCCCCTTTCCCCGATAATGTCGACCTTTTTGACTTTTTTATTTCCTGACACACATCGACGAGGAATGGTCCCTACATGTTCCTCCCTTCTAACGTATCCCTTCTCTTCATGCCCGCGAGGGAACGCTTGCATTCGATGTCTATCCCCCAAGCCATCGTTCACCTTCTCCAAAATCAATCCGGCAAGTTACACCTCAATCTTCTGGTAGAACAGAATGTAGGCGACTTTATTGTCCTTGACGTTCTCCTTCGAAAGCGGGGTACGCTTGCCGGTTGAGCTCGGCGTCGTGCTGCCGTTGACCACCCCACTCCACTTCTTCGAGGGGTCCTTCTTGTCGCTGCCATTCACCTTGCTCCAGCCGCCTTCGTCCTTCATGTCATCCTGGTCGTCAAGGACATACATGTTGGTGTTTCGGCCACTGCCCTTGTCATTCTTATGTTGCTCCAGGGCTGCAGCGAGAATCTTCGGGTCTTCCTCCGCTCCGCCTTCTGCCACATCTTCTGAGCGAATGCGTCGGATGACGGTATCGTCCATTCGAATCCACTCGCGCCCGTCTTGCCGACGGAGATCAACCGTGTAGTGGCCGCCGCTGGCATTCTTGCCATGATGATACACTACAGCAGCAAGCTTGTATCGCGGCATTCCTCCACGTGCTGCAAAGCTGCCCCTCATATGTGGAGGAAACACCTCCCTGGGGATCTCCAGCTCCAAGGGATAGCCGATCTTCTTCCAAATCTTATGGGGCCCGTTGGCATCATAGTGGAAGCGCTTGAGATGCAGAATAAGAACCGGAGGCAAAGTATCGATGAAGACTTGTTTGGTAGAGGCCTTGGCTCCTCGAGTAGCGCCGTCAAGCGTTTCCAGATGGGTCAGGCCTCGAAGCGCGTCCGAAATATTATGGACCTCAGGTGAGCCAATGTCCAGCTGAAGGGGCTGGTACGGCTCCAGAGTCACGGATGGCTTTTCCCCCGGCCTCTTGTACTCCGAACGCAGCTTCCCGCCAAAGATCTTTGTTATGGGACTCTCAACTTCGATTGCGCCGGAGGATTGTGTAATGGAAGCCTTCTGCTTTGGCCCAACTTCAAGCCATCCGTTGTCCATAGAGCCGGAGCGTTCGCTCTTGGGCGAAGTAACCCCGTCGGCAGTAATGGAATCCCTTCTTCCGCTCTTGATTACGTGTGCACATTCATCATGAAGTCCAGCCAAGAGAAAACCAAGGAACTCCTCTGCATCTTCCTGTTGACCGCGCTGGTACGGATTAGGAGACTGCGACTCGATGGAAACGTCTGGTACGTACCTTCATGTTCTCGAAGCGAGGTAGACGCCTTATTACATCATATACATATTCCGGTGCCAGTGGATCACCATACTGCTCGAGTTCGGCGTCCTTCAGGCGAAGGCGAAGCTTTTCGGGTGATTCGGCTGAGTCAATGACCTTGAAATCGCGCATAAACATAATCCTATTTTTGTCAAAGAAGGATCCGAGGAAGATCAGCAGCAGTGACCTACATCGCATCTATAAGGGGCGTCTCGCTTTTGAAACTATGAGCTGCGCGTTTCGCGACTTGATCTAAGAAATCGTAAAAGGGGACGCAAAACAGGAGTACTTGAAGAATCTGCAAAAGTCAGCAATGTGATTACTGCACGTGTCTCCTGAGCAGCGCACCGAATTCATATAACATAAGTTGCCAGAATTTACAAGACCACGAGGCTGAAGAAATGCAACCTTCTTTTCCGCATGGACAGAAAATGTAGCAAGCACATCGGCCAGTGAGTTGCTCTTGGGCGCACTATGGCCGTTGGTAGTCACTATGCCATCCGCGGAAATAGGTGAGTGCGGCGCTGCAGGTGCAGCTTTCGCTCGTAGAAGCTCTGCCCAGGATTTGGGCGCGCTTTTCGCAGGGGGAGAGGCTTTTGGGGTTTCTTCGACGGTCGTCTCAGCCTCCCCAGTCGACGACTGAGTATCCGGTTTCTTTGCCTCCGTTTTCTCCGACGTGGACTTCGTTGACTTCTGTGTGGTAGAGACGACGCTTGCCGCTCGCGCGGACTTGAGTGGTATCATGGGAACCGCAGGTATCGTTGCCGTACGAGTATGTGACGAAGGAGCTGGTTTTGAGGAGGGAGGCGCAATAGCGGGAGCAGAGGCGGCGGGCCGAGTGGGAGTAGACAGCTGGGGGGACTGGGTAGTAGTTTGTTCGATGACTTCGGTAGCGGGCGTGACAGGGGTTTGAGCGGCCTCCTCATTCACATTCACCTCCAAAGGAGTGTCTTTCTCGGTTTTCTCGGCAGACTGATCTGCACTAACAGTATTTTGTTCCTTTCCTACTTGTTCAAGGCTTGGATACACATTGTATTGTCTTAAAGACGTAGAACGGCCTTTGCCCTTTTTGCGAGAAGCTCTTGGTGGGAAAGGCCCATCAAACGAACACCACGGAAGGGGAGGGTAGAATGTGCCTTTGCGTTCTGACTTTGCCGGTTCGGTCTGACGCGGCGGCGAGATTGGCGGCGGAGTAGGTGTGGCCATGCCAGTAGTCGGGGTATTGAGAGCGCGGGGAGTCTCGGCGGGAGTTGAAGGAACTGGTTGGGGGGTAGGAAGGGGCGGAGCAGAGGCCGTCGGAACAGGAGTTATCGGGACAGGCGGTGTCTGCGAGTATACTACAGGCGGCGTGGGATCGAGGGTGCGATTGACAGGAGTCGCCGGTGCCACATAAGGATGAGAGGAGACAACGACGGGGGAACCACCGGCCTGAGGGTGGAAAGGGCGAGGCGGCATCACATATTGCGGGGGAATGGGCTGCGGATACGGCGCCTGCTGTGGGTGCGGATGCATGTATGGGTTCTGCCATTGTGGCGGGAGCTGCTGATGCGCATAGGGGGCCATATGCGGAGCGCCATAGTGTTGGGGAGGGACCGGGTACTGGGCATATGGGTTGTACTGCACCGGCGAGTGCGTCTGGGGCGGGATCTGAGGGACCTGATGGTGATATGGATAGTGATGTTCCCCGTGCCGCCTACCCTGATGATGGGGCCCGGCTGATGGGTGCATTGCCAGGCGGCTTCGATGGAACCTTCACAGCTGGCGCTGGACACGACCGAGCGTCAAGCTGTGAGGAGGTAGTGGCGGACAGGAGAGACCGTCGAGGAAGCTGTGGCTGACAGGCGTCGTACGGACGCTGAAGAATGTAATCAGATATTTCGTTCTGAAGTCGGATATTTAGCTCGCGCGACGAGCAGGACCGGGGTGGGCGTCGGAGTCGCAAGCAGAAGAGCGGCGACCGTAAAGACGAGGCGCGGGGTGCATTGTACTCAGCACGACATCGCAGGCAGGAGAGAGACTGCCCGTCGGAGGGTGCGAGTAGGCGGAGAAGATTTGGAGTTGGGCGGAGGAGGGAAGGGTGGAAGGGTGGGAGGAGGTGAGGTGACGGGTTGTCGTGTGAGGCGCGCGAGGTGAATGGAAGGGCTTGGAAAGATGGTGAGGCGGCTCTCTCTAAGCCAGTGATCCGAGCGTCCGTAAAAGCTTGGCGGGTTGTTGTTATTCGGGCGCAATCAATTAATCAGCTTTCTTGAACTCACTGTACTTGTACTATGACTAGGCGAGTTTGCTGGACGGGAAACGGTTCTTTGAGAGAATGTATGAAGATCTGAGGGAGGTCGACGCACAGTCAAGCGGTCAGTTCTACAAGCCGGAAAACTTGATGTTCCCAGGTTTGACATGGCCGAGACCCCACATCACGTGATTGGAAATCGTCACTGCGTCGTGGCCGTGCACCTTTCAGTGGCGTCTGACTCTTGCTCCCCTCCTCCTCTCCCAAGTCCATCCCTTCCGGGGGACCCAACATATAACCCCCTCCTCCGCGTGGTCCATCACTCCCCCTCCGCCAGCCCTCCCGTGTCTCGTCACTCTTCGCTCGTCTCTCGCTCTTCGCTCTTCGCTCTAGTCCGCCGTGCGCCGTCTCTGCTTGCCCCCGTTCGGTGGCCAGATCCATCCAACTCGAGTGCGCGCAGGAGCAGCTCGTTTCCGTCATTCCGACCCCAATGTCGTCGACTCCCGCCGCCATCGCATCCTCCTCCAAAGCTCAAGCGCCCTCAGGCTCTCTTTCCCCCGCGCAGAGCACCCCCGGCGCCGCTGCCTCCGGCGACAGCTCAGGCCAGCGGCGGAGTGGGAGCAGCTTCGGTGCCGGAACCCCTTCGAGGCCCTCGCCGACGCCGCGCAATAGCCAACAATCCAAAAGACAGCACAAGCCCTCGAGGCGCTTCCGTCAACCGGATGAGGATGCAATCGCCGAGTCGGTGAGTATTGATCTTTGACGCCGCGGTGCAGGCGCGTTCATTGACTGTCCAGTCACTGACTCAGAAGTAGCTCGCCATGCGTTCTCTCAACAGTCGCAAGGGGCAGACGTCAATCACACATCTCATGAACTTCAGCCTTCCTCCTCGACCGCAAAACAACTACCACCACCACTCCCATGGCAGAGTTAGGAGAAATCCTACATGGGGCTTGGGCTCGGGTTATCATGCCATCGACAAGGCAAGGTGCGTATCCCCATGCTTACCAGAATCTTTCCTCAACCGACTCCCGGACATAGATATGTACACGCCAACTACCGCTTCATCGTCGATCCGAGATTCGATTACCGTGCGCAAAGCGTCGACGCTGATATACACCTGGACTGGAAGAATGTCCTGCAGATTCTAGCGTCTTCACAATCTCAGGAGGCCTCGTGCCCTATTTGTCTAGGAACGCCAGTCGCTCCGAGGATGGCGAGATGTGGGCATATATTCTGCCTGCCGTGCCTCATCCGTTATATGCACTCGGATGACGAAGGAAGATCACCGGAGAAGCGTGCACGATCGAAGAAATGCCCAATATGCTACGACACGATTTACATGTCAGAGACGAGACCGGTCCGTTGGTACGTGGGTCAAGAGGGGCTTCCGCCGCAGGAAGGCGGCGATGTCGTGCTCCGTTTGGTGAAAAGGTCTGCTGGAAGTACACTGGCCATGCCACGGGACGGAGCGGATGCTTTGGACGAAGACCAAGACATCCCCTGGTATCATGCTGCCGAGGTCATGGACTACTCTAGAGTGATGCGCGGAGGGGAGGACTACATGTTTGAGCAATTTGATACAGAAATATCCATGCTCGAGCAGCAGGAGAAGGAAGACGAGTTGATGTTCGGAGAAGACAACGTGGAGTGGATGCGCAAAGCGATACGCGCTATCCAAGAGTCGAAAGAGAAGATCAAGGGCATTGGGAACCCCCCAGAAATCTCGTCAAAACCCGCTGAGCCCAAACCGAAGCGGCCACCGATCGTTTTCAATGAGAATCCCGAAGATGCCCCTGAGATGTATACGATCATGAATGCCTCGAAATCGGGCCAGTCTGTCAGTATGACGCCTGTCTCACACACTCCAGTGCCTGAGAACCTTGTGGACGGTCAACCACGCTCGGAGAACTCTGAATCTGGACTATCTTCAGCGAGGAAAGCATCGATATCATCGCACTCATCAAAAGCGAGCAACAATATCAACGCGACATTAGCCGAGATTCGCCATCGGCAGCATCATGAAAACAAGCATACGCCCTCTGAGTATTTCTTCTACCAAGCGTTATTACATTATTACCTATCACCCTTGGACATACGCATCCTGAAGGCTGAATTCGGCGACTTTTCCGCGTTTCCAGCTACAATTCTCCCGCGCGTTGAGCGGGTTTCAACTGGCCATGTCGTGGATGATGAGTTACGGCGACGAACCAAGTACCTTGCCCATCTCCCTTATGGGTGCGTGGTGAACTTCCTCGAGTGCGACTGGACTGATACCGTTTCTCCTGAGATATTGGAGCGCTTCAGGCCGGACATAGAGAAGCGGCGGAAGCGGAATCATGAGAAGGAGAGTCGAGAAGAGAAGGCTCGTATTCGGGCGGAGAAGGCCGAATATGCAGAGTTCGCTTCTGCGCGGCGGAAGAGTCGTGCTGGAATTCCGGAAGAGAAGTTCCGACCGGACGACTTCCAGCCTCTTGTTTCCGGCAGTATGTCGGACGCAACCGCTGAGGGGACGTCAACTTCACCGCCTTGGCCTGTGAGACGGGGCCACGGCTTTGCATCCCTGGCGTCACCGTCCACGAGCCCGTCGGCGCCGCGCACGGTTTGGGGCACTGCCATGGTGGCTCCCACTTCGCCTACGATGGCACCTATAGAGCATGACGCGCGGGACGATGGGTGGTTGCAGGGTTGGGAGAAGGATCTATTGCAGGAAGATGATGCTCTTTTGGCAGAAGCTCAAGCGCTTTCTCTTGGGGAAGGGGAGTCATCGAGCACAAGGAAACCGGCGGGAGGGAAGAAGAAGAAGGCGAAGAAGATCACACTGATGAGTACAAATGTGCGGAGGGGCGCGTGAATCGAAGAAGTTGAAAGGACTCATGAATAAAAAGAATGGAGTTTTCTAGATCTAGAACAGCGCGCAACATCCCTACTACTTGGTTGTAGCACTCATGAAAGAATTGACATCAACCGCCGAGGCGCCCTATTCGTAGTTCAAGCTGTGTGTATGAAGCTCCACTGCTTGCGCTAAAGATCTATCAATCTTGGTGCCTCTACACCACGCATGTTCAAGCGTATGCTCCTGCTGGATGCCCCTCTACTGAACGTGCCCGATTAACATACGTGTTCCACCTCCTCAACTCCACCCTCCCTCTCCCCCAAATCGCTCCTCAGCGTCCGATTGAACAACTCTTTCAACATTTCAAAGCACACGCCACTGATCGCCGCATCATACCTCCCCTTGGACAGCTCATCCCTAATAAAAGCATGCTGCGCCCCCGCAATCTCATACCACGAGAAATTCACCCCAGCCTCGTGCATAGTCCTGCGAATCAGATCCCGCCCCTCAGGGGGCACATGGGTATCGTTCTTCCCGAAAATCATGACGACTTCGCCCTTGATGTCCCCCGTGCGCCTGAGACTGTCGTCGCTCTTCCCCTTGCCTAGAGTCGAGCTGTGGATATCGGTCGCAAAGTAGCACACCGCGGCCGAGATGCGGGGATCCATAGCACAGCGGTAGGCGAGGTGGCCGCCCAGACACATTCCCGTTGTCCCCACGCGGCCGTTGCACGTCGGGAGGGAGAGTAAGGTGTCGATGGAGAGGGTGGCGTCTTCGTCGTAGGCGGCGAGCTCTTTGGTGATTTTCCATTGGTTGCCGGCGTCGGTGCCGGGGACGTCGTAGGCGAGGGGCGAGGGAGAGGTGAATTCGTGGTATGAGGAGGGGGCTGCGACGATGTAGCCTTGGGAGGCGATTTGGCGGGCAAAGCGGGAGACGGGACCGGTGACTGGGGAGGAGTGTTAGAGGAGGAAGAATGTGATGATAAGGAATCAATGTTGTTGAAGTGGAAGGAGTGGCGGATACCGGGGAGGAGGGGTTGGAGATAGATTGGAAGAAGTTGAAGGGCAGTGAATTGAAATGGAAAATGACAAGATGAGATGTGCACCTCCTTGTAAGGAGAATAGGAAAGTCTCTGTGGTGGCAACTTGGTAACAGCTGGATGCTCCAGATAGGACAATATTCCAACAAAGGGAAATCATTTAATGTATTACCTTGGTAGATTTCGCTGAAGACGACAACACCAGGGAACTTCGCTTTGGGATAGCCGGGAATGATGGGGTGGAAGAGGAAGATCCCTAAGAATGGTCAGCACTGGGTTCCACAATGAATGGAGCGCATTTACTCATGGTTCCACCCGCCTGGGTAGAGACGTCTGTGTGCGATTCCTTAATCAACATCTTTGGTTGATTTGGAGATAGGCAGACTCAAAGTATGGCACTTGGTGATAGGAGGAGTGTGGGGTGGAGGGGTTGTTCAAGTCTTCGCTTCCAATTGCCGTACATAGCCGCATGTTACGCTTATTCTTGCCTCGGCTCCACACGTAAACCATCGCCCCCAAACTGCATTGCAAGCGCCCGGCATCCTTGCTGTTTCAACAATCGGGCTGTGCCTCGCTGCCTGTTCAACATAATGAGGTGGCATAACGCTTTTGCTGACGTTGTTCAGCTTCTCAATCACTCATGCACCAACCTTCATCATGTACCTTTTCGCATCTTTCCTTCAGATTGGGGTCGTTCACGCTTTCGTTCTTCCACCACGGACACCGGATGAACGCCAGCAGAATGTTCTTGCCGAAGCTGGCTCTGATACTGGAAGATTCTCAATACCGGTAAAGGTAGGACGGCATCGTCGGGTGCTGTATGATTTTCTCCACCTGAACTGACATGTTAATAACCAGTCTCTTGACGGGCTCTTTCACACCATCGATGTCGCCGTTGGCACCCCTCCACAGCATTTCAATGTGTCTTTGGATCTCATGAATGGCGGCATGTTGCTCCCTTCTATCAACTGTGACTCGTCATGCACCACAAAAGGCACTAGACGCCTCTACGACAGGTCCGCCTCCTCCACCTCGGAGTCCAAATGCACGGTAACATGGCAGGACTTCTTCGGCCACAATTACTTTGGCGATCTGGTCCGCGATACAGTGCACTTTAGCGGTCTAAAATTCCCGGGGGTGGCTTTCCTGGAATACGATTGGCGTTCCGACGGCTCACCCTTCAAATTTCCAGATGACGGCTTCGATGGCATGATAGGTCTGGCTCCCCCATGGGATTCCCTGAATAGTTATCGTCGAACGGAATATTCCAGCTTTCTTTCTAAGTTGTATTCCGAGCCACTGCTCGATGAAATGATCTTCTCACTCGCGCTACCGCGTGGCTTAGAGGACGAGGGCGAAATCATGTTTGGCGGGACGAATTCCGGCCTTTACAGTGGCGAGTTCAGCACCGTCGATGTCGTTGAATTGGACTCGGGCCTCTCTTCGTCGAATGTACCTTGGGTGCTTCCATCCAGCAACATCACGCTGCACACGCCAACTCCTTACCCCGTCCCGCTACCCGTCGACTCCGTCGCCGTTCTGACGAGCAATCCCTTCATTGTCTTCCCCAAATCCCTGCAAGTGGAGGATTTCTACAATGTGATCGGCGCGGAATGGATCAATGAGCTCTGGGCCTCGGTGCCATGCGACCGTCGTCCACATTTACCAGACCTGACATTCGAGATTGGCGGCCACGAGCTCACCATCTCCGGCTTCGATTATACGTTTGAGCATCGCTTAGATGGACCGGATAAGAAGCCTGCGTGCCTGTTGTGGATCATGGATCATGACGACACGGGTCTACCGGATAATGCGATCGCTTTGGGCCCGCATTTCTTGAAGCGGTTTTATACGGTGTTCGATTTTGGAGAGAGGAGGGTGCGGTGTAAGTACCAAGCTTCGCCTTCTCCAATGGTAAAAGACTAACAGATATGTCAGTCGCAGAGAGGAAATGAGCGACCATGTGTGTGAACTGTATAGATCGCCAGACTTTTGAAAGATAAGTTAGTAAATGTGCCAGCCTTGGCCAATACAGGGAGCGATGGTCTGTGAAGTTGAAGCGGAGCGGAAGGCTAGTTCTTTTACAAGACGAAACGGCACTTATGGGACGTGGTGGGGGTAGATTTGAGTGACTTGCTTTGACAACAATCTGAGAACGAGCAGTAGGTTCACAAAGAGAAATCTACTCTTCTTTAAACGCTCGACAGAGAGCCGGTGATGCCACAGAGTGTGTATCCTCGCCTTCCGTATCCGGGTTAGGTTGGAGCATTCCCGTTCGGCCCGACGGGACTCCCCACACGTTCCATCCACCATCCTGATTTGTGGCTTTTCGCCACAAAAGCTTAGCTCAACCTTCATCCATCATGATGCCTCATGCTCGCACCCTCTTTTGCTCCTCCCACCCACGCTGCCCCGCGCTATTCGGATGCATCGGTGTCTGGGCTGCGTGTCTTCCGAAGAAAGAAAAATCGGGACGCTTGCCCATGCCCATGATCGACTGCCGGCGGTCGTGGCGGCGGGATGAATGCACCTAGTGCGGTCGAGCGGCGCGGCCATGTCCCAGTGTCTGGACACCGCATCTGGTATAGGAGGCTTAAGTGAGTCGATGGTGAGTGCAGAAGCGTTTTTCTATTCGGTGCTTGCCTGCAGAAGCCATACACACCATTAAATCTGTCTACCTGGAGCTATGCTGAGGATCTGCAGGCACACATCTCTATGCCATGGATTGACAAAACACAAGCGGTTGCAATGACTGAAGGCATCTGTCAAAGAGTTGGCTATCCTGATTGAGAAATCGCTTTTTACTGTGGACGTTCGGCCACCATCTCTTGCTCAAGGGAAGCACGGATGGCTGCACACTAGAAAGCGCACTGCGCATTTCTCTTCCTCGAGCATCCGCATCAAGCCGACGTTCAATGAAAAGACTAGACGGCGAGAGTTCGCCGCTCATTGTATAGAACCCAATCTCTCGAAGAGACTGAGTGCAAAGGGCCCCAACCACGCCCAATGCGATGATCCGCAACCAGGTGCAACCAAGTGCTCACTTCGGACCTCTCTCTAGACGCATACCAAGGTATGGTGTCCAAATACATCCCATGCATCTGCGCCTTCCCGCTCTGCGTCCGGACTGACACCCACCGAAGCAGGGCCGCATCCACGTGCCGAAGCGCGCTTCGTCCGTCAGTCAGCAGCGTTTCGACGCAGGTGTCAAGGGCGCTGTTGGTTCCGGTCGTCATTGAAAGCCCCAACAAGCTATCAACTAGGCCTCGAGGCCTCCGTGGAAGGCACCGTCACTCCCGCCCGATCGTGAATTGGATCACCAAGGGAGCAGGGGATCGCCACCCCGGACGCCAGCCTGCTGCCCGTAATGATCCCCGTAGCCCGACCAGCTTGTGCCGGTGTACGAGCCCAGGAGCAAAGGCTTGAAAAGAGAGTGAGAAGTCGCGATAGCAGAAAAGAGTTATGAAGAGAGACTGGATTCCGGTCGTCATTGAAAGCCCCAGCAAGCTATCAACTAGGCCCCCAGGCCTCCGTGGAAGACACCTTTACTCCCGCCCGATCGTGGAATGGATCACCAGGAGCTCAAGGGGTCACCTCCTCCGATGCCTACTCTCACTCGTAATGATCCCCGTAGTCCGACAGGCTTGTGCCCGTATACGAACCCAGGAGCAAGGGCTTAAAAGAGAGGAACAAGAAGTGATTCAAAGAGCGCAGAAAGGTAGCTGGATTCCGGTCGTCAATAAGTGCCCCAGCAAAGCACTCATCTAGGCTGCCGCAGCCTCCGCCGTGAGACACCGTCACTCCCACCCGATCGTGGAATGGATCACCAGGAGCGCAAGCGATCACCTCCTCCGATGCCTACTTGAACTCGTAATGATCCCCGTAGTCCGACAGGCTTCTGCCCGTGTACGAACCCGGGAGTGAGGGCAAGAAAAAGAGGATGAAGAAAAGATGTTGCGAACGAGGCGAGTTGTGGAGAGGAAGTGAGAGGAAAAGTGAGGGGAAAAGTGAGAGAAGATATAGGCATGCTTGGCTCCGCGCTAACCCGATACGGAACAACACTGAGCGGGTAGTGAAAGCTGGCCCGGCTTTCTCTAGCGCCGATTAATAACCCACGAACCGGCACAGCGCCTGCCTGGCTTCTTTGGATATCTCTCCTACTCGTCAACATGCTCCTCACCTGACATTCTTCGCCGCCGCGCTGCTCTCACGAAAACTACCCCAACAGGCTTCGCTCTTAGGCTATACCGCGCTCGGCGCGATTTTGGAGCCATGGGTGACTCTACGGAGGCAACGGAGAATTCAGAAAACGCGACTGGTGTCCACGAAAGCGGCTTATCTGGATTGAAGCGCTGTGCTGACAATGACCCCGGTGAGGAGCCAACGTCCAAGAAAACCAGGGCGGAAGAGCAGAGGGAGACCATTCCAGCTCCGACCATTGCGGATGACCAGCCTGGCAACGCTTGTAGGCTTTTGGCGCTAGCAGAAGAGTTGCTAGATGAAATTGTGAGGGAGGCAAGTTACTAGCTCTCTGTGTTGTGGTTCTCGCTAAATATGCGCAGGTGGAAGTGGAGGCTTTGCAGACTCTCACCTGGGTTTCGCGGAATCTGCGAAGGATTGCAATGCCGCACCTCTGGAAGAATACCCATATCGACTTCACGAGACCGCAGGGCCACTCATTTTCCAGAGAGGGTTCGGGCGCAATGGAGGTTGGACTTGAGGTTGGCCTTTTCTTCGGCACTAAATATAACACGGCGATTGTCAGAAACATCACCGATTATACCCGGAACCTGACGCTTACAGTTCCCGGCGATACGCAAGACGACAATCCCCATATACTTCCGTTTTTCACCCAGCTTGTTCAATGCATAAAGAATGCGCCCTTGGAACAACTTCTCTTCCGCCGTTCAAGGCTCGATTGGGTGCGCTGGGTCGAGTTGGGGGACGCGTTGTCTGACCGAGCCGGCTTCATCCGCACCATCAAGGAGATTTCATTCCCTAGCGTGACAACTGCTGACGCCCATGCTGAACATGAGGCCAGAGAGACTGAACTATATGAGAGCGGCAAAACCTGGGCACCGCAGATGTTTCCCTGTTCTGCTCAGCTTGCGTTCCAATGTCACGGCATTGGGCATGAAAGGATGGTTATCCTGTCTGCTGTTGGATCGGTCCAGAGAAGTTTCAGCGTCAGTGCACATCCGCTAGATTTACAACCTGCCCAAGGAACGTCTGCGTCTGAATTCGAGGAAGTCATGACGACCATGGGGCCTCCAACACAGTTTCATTCCATTGCTTTGGAGCATGAGTACTACTATAAATGCCAAGGCGTATTCTCGATGATTTTGGCTGCGCCAATCACCCAGCAGATCCGAGTCACACGGCTGACTCTTACCCGCATATGGTTGACGGAAGCAGAGACCAACCAAGTTCGGCGCATCGATGTTTCTGCAATGGAGCACTTACACCTTGAATACTGCGGCAACATGGAAATCATCCTCGACGCCTTCAAGGATGGAGAGCCATCACAACTGAAGACTTTCAACTGCATCAGGCCAATCTTCCACACTGTTGAACAGTCGCGGCCCCATGTTGTCGAAACATTCCTCCGCAGGATATCGGGTCTCCGAGTCTTGCGGTTTATTAGCAATGACGAATGGATGATGGACTTGGGGTTGGCACTGAGGAACCACTCTTCCCTTGAAGAGTTGGCCTTAAGATTTGGCGCACAGGACCTGACACCGCCCAGAGTCCAGCAAATCCGTGAAGCATGTCCGAACTTGAAACACTTCTCATTTCAGCCTGCCAAGATGGATATTCCCCTACGCATCGGCCGTACTAACCTCGAATTTCGGAAATCTTTCTACTTCTATGCGATCCAGCTAGTTAGGTTTCCCTGTCTCCGAGAGCTAGTCTTCATCATGTGTCCCGTGAAAAATATGTTGGCAGGCAACCTGAAGATCATTGCAGACAGTACTCACAAGATTCTACTTGATGCGCATGGGGAGAATGGCAATTTGGCTGATTGCAGGATCAAGAAGATCAAGACTGAAGTTAAGAAAGCCTTTACTCCAAAGGATGACGGGATGCCGTTCTTCGGCAGAACGACCAGAGCTCCCAAGTGGGTGAGAGACTCTGAGCGCATAGTGGCTTTCGAGTACTAGCTGTGAGCCGTTATGTGGCTCCATAGCTATCAACTGACACACTCCACTCTCCTCACATGAGTGTCTATTGTGCAATATTGTGCAGTAATAATGAAATCGTTCCAGGATGCTTCTAGGAGCTGCGGTAGTGTAAGCATTCTCAATCCAAAGCTTTTCCTCTTGTCACGAAAAAACTCGGTGCTGCATGGGTAACTTAGGTATGCGTGGAAGGACTTGTCTAAGAAAAGATACCTACATAGTAGGGAGCAAACTGTTGTGGACCTTATATGTCTCTGCTCGTGCGACCGAGGCGCTATCTAGTTTCGTTATACCTATAGAATCATGTGAATGGAGAAGCTTCTTCGGGGTGGGTTTGTATAGCTATCTGGGATCGAGATGAGTGCACGTATGCCTCTTGCACTTGCATGGCTTGCTGATACATTAGTACTCTCAAATTCGCCGGACATTTCTGTCTCTTGTTTGGTGCCTGAATAGTAGCACCAACTCCTACAATGCTTGGAATTCTCTCCTCGCCTTATTATATACTATCCATGTTCTGTAAGTGCTTGCTAAGCACCAGTGCTGCGGAAGATTTAGTTACCATCATGTGGTTAGGCAGAAATGCTTATGACTGGTGAGGCAACGTCTAGCTATGCGGAAAACGAGCCTACTAGACAACGCACGATCGACGATCGCGACATTAGTATTCTCAGCAGCTGTATGTAGGCTCAAAGCGTAGCACTCGGAACGCCAGAAACTGCGGGACACGGATATAAAAATTGTTAACTTCAAAGTCACGAATTTAGTTCCACGCGCTGCACGCATGGCCTACGGACGATTGAGCACTAAACTGTGACCTCGTTCTGCAACTGCGCCCTTGATATACGGGTTAGTAGATGCACAGCCCCGCGGTGTTTGCTAACGCGATGCTTGCAGAAGGTAATCGGTTGATTGATGTATGCTTATAGCCACATGGTTCCGATCCTCGAACGAAGTGACGTGGTGCCTTCCCTTCGTCGTCACCATGCACGTCATGTGGAGCTCGTGGAACCCCTTCCCCACCAGAGACACCACGAAGCCTGCCAGTCACACAACCACCTTTTTCTCACCGTAACGAGGGACACGCCCCGTCCACTTGTCACCGTACACTTGCAATTACAGCTTGACTGCCGACCATGGCACAAGTAACTCCCCGTCGTCTTCAACTTGCGCCCAGACGTAGGGTACATTACAACATCTCTTCAACCCGCCCCTGCAGTCGAAATGCCATCCTCGGTGCCGTGGTTCGGAGGTCACGGCCTCGCAAAACCAAAAAACGAGGTCGCACCAAGCGGACTCAAGAAAAGATGATGGAGTGCATTATCTGTGCTGAGGATCAACCCGAGTCGAGCTTCACGTCACGGGAGGAGGCCGACCTCTGCGGCCACTTTCAGAAGACATGCAACAGCTGCATCGAGAACATTCTATCGACAAAAGTATCCAACAGACTCTTGGAACATGCCATTCTGGAATGCCCCTTCCCCAATTGCCTGAAGACACTGGACTTTTCAGCAGTCAGGAAGATGGTTTCTGAGAGAGTTTTCAATTCGTAAGTGTAATCATCGATGCCATAGTAGGATGCTAATTCCGGTCTCTCAGATGGGATAATGCTCTACTGCGATACCACATGACCACCAACCGGGATTACCTCGCCTGTCTCAATGCCCATTGTGGCAAGTATTTCTCCATTGAAGCATTATCCGTAGAATGCCCCCAAGAGAGGAAGCTCACCTGTCCGTACTGCCAATCTCACCAGTGTCTCGCATGCAGCCGCCCCTGGCACGAGGCTGCGTGCACCATTAGCCCCGAACAGGAAGAGGCGCAATCTAACACTGCGATGGAGAGGATGGGGGCTAAAAACTGCCCAAGGTGCACTGCCACCATCATCAAGAACGGTGGCTGCGATCATATGCACTGTAAGCGGCAAAGTTCATCGGTCAAAGTACAGCAGACTGACTAGACCAATAGGTATTCAATGCAGCACTGATTTCTGCTGGCAATGTCTTACAGTCAACTTCATGCACACAGATACGTGCCCAACGAAGGCGGTTCTAACTCTAATGGGACTACTGCAGATGCCACTGGTGGAGATGCCCACAGTTGACGAGTTGGGCTTTGCCCAATTCTTTGGGCGGCGTCGACCCAGAGCCCCGATAATGGCCGAGCTCCGCCGAGCTCAACAAGAAAGGCAACCAAGAACCCGATTTGAAGACATCCGCCTGCACGAGGCGGATATCGAGCTACTACGTCGACACAACGAGAGACTCCAACGCGACTTGGACGAAATGCGTCGAAGATTCCAAAATCAGGTCCATACCCACCATGATGATGCAGCAAATGAGCGAGTGCATCGACACTGGGCCCTTCGCCCACTTCGAGGGGATAACTTTCCAGAGCTTAGACCTGAGGACATCCGCCGATTCAACGCGGAAATTGATCGATTGCGAGGATATCAGAACAGTCCCCTATCTCTAGAGGAAAACCCTCCAGATCTTGGACCTGACGAGAACATCCGCCGATACCACGAGGAAATCGAGCAAGGACGTCGGCATCACCGACCCCACCAACTTCCAGGGGAAATACGTCCAAACCGCCAAAGCGAGGATGATAACCGCCGGCATACCGCAGGAATTGAGCGAGCGCTTCAACAGAGTGAAAGAATCCACCAGAGGTCCGAAGAAATGCATCGAGCCCTTCAAAATGGAGAGAATATTCGCCCACGGTACCCTCGAGCTCAGGCCTTGCCTGGAATGCGCCGGTGTATAGAAGAGTGGCTTCGACATACCCGAATCGAGGACGATACCCGCCTATGGGACGTGGAGACTGTGGGAGCTTGACTCCGCCATACATCTTTTCAGAACGTCGAGGAATCGCGCCGAAACCAAGGGGCAATGCTTCAGAACCTCCAGAACGAAGAGGCTATGCTCATGCCACCCCAGGAGCAGGTTCTCGAACACGTTCCCCAGCCTGCGTCCAACCATCCCGAATCTGTAAGCACAAGGAATCTGCCCCCGCTTTTCAGGTACATGTATATAGCACAATGAATGCGGTGGCTCAGTGTAGATAAGATATTGAGTTCTGTTTGATAGATACTATCAGTACGGAACGACATCTGCAGTTATATGGCTGTTGCGACTTTGCCGAAAGTGCGTACATCTCCATGCCAATGTGGCAGAGACTCTTTACCATTAGATATAGACCTGCGATCACATATGCGTTATTCTACAGAGTGGGATCTGTGCCTTGCCGGAAGATCTAGGGTACCCTAGGGTAGAAGTTTCAACACTCGGTGGCTACATAACCTGCACTGGCTTGAAAATTCGGGCGTGACGCTCGAGATATCCTCGATTCAAACTCTCGCTTTACGAAGAAGACGTTTCCCGTGTAATGTCAATAGAAGGACACTGCTTTGATCTTTAGGGTTTCTCGAAGAAAGAGGACGGGGATGATACATATTAAGCTAGGCGTAAAGACGGTTGAGTGTCTAGACAAAATGATAACCCGGTAGTGCCTGGCTGTTATCTGTTAAGCCTAACAGAACTCGCCTTTACACCACGCTTTCGCTAGACAACAACAAGTCCATTGGCTGACTTATCCTGTTCTCTCGTTAGTTCTATCAAGCGTCATTGCCCCATACCCTATTGCAACACTGCCCGAGACTATATAGTTCCTGGGATTCTTTCTTCCCTTTAGGATGCTCTAGAAGCCATAGCGACAGTTCCAAACCAGCGCATAAACCAACGCCTATGCACAGTGCTTAACGATTACAGTAATAACCGTAGAGTAACATTCATACCCCCAAAGGTCGGATTTTAGTTAGCCACATGGGCACTCATTAACTGCAGCTTGAAGAACAATTTAATTTCGACGAGCTAAGGTCAGACTTTCTATGCAAAGTGGTGGACATCGAAGCTCATCAACGTTCAATCACTGCTTCTCTGCATCATCTCCGCCCGACCCACGTTCACTTTCCACCCCTACACCCTCCGTATCGACCAAGATATCTTCCTTCGGAGGCTCACTTTTCGACTGAACTCTGATCTGCTCCACTGCGATCCGCCTTTGGGTCCACTTGGGTACTTCTCCAGCTGCCGACAGCAAAAACCGCTGGGTACGGTATAGATTTGTCTGCAACCCCGTACAAAACCAATCTACGCGGCTCCCCCGGCGGAGTTATTACTCCCGAACCAAAAGGCGGCATTGCTGGTCGCGCACCCCTGCGGTTCGGGTGAGGAGGCTGTTCTAGCGGCGAGCTGGGCCTCATCAAATCTCCCAGTGCCAGTTCCTCTGGCGTCGCGCTAGGTGAGAGAGTATGGGAAGTCTCGCGCGTAGAAGGTATAATAAAATAGTCGTCAGTGTTGACATGCCGCGGACATTGACCGCAAGCTCCACCGGCCGTTTCTGTGCGCCTAATGCAATTGCAACTCCCATTATGCACTTCCATTTGCTCTGACGGCTTGGTTAACATGGACGAACGGTATACGAGGCTATCTTTGGATGAAGGGTTGTTTTGACTGTTTAGATGCTTCCTCCGGAGCCCGGCTCTGGAGACCGGTGTGTTTTAAAGTAGTATTGGTGAATGACAAAGCTCCAAGCATGGATAGTTAAATTCCATTCTCCCAGATCCTCACATACACAGCTTCACAGGCAATTGACATGCGGCCACTATTGACGTACAGCTAGCTCCTGACCGTATTCTCACACTTCGATTGATTATGATTATTACCCCCCGCCGAAAGAGTAGTCCTAAAACGGAATTTCTTTAATGGAATGAGAGCAGGACAACTGGTACCGGAAACTGCGTAATGCCTATACATCATACTCCAGTGTCAGGCTAGTGGGTATCGGACTCTCCCTCGAACTCGCGTCCAGATAATGTCTCATCTTAATGCCGGCGAGATCATGCTCAGTAATATGGAATTTTCCCTGTCTTCCCTCAGCCCGCCTGACATTCTTCAATCGGAAAACCTCTCTCAACGTTGCTGCCAGGGAACACCCAACTAGCCGGGCTCCGAAGCAGAAGTGCAGGCCGTGACCAAAGAGGGTATAGTGTTGGAATGAACGATGCGGGTTCAACTTCTCGGGCTGCGGAAATGCAACCGGGTCCATGGCCGCTTTGGATGTGGCAACCAGCACTGTCTGACCCGCTTTGACGTGAATAGGTCCACGCACGCCGTCGTTGACAGTGATGTCTTTTGCAGCGATGCGCGGAAGTCCCGGCACGACGCCAGCATGTCGCATTCCTTCAAAGACGTAGCCCTGCAGCTCACGTTCAGAGTCGGCGGGATCCATATGTGCCAACTCGACTATGCGTGCCTTGTGTTCTTCATAACCGGGGCTGAGAAAGAGGTCGATCAACAGAGACGCTTGCTGCGTAAGGTTACCAGCGACCGGCGTTCCCATTCCAATGCAATCGCCCACGAGGTCGCCAATAGGTAGTCTCGTTTCATTGAGCGCATGGTAGATGCGATCGGCATTTGGCCCGACCTCAAACGCGCTGCCCTTGGCCAGCCAGTCCACCACGGCTTCTTTAGCTCCACGCTGAGTCTTCAGATGTGCTTCGAAGATTTTGCGCAACGGTTCTGCGGCTTTCATGGCACCGTCGCGGAGCTTCCACTCGTTGACTGGCATAATGTTGAAACTCTGGTACATGAAGAGAACAAGGTAGGCAGTGAAGGCTTCATGAATGGTGAGCAAGCCTTTTGGGTATTCGGGCGTCTTTAGTGGCAGTGCAAAGCGGTCAGCGAGCCATAGAATGGGTGTGATGTTGGTGACGTCTCGCACGATATCGATCGACTTGCGGCCTCGCGAGAAAGATAGGGAATTCTGCTCAATCAACCTCCGCACATTTGTGCTAAAGAACTCTGAGCAATTCTTCTCGAAGTCTGGTTCGAAGAAAACCTTGTGCAACAGTTTGGATCTTTCGTCGTGGCGTTTAGCATCGTCCCAGCCGATCATGAAGTCGTGTCCATCGGTGCAGTTTCGAATCGCAGCTTGGTACATGACTCGGAAATTGTCACGGTCTTCGAACACTTTCTTGCATCCTTCTTGAGTTTGAATGCTGATGATGTCACGGTCGCTGGAAGGCCTGGCCAGATCGTACTTTTCAACCACTTTGTTGGCTTTCAGAATCCCTTTGGCAGCTTCCGGAGTATAGAACGGCAGGAGAACATATGTCGAGGTGCCGGTGAAAGCGCCTGGAAGCCCATTGAATATTAGCTTAGGCAGCATGCCTCCATAAGAGCCAGGGGTTGTTTCCTGGAGCTTCGCCGCTCCCCAATGCGTCAATGTGTTCGCATTAAAATCGTAGCTGAGGAATCGATCGCCTCGAACTAATGCTACCGCATCATTCAAGATGCCTCGACCGGTGGTTTGTCCTGGGCATACTCCACTGCCAGGCATGGCCGGCTTTGTGCATTCGGCCATCAACCCTGGATAGAGTTCAAGATTATCGATGTGCCCATATAGCAATTCGGCTGCTCGGGCAACTTTCGGATCCTCGTTCCAATCTTCAAATGTCTTGTACGGTTTGAGATTGAGATAGCGACGAAACCTTGGAGGACGTTAGCATTTTCAGATTGGGGAAAACGAAATGAGAGGACTCACTCGTTCAATGTGCAAACATTGAAGACATCTCGAGCCTGAAGTTGGCCCATGAGATCCACGACTCTCATGCTAGCCGGTGTTCCGTGCGCACCAAAGGCATGCGCTGGCTCCTCTATGCAGTCCTTTATGATCTCCGCCAAATCGCTATCTCTGAAGCGACCGTCTGCCTGGCGCTCAAGGCCACCAAAAGTCCACTCCCTTGGCGGGGTTGACATTAATCTGTGACCATCGCTTTTCATGATGTCGTAGAACATCTCTACTGTCACGTCGTCGAATGACTCCAGGTCTGGGTATCTTGCTCTGATGATATCTTGCATCCATTTGTCGTCCGCGGCACTCAGGGCGGCGTGCCAGTGATAAAGAACCGCAAACTCCACGGAGACGACATTCCCCGAGCCTCGCTCCACACGAGTACCATTCTTTCTTATTTCTTTTCCCAGGTTCAGCGTCCATTCAGAGTCGGCGCGAGGTGTGTTGAGGATGGCGGCAACATAATCCCGTAAAACAACGGAGGCAAAAAATCCCACATTGATGTTGCGCGCTATCTGGAAGATGTCCTCGTCTTGCCTGCCCAGTTGTAAGCAAATAAGGGTTTAGAAGGAGTCGTAACCTTACCATTTCCTTTTCTCCTCGTCCAGACTCTCCCAAGCATGATATTTGCCTTGTTCGTTTACAGAAAAGAGGCTCTCGGCAATATAATTGTGATTTCTCGAGAACAATATCAACACGGCCACCACCCCTGGTGGCATCATCATGATCCTCTCCGAGGCAATGGAATCCGGGTATATGAGACCGTTCTTGTAAGTCCTCACGCGTTTTTGCTCCTTTTCCGTATTCCCGTATAAAGTGCTGAGGTCGACATAGCTTGACGTATCGTTGATCCATGGGTTGGAGCGGTTTGTTTGAAAACACTCGTGGATTACTACCGTCGCGAAGGAGAAGAACAACCTGTTCAACCCGGATGGATGTGGGCGAAAAGGACCCTCCCTCTTCAATAGGGCATCGAATACCAACTCAACATCGGGGAGGTTTGGGCCTTTCGGTTTCACGGGGGGAACGCTTCTTGAATATGGAGACCCTGCCTTGCCCATCTCCGGGAGCCAAGGGTTATTGCCTCCACCGTCATGACGACGGTAGCGAGATGTGGGTCCTGCCAGCGTTGGTGGTGGATGCGGCAAGTCGTGCCATAGCATGGTGATGAATCCGTCGGAAATTTTCTCGCTGAGGCCACTGTCCATTGGAAGGCTTTGAAGCATGGAGACGCCATTCTCTAGCAAGAGATCCTTGTCATCGATAGGGTCGCCGGATGCTAATGTAGTGACGGCGTTCAGAATTGTTTTCGTGTTCTTGGTCCCAAGGTTGGCGAGATCATGTCCAAGGCTGGTCTTCTCTCCATTGACTGCTCCGCTCGCTTCCGCCGATCGGCCGTCCGCCGCTCGAGTTGGTTTGCGTCTTATGTTGGCTAACAGTGCTTTGAGTTGGCCAGGCATGGTTGCAAGCGAGAGGGATGTAAAGGTGTGAATAGAAACCTGCTGCTCCGTTGCGGTCGTTTGCCGCAAGTACCGAGTGGGGAAACGGCTTTTTAAGAGACGGTAGAGGTAGATCTTCCGTACTGAAATCAGCCAAGGGGAGCAGACAATCGACACGGGAGGAGCAACAGAGAAACGCCACCCGCATCAAAAAGTGGGTGGTGATATCGGGGGGTTGGCCTTGGCATGGTGCAGGTGGCCTCTATTTAATGCTCGTCCATTCAGTGATGAAGCTGACCAGCCGAACTGTGGGACCTCCGCGTATGTCACCTCTCTCAGCTATGCACCTAGTGCGCTGTGTGGTCTACACATTGCTGCATGAAAGCTTTGAAGGCATGCACATAGGATGGTTCCACCGAGCTTGCTGCCCAACGATTGGTTTGTATCGTGAATTGGAGGCCATAGTCTCGCATATGGTCGCGCCCCGTCCTCTTCGCCGGGCGCTGAGCTTCGGACCGTGGTTCTTCGATAATTGGACGCCACAGACTACTCTGGGGAGCTGAAATCCCAAACAGGTAGCGCAAATTACGGTTTGGCCGAACCTAGTTCCCTCTTGGTGCTGCGGGCCGCCCATCCCTCCTCAATATGTACACTTTTGTTGTATGCAGGTCGCAGATCCAGATTCATCGCTACACAACTGTAGGCCAGTCTACCGGAATCCTCCATGTCGGCGAGGTGAGTGCAGCCTCCTGCATGTTGGATCCACTCCAGGTCCGGGTAGAAAGTCAGCTGTATCACCACCTTTCCAGTCTCGGTTGATCGGCAGGCAGTCCAATACTTTCAGCTCACAACACGGTGATGCAGCGACGGCATTCAGAATACTGTGACAGTACCTAAATATTTGGGAGGTTAGTGATGCAGATCACATGCTCTCTAAGTAGTCCGATGCACCATTGCACAATCGCCCTCTCGATTCAGGCACCAATCAGATATCACGAGGGCGACCCGAATATGTGCGACGGTGGCAGACCCCGGGTCGTTCCATCATCCGATGCCAGAGCGGACAAGGGAAAGGCGACTATCTACTCCATACAATTTCCTTTAACAAGCTGGAAAGCATCTCTGGTCAAACTTGCACAAGCGCTTTGGAACTTCCCCCGGAAACGTCGCACGACCTTGCGATATGGATGAGAAGCCTCACCGTGGACTCTACCCAATTCAAAATGCAGACTACAGTAGCCAATATGCAAACCCGCCGACAAACGTACAAGAGACTACCGGTTTCCCCCGCTCAATCCGAGCCCTCAGAGATGCAAGAAACTCGGATTATCATGGCCGCACAGTAGTCATCTGTCTCGATGGCACTGGCGACCGTTTCGACAACGACAACAGCAATGTGGTGCACTTTGTATCGTGTTTGAAGAAGCACAGTCCCCACGAGCAAGTCACCTACTATCAGTCGGGCATTGGCACGTACGACAAAGGTGGTCTCAAGGGTGGCTTGGGAGCCGCACTGGATATGACTGTAGGCAGCGGCCTTGGAATGCACATCAAAGACGCCTACCGTTTCCTGATGCAATCGTATCGCGAAGGCGACAAAATATGTCTACTCGGATTCTCGCGCGGCGCGTACGCCGTTCGTTGTTTGGCGGGTATGCTTCACAAAGTCGGGCTCTTGCCGGCCAGCAACGGCGCGCAGGTCAATTTCGCTTATGACTTCTACAAAGACGACACGCCTCAGGGTTGGAAGATGAGTGCCGAGTTTAAGAAGACGTTCTGCACCAACGTCGACGTATATTTCGTCGGGTTGTGGGACTGCGTGGCCAGTGTTGGTTTCTTCCCGCGCAAGCTGCCTTTCAGCAAAACTCCAACGAACCACATCCACTACTTCCGACATGCTATGGCACTGGATGAGCATCGCTCCAAATTCAAAGTGTGTCAGTGGCAACACCAAGATCCGGACCTTAATCGTCGCGTGACAATTGACCACACGCCGCGCGCGCAGTTAAAGAGAGGGCTGAAGCGAACTGGGTTCCTTAAAGCTGTCGGCAAAAGCAAACCAGCCACAGTCTCGATTGACTTGTCCGCACCTCGAAATGGATATACTACGGTCACCAATGGGTCCCACGGAGAGCAAGGATGCTCGGTGAAAACGAAAACACATGAAGAAGATGAACAGGAGGAATTGGCCGCATATTTTGAAGCAATCGACTTTGCCCGGACGCACCGCCAGCAGAAAACGGATGCCCTCGAAGTCTGGTTCAAAGGCTGTCACGCTGACATTGGCGGAGGTGCTGTCGCCAATGAGACTCGGCATATGCTATCAAGAATTCCATTACGCTGGATGGTCCGTCAATGTTTTGAGTGCGACACTGGTATTGCATTCGACGTTGCAGCTCTTGCCGAGATCGGTCTTGACGTGCACAATCTGTGGCCGAAGTATACGCCCATGCGCAAGCCGCCTATAGGGCCTTCCCCTAGTCTTGTGGAGAAATACTTCAACAAATCTTTCCCACCGATCCATCGACGGTCTTTATTCTTGAGATTCGAAGATGATGACAAGGAGGCGGATAAGCTTCCCGGCGATCACCATATCGCGCATCTGTCCGAGTGCACCGAGGACTACTTCGACAGCCAGCAGGATGTCAATGACATGTTGGATCAAGCGAAGTGGTGGTGGATTCTCGAGCTCTGGCCGGTTAAGGTGCGGCTATTGGCGCCTGACGGGGACTGCTGGGAGAAGCGTGTTCGCATGAATAGGGGCCGGTATCGAGCGATTCGTGAGACAACCCCCAAGTTCCATTGGACTGTGGAGCGGTTGGTGGAAGAGGGAAAGTATGAGATCAAAGGAAGAGTTGAGCGGGACGCCCACTGGGAGGCTGCTGTATAGTTAGTTAAGTCAAGAGTGATGGATTCAAACGTCCAGAGCATTCGTTTTGGTTAGCGTCTGATTGACTTTGGTAGCACCACATCACACGACCAGTAAAGTACCAAACGACCTCTTTCTCACCTCAAAGGGGTGGCATAGACCCTACTCACGGATGCAGAACCCCATCTACAATTATATATGCCTTGTTACGTGGCACTGGCTCACCAGCCCGGGGTGGCGGGTGTGGAAACTGGTACAGGTCTAACACGCTTCCTAATGAAACTAAACAACGTGGTTGGTGTGTTATCATATATTTTTCTCTTCACCCCAAGTTCATAGCAGAATAATCAAGAATTGCAAGCATTGAACAAGAGTAGCACATGCACGACTCTCACTTTCCACCTTTCACAGAAACGTGACCTGCTTGGAGAGAGACAACAACGGTGATACTGTTATACGTACAATGTCCCCTCTTGCTCTAAGGGATGATGGGCGTGCTGTGGAATCCTACCTGGGAAAGGGATTTGGGCGGAACGATATCCGCCAAAAACTCAGGATGAATTCAGTAGTTCTGTCGCTGGTGATAAAAGTAGCAAAGGTAGCACCGAATGGATATGTGAAATGGCCAACTCTATAAGATATCGTGCGTACATATCGAATAGAACTCTAGGGGTATATTTCTATGCGAGCTGAAAGATCCTGTCTAAAAGCAAGACGAAAGAATATGTACATGTCTACAAATCAATATACCGTCCCAATGCGCCATTCTTGCCGCCATCGAACACATCATGCAACCCATCCAACGCCACGAAATTCTCCGCAAAGCTCAACCCTTTCAATCTCTGCCTCTCAATGACGTCCCAATTCCAGCTTTCCGCATCTTCCTTCTCCGGTATTACAATGTCTCCATCGGCAGTAGCCTCAACCTCTCCCTTATAGACCCACCCCTCGGGTTTCGCAGGAACCATACCGGCATCCAACAGCACCAGCTCTGGCGCGATCGTCCTCCTCCCCTCCTTGACCACATACTTGGCAATGGCCGTCGCAAAGATGGCACCCTTTAATTTCTCAGCATCGTATTCCTGATCCGGCCTCGCGCCCTTCTTCCAAGGCTGCAACGTCCACTCCTTCGGTTTCCCCACGCCCGGCCTGACGAGATGTGTAACGAGGTAGAACCACTTTTTATCCCAGCACAACAACCGCGTCCACATCTCATACTTTGCATAGGGCTTGATTTCCTTCTTGAACAGACAGCTGATCCCTCCCAAAGCAATGATATGTGGTCCCTTGGTTCCCTCCGTCGCACCCGCAGCGCGGGGAAACGCGCCGCCCTTTCCAGCGGATTTCTGTATAGCTCGGCGGATGATGGCCGTGAAGAGATGGGTGCGCGAGATGTCCATGTCGGCGAAGTAGGTGCTGTTTGATTTGTGGATGTTGTAGTCGGTTTCGAGGGCGGTGCATCGGGTGCTGGTGATGATGGGTTGGAAGAGGGCCGATGGAGGGATGCGGGTTGGTTGGTAGTGGAGTTGGTAGAAGAAGGAGGTGAAGAAGCGGATCTGAGGAGGTATATTGTTAGTATCCGTTCCTCATAGAGGTCTATTACCTGTCGCTCCGATAGACCGGCGCGAAGAAGGGAGAAGCGCAGAACTCACATGCCACATTCCAGGCAGCATTTTTAGGTTGGCCAGGGCCAGCAAGATGGCAATTGCTTTCCATATCCCGGCTTTTCCACTGAAATCGGTGCAAGCGGACAGCGCGCTTTGGAGTCGCTGGCTGAGGAACGCGAGGATTGAAGTAGCTGCCGCTGATATCGCCGATGCGAGCGCAGGCGTCGACATGGCTGCCATATTAAGTATATATCAAAGTAACGAATGACCGAAACGTGTTGGAAACAGAAATGAAGATGAGAGAAGCGATGAGGAAGAGGGAAATAATAATGACGAGATGTTGGTTTTCACAAGGACTGTTCCTGGAGCCGATCCCGTTAGCGTAGTTTGAGCCCTCGGAACGAACGGACGAGCGACACCTCCGAAAATCTGAATTTCCTTTTCAGGAAAGAAGTTTTTACACGGTCAGCCACGTGACATAGGAAGATATTTCCCAAGATTGTCACGAGGACTTCCATATGTGGTGATTTTCATGCCAACTTCCCATCTGTAAGGCGCATGTATATATATGAGGAGAGAGAGGAGGACTGGAAGGCGAACAAGAACACACAACGTCGAACAGAAATTGTTGCAGAAATATAAGTATCGATAGTAGGGTAACATTGTGTAAGAGGTCAAAAGCCACTTTCACATTTGCTCAATGAAGAGATCCGTTGCCCTCTCTAGAATATCATCTCGAGGTTCTTCACATGCTAGAGCGGAGAGGCCTCGGCCTCGGCCTCGGCGATACGGAGTCGTTCACTTGAGACCCTCGTTACGCCTCCAGACAGGCAACTCAGTAGATTGGTATGTAAACAATTAGGAGAACTGCACCGATTGTAGAAAGATATAAGGCATTAATCGCCCTCACTTCAGTTTGCACGAGAGAGGAGGCAACGACGCGCCGGGACTAGATTTCTCCAGGGCGCTGTGTCCCTGGTGATCGATCTATAAGCGCGGATAGGGAGGACCGCGGCTACATCAACCAAGGCACATCCTTCCGCCAGCTCCTACGACATGTTCAGACTTTGTAGTCGGATTCACCCTCGGGGAGCATCACGGCTTGCAGAGAGACAACTCATGAGCTTCACAACCGCCCAAATAGATCCAGGACAACCCTTCGAGGAGGAGCGACGGCTCACTGGTATACAGAAACATCCTTTTCCCCTGCAGTTCGCATCAACTCCTTAGCGGTAAGTTTGTCCCAAAGCGTTCATTTCCTCTATTGCTTCTGCCATCTCGTCTTCCGTTGGTCGTTGTACTATCATGAGGTAAAGCACGTCCTGTAACCAGTTTAGCATCATCCGTAGACCCTCCTTGAAGGTGACTCCACTCACATCCTGAAGCAGTTTCCTAGCGCCTGTTATCAAGCTCAGCGGGCCGATGCCACCCGCGATGCCACCCTCAATCCCACCTCCGATCCCACCGCCAATTCTACCTCGGCCACCTCCATGGGACAGTTCTCCACCTCTTTGCCATCCAATCGATCTGCCTCTTCCCAGTCCCATGTGGCTTTGTCGACCCAAGAGACCAGCCCGCACATCATTCCTGGAATCAGTTCCAACTTGTCTGCCAATCCCCGCTTGGAGAGACCTGCCAGTAGTCAGTCTGTGTGGGGGAAAGCATGCCCAAGGTGCTACTTACCCTCCAGTTAACAAGGCAATGGGATCACCACTACTAGCGGGGTGGTTCGGATCGGCATATCTAGAGGAGAATTCCTCTTGGCCCCTAGCATTGGCGAGGTTGCTATCGGGGTTCTCCCCGGCCCACTTGGCCCTGGCTCTCTTGTCGAAGTACTCTCCGACGAACTTCGTGCTACGCTTAACGGCTGACTGCTTTTTGGCATTGGCGCCGTCGTCGTCCGCGTCCGCCAACTCATCAAGGGCTGGAAACACGAGCGGCGCTGTCGCGGGCCACTCAAACGACGAGGCCCCACTGGAGCTCTGGAACATATGGTGCCTGTTGCTGCCACTCGAGGCCTCCACAATAGATGACTGCATATCGAACTCAGCTCTGGTGAGCATATTGTCTTTTTGGCCAGGCTTCCACGTCATGACCAGGGCCACCAGGCCCCGAGGCGCGAAAAAGGATTCATTGACCCGGTCGAGGAACAGGTTGGTCTTCGATCGGCTGTGGAGTTCGCTGGCCGCGTCGGCTACCTTCTTGACGGCAAGAGAGACGGCGATGCTGAATGGCATAGGCACCGCCATACCCGCGAAAGCGGCCAAGTTGATGGCTTGGATCCAGGGGCTCGGTGCAACGGCTTTGTTGAGCTTGTCGAGAAAGTCGAGGAACGTCGTCTGGTCGATCCCTACATCGGCAAGCAGAGGGGAATAGGCGCGCACAAACCCCTTGGTGCGAGACCCAGGGCGACGCTGGGTGATGACCACGGGTAGAGCTAGTTGTCCCGCGGAATCGGAAGGGGGTTGAGGATGGGAGAGGAGGAATGAGTCGGCAAGGCCAGTGAGTTCCTCTTCGGTAGCAGATGGTCTGGATGGACGGTCCGTCACTTCATCCTGTGCCTCGTCCAGTTCCCATACGGCTTCATCCATCTGTTGAGACAAGTGACCGTCGTCTTGCGATTCTCGCGCCTCTTGTGTTACTGCAGCGGCATTCTCGGCGTTCGTTCCCGCTCGCGTGTTGGAAGCTTTCTTCTTTCTGTGATGCTGGTACGTCTCGGATGCAAGACCGATCCCAGCCGCAATGCCTCGCACAAACATGTTGACGGGACCGCTGACAGGCTGTTGCCGGCGGCCGTCGGCATTGTGTTGTCCACGGTTCATGGGTGAGTGGAATGGAAAGACAAGAGCAAGCGAGAAGATAACAGTGATGGCCAGAGTTACAGTTGGGATGAGAACGGCATTTAACAAGTTGCGTTGGGGCTGAGTTTAGGCACGGCACAGCAGGCAGTCGAGCGCAAGTTCTGATCAGGTCAAATGTAAGTATGGGTGAAAGCTACCCGATATACTGTGTAATATGCAGCACAGCCACTATAGATCAAAGGCATGCAGTCATCAGCTCCTCCCATGCCTACAAATCGCCCTTGAGGCCTCTTCACCTACCTGTTTCTAATCTAATCCAGTACTTCGCGCCTTTAATAAGCTTGTTCAGGTGTTGTTTAATTTGACGCCACGCGGACAGGAGCAGGACGGACTGACGGATTATCGAACAACATCCCCATGTCCGATTGAAACTGTGCCACAATGATCGAGACATCCCACTGTCCAACCTCGTTCATTGCGTTCCCTTCGCCTGCTTAGACTGACCTTTCTCATGCTAGGGATTTCATCCGAAATTACCTGCAACAATCAGTGATGTCATGTCACAGCAGGGGGAGCTCAGGTACGCGTAGGCGTCTAAGCCGCTTTTTCTGCGCATTCGCAGAAGAGGCAGCGCCCAAAAGCTCGGCCGATGGAGAAATGCGATGTTGAACTCAGCGCGGGCCAATTACCGTAGCCAATGTCCGTGGCCCCTTGGCAATGCTTATTGTTCCTTGGTATTGCTTACTGTTAAGTCTTAGGCTGAGGCAGAGTTAAGGCGTAGCAAAGAGGGGTAAGCCCCAAGGGCGAGCTGTCAACCAATGCTTATATTACCACAGTACCTCCTCTGCAAAGTTCCGGCTGGACCCAGACCTAAGCCCCAACAACTAATAGGTGGTTTCAAGGGACCAAACTCCGGCGAGCTGCTGAGATTGAGAAGGACTTTCGAGCATAGGGTACTCCGAAATACAACGCCAAGGCAAGGGGGTCACTTAAAGGGGTTTACACAGCCGCTTGTTTATATTAGATTCCTGCTTGCCGTAAAATTAGTCCCGATAAAAGATATGTACCTCTTAGTGCTTTTTCATGGCTCCTAGACCGATTAGATCATAGCGGTAAGTGTAAGGAAATTAGCGTCTCCATTTCTCGCAGTGCGGACAGCATACGGTATCGTCGGCATCTTCCAAGCCACAGACGCCCACATTCTCACATCCATGTGGAGCACCCTGTTTGGCTCTGCTACGGCTCTTACACTGATGGCTCTGCTACCCGAGTATATCGTCATCTCTATCTACATATATATTCTTCATTGCAGAGTTCGCACATGTAGCAGGGCGGATCGGTTCCCTAATGGAGATGGCAACGGCGTGATCTTGGACGGGCACGAACTGGATAGTCGGCGATAACTCTGGAGGTCGCGGTCCCGACGACCTTGAAATCGAGTAGTATTAATGTTCAGTGTAGTATGAATGAGGTGTCCTATCCTTCAAGGTTCGAATAATCTAGCATAACAGATAAGGTTACGTTTTTGCAATTGGCTTCCAGAGTTAGTATCACAGTCTAATGAGTTCTCTCACGCCCCAAACGGTGCCGACACAGCTCTCCCTAGAATGTATTTCTACATTTCATGTGACTCACTACTAATTCTCTAAGTCTAGCACCAAATTTGGGTATACGTCACTACTAGTTTGGGTTGTGGGTCGAGTACCGTTAGTACATGGGAGAACTAGCCAAGGAGGGTGAAATCTACTGCGGGGTAAGCATATGCAGTCAAAATGGGAAGGGGACCCGATGACTCCAGCGGAGGAGTATATATTAACCCTCCACTTTATCCACCTAGTTCTCTGCTTAAACCTGAGCGTATGCTTTCATCGTATTCATATACACACACACACACACTGAACATCATAGCGTCAAAACCGCGTCTATACACTAAACAGTCTTAACACTATGCCGTCTATACGACCAACGATGCCCTATGTACCGCCACGATCGCCTGATTTTCCAGGTCCCAATCTGAATCAAGTGTTCAACCCGGGCTACGACGATGTTTACTTCAACCAATTTCGAGGTAGTCCTCATGAGTTGCTTTTTCTCGCCGTCCATGATTTCCGCTACCTACAAATGAAGAACATATACTACTACCAAATGGAGTTACGCCACAAGTTTCCCCCCGGGACAGCATTGAATCCTGGAAACATTGAAGAGTTACGTACCCTTCTAGCAGCCTATTGTACGTATATTCTCCGGCTTTGCTAAAAATGTTCCATACACCAACATTCACTTAGGCAACGCGCTCCGGAATTATGAGTATGTGCTCCGGCTCCCCAAACCTTCGGCCTCAAATGTCCTCGTCCAACGGCAATGCCTCGAGCACCTTGGGAAGGTCGATATACCCCGCAGACCATCGAATTATTCGCGGTTCTCCCCTCGGCGTCCTAGAACGCATATTCACCCAAGATCTCTCGGAAGCTCAACCTGGCTTCAAACTTGGCCCGAGGGGCAAAATCGAACTTATTTGGCGAGACACTCTGTGGGGTGATATATTTCAGCGCATGTGTATCGGTTGCTTGGTGGGTGCACCTTTTATGCTCGTTCCGATGATCATTCTACAGTTTCAAACGACGACAGCGTGGAAACTGTCAACGGTGTCAGTCGCGGTATTGCTTTTCTCTATAATTTTGAGTATCTCTACCGATCAAAGCAATGACGAGCATCTTGTGGCTGTTGCAGCATACGCAGCTGTTATGGTTGTTTTTGTAGGGACAACGACGTACCAGGTTGTATGTTTATAAGGTGAAAAAATTGTAATAAGGATGATTGTACTTGATATTCAAACAAGCAGGATTATGTGAAAATTCTTAAAGATGTTAAGAGGCATTTTTCATACCATTTTGTGGGTAAAATGGCCACTGGAGATCAATGAAGGTATGATAGGGGTCACTATATATAAGGCTTCTCGAGTCCCAAACCCATCGCCAGACTGGCGTCTTCAGCAGGAAAACCATGCACACAAAGCTCCCTGATTAGAAGTGATAGTCCGTTCATGCCGCGTTGTTTTAAGATACCGCCGACCGGACTCTGCGACTCAATCTCCATCTCCGAAGCGACGTGATCCCACCCAGGCAGGAAGGGCTGTCCCTGTGGAAACTGGATTTCCTTCTCTCGACATCGTAAAAGCAGAGTTGTGATGGGACTCAATTCTTTTGGCTCGTTCCAAGTCCACTGCTCGAACGGCTTCTCATGCACATATCGTGTCTCGCCCTCGAACCACTGTCGGGGTATCTTGAAGATTGCACCATATTGTTCAAGGTGCTCTCGCATACCCCTTCGCGAACACCGACGCCAAGGCAATCCCCAGATTGGATAATGCCTACCGACCATAAGGGCTACGCCTGCTCCGCGGTGGTCCCTATGCAGCCAACCTTGCGAGGCGCATGCTCTACACAGAAACCCTTCTTCAAAGCGCAAGGTAGACGTATCCTAGTAGGGCGCGCGGATAACGGTGGTGTAACGAAGTGGATGATCCCGATCAACTCTCGCATTCGGCGAATCTCGAGTATCGGGCAGTAAGCGATGAAATGCGCGCTGGTTAAAAGCCAGCAGAGGTTTCCTCAGGACACCTTCACCTGCCCGGCCGTAGTACCCAGGTACAAGCCGTATGTGAGGCACAAGCGCAAGTGTCGTGTCCATATGTTCCTGCTTGACTCGCTGCAATGCGTGTGTTGGATCTTGAGAAAACAACTGTAGCACCATCGCTCTGGCGTGACGAGGTTACATCATATCACCAAAGTGCCCGCATGAGACGCAGCGTTCATCTTGGATGCAATGTAGCAGTGCCTCAGTGGTCCAGTATCGACATTGTACGGCTTCTGCTGCGGATAAGAGAATGGGGAATGCCGCCAGAGTACGGAAAGGCGGCCAGCCTTCGATAGCGTTCTTTAGGTGATGATGCATTCGTCGGAGGGAGAGCAGCGAGCATATGTCTATGTGCGGTAAGATCTGACACCGAAGTTCGGTGGGCAGAGTGCTGAGCCGGTCTATGGGTTTTCTTGACCCTAGTGTTGCACTGCGATGGCTCATCCTTTCGTGAATGTGTCGTTGGGACGAACTGCTGTAGTCCCCAGGAATAGGCGAATCACCCAAGAAGAATCCTGGACGCGGCGCACGAAATGTATAATCTTCGAAATCGTGTACAGGACTTCCCCTGGAGATAGGAAAGCCGTTGCCAGAGCCCTGGATTGGCTCACCTGCGGACATGGTTGTTGTGCTTTTGAAGATTGTGTGCTCCGCTCTAACGGGATACCTATATATTGCAGAGTAGTTGATCATGGTATTGCATGCTACCGAGGTACTTCAAGGGTATCCTAAACATCGGATGCACTCGAAGTCTCGAACCTCCCAGGCGGCACAAGCCTCGCATGGCGAGGCGACAGGCAAAACTTTAGGGCCCAAAAGTTGTGCAGTTCCATGCTACTACTGTAATGACTTTTCAGGCAAATTCCTCTAGTTGCAGAAAGTGGGCAATCACATCTTTGGAATTTCCCAGCTGGAACCGCAGGAAACACAATCCTGATCAAACCCCATGCCTCCAATGATTTGCAGACTCTCCATTCTCTCCCTCGGCCCACAGTTCGACAGGGAGCGAGTACATGCCGGGTTCGATAATGAATGTGAAACCATCAAAGAAGACGCGTGTATTAGATAGATTGTCTTTATCAAAGTCCAAAAAGGGGAATTTAGCTTCGAGTATTGCTTCCTTGTGGGCGATAAAATAGGCTGAGAGTTGTTTAACGACATCTGCGACTGTAACAATGCCGCCATCGGCTCCGCGAACGAACACGCGATCCGGTGCTTCGAACTCGGCGGCTTCATAGTTGTCTAAGACTTCGAGGCTAAAAGCGATTTCCTTCAGGGGTATTTTGGTTGCTGCTTCGGCTGCAATAGGATGGCCTTCGAACGGCAAGAGCTCCGGTTCGGCACTATCGGGGTCACTTGCAACCCGGATATTGGATATGTCTTCGAAGACTGGCCAACGAAGGCTGTGAAATGCCTCGCTCATGGTCGTTTCCCTCTCAGGAGTCCAAACGTATTCGGGACTCAATGTCTCCATGTTGTGAGGCACAGTTCCAGAAGTTGTAGGAAGGATGCGAAAGGCTGAGACTTTTCAGGGATCTCTCAGGGTTAATCTATTAAGAACCATAACCGAGTGTCGGTTCGATATCGATGACGAAGTTCCCCCATGCAGCTGCACTGCAGCATTCTATCCAGCCCGTCCCAACGCGGTGGGTAGGCGCTAGTGAATGTGCGAAAGCGGATAAAAGCAAAGATCCATTCCAGTGACCCACTCGACTTGCTGCTCTTGAGATTACTAGAAGAATGATAGGATGTTTATACGCGAGTCTTGATACTGAAAACCCGCCTTAAGAACCAAGCCCGTTAAAGGTACTAATGCAAGAACCCCGAAACGTATGAACCAATCTGACTCACTTACACTGCATCTTCCACCCTTTTGGACTCTTCCTCATGGTGACGTCCCTGGGAGTGCCGCACAATTTGCCACGGTCCAAATTCTAGTTCCACAATCAACCGCGGATTCTCACTACCTCCGCAACCATCCTTGAATGGAACCAGCACGCCGCTCCACCAGCGCTGCGCACCCTGTAGAACACTGAATGCAGTCAAGCCCCCTTAGTGTCAGTCGGCCCTTGACTTGGTAAATATCTGAACATATGTGCTCGGTTTCTTATGGACGGTCCAGATGTCATCAACGGTGAGCTCACTGTGACTCTCCGCTCGTTTGGCTGCTTCTCTCCTAGTCTCGTAATGCTCACATCAGGCGGTCGTTCTAGAGTCCCATTCAGACCGCAATCTTCGCAATCTCGCTTTTGTTCTATTAATCTTCATATTGTTATTCCTGGTTCAGGTATTCGTTCTCACGATGTTATATGCTGCAACATTCGGTCTTGACATTGCCATCAATGCCGCCGTCCTCATCGCGACTACTCTCCCCGCAGGCTCCAACTCTAAAGTCCAGATGGGATGCGGTAGCAGGGCACGAGACGCTACGGTCGGTGCCTTAACAGGCGGCAGTAGGCCAGATATCGTTCTGTACGACACCCACGGACAAGAAATCCGGAGAAGCGTAGGAGGGGAGCCGTTCGACCCAGGATCGAATCCGACCATAGAAATGGGAAACCTCATCGAAAATACATTTGACCCGGCCAAAGGGACCATAACTCCGGAGTACGTGAAGTTGATTGCGAGAAATGACGATGCGGTGTGTGTTAGTTACGTGTCTACGACAAGTGTAGGGAATGATAAGCGGACCTGGTAAGTTGACCACGATGCCACATGTTTCTCTGAGACACACACTGAATTGGTATCCCTATCTGGGCATCCTGGCTATGCCAAAGAATGCGCCAGACACATGGAACTTCCCTTCTGGTACCCATCCCCTGAGATTATCCCCGGCACCGACTTCCGTCCCGGTTGCGTGTAGATGAGCAGCGACAGCCGCTAGGGCATGCCCATGGCCGTCTCATTCCAATTGACTGATTTCGCTTTCCCCACTAGCGAAGAAGCGGCAAAAGCCAAGATTCAGTATGAGAAGGCACCAAACACTCTATGTCAAGCTCCTGCTCGAATGGCATTCTGGGACACAACCTATCCAAACGACTGTATCCCGTTCTATGATTTCACGGTGGAGGGGAACAGCACCACGGGCTTTGATATAGATAATCAACTGATTGTTGATGGGCATACGATACCGTGCAAGATTCAGGGACTGCTTCTAAAGCAGACTCTAGAGCCTGGGAAAGGACTTAGAACGCCCAAAACGCTCACTGACGAAGAGGAAATGCAAGCTGATGAAGACGGAACCAATCCCAATGGCGCGGCGCCCTGCGCTGGCAGCTTTGGCGGTGAATGCGGACAAATCTCGAGAGAGGAAGCCGAGAGGCTGCAAAGGGAGGAAGATCAGCGACTGAGCGAAGAAGGGCAGAATCCCAATGGCCAGGCTCCAGGCGCAGAGGGCTTCGGAGGTATTTGCGGCGTGGTACATACCGCCAGACTGGAATACTGCGCCTGGTGAAGGTGTGGGCAGAGTATTGCCCTGCCCGACGGTAAATACAGAAGAACCCCCGACGCTGCCTGACATAAGTCGACGGAGTCGCAACCAAAAGCGACGTACACCACAAAGGAACGGCATGTGTAACGACAGGCTTGTCATCAGTTACCATAAGGAACATAGCGCAAGAGAGGTTTGTCAAATAGAGAGGTCTTGGGGTCCAGACTTCGTATCGAAAGGGAGAGGATTCATTGCGATATGTGCCCCAGGGCCACAAAAATAGATGTTATAACAACAAAAAGGCAAAAACATACAACACCACGCTATTCGCACCTGGTCACCCACGGTACTACTCAACGGGCGCTACACGGCTTGTGTATGGTCGATCGGACGAGAGGCCCAATTTTCCGTGTGCTATGGTCGTATGTGGTCGTTACCCCAAAAAAGAACTTTATATAGGAAAAGCTCCACGCACAGTCCTTCAAATGCTGCCTGTAGCAGTAGCACCGGCTATGCCTTCTTTTGGTGCGTGGGCGGACCACGTACAAGGGAAAAGAGGGCAACCACCCATGAGAGCGCCACCGGGCAGCCAACGCTGCACACCCTGTGTGTGCATCCTATACAGGCGCCGCTTGGTGGACACTAAGGGCGTGTTCCGTTTTTTCTTTTTCCTTCTTCGTTGAGTAATAGGATCTTGGCTGCGGGAGAGGTGCTCGCTTGTAAGAGGAGCTACACTGCGTAGGGAGTAACTTGCCCCAGCAGAGTGAATGGAAATGGGGGCCTGTTCGGTGTGAGACGGGAGAGACAAGCTGTGACTGGCTAGGACGGGTAACTTTCTCTCGTGGTTGACCCAATTGCAATTGCAAAGCGAGGGCAATGGTCGGTGGGTGCGTGGTATCCCCGTTATTAGATAGTGGTAAGCGCGTTAATACTTCCTAGGTCGGTGGCAGTTTAATCTCCTATTTGGCCGAAATTCCCTGTTTTGGCCTGTTCCTGCACTAAAACCGGGGTTTTCAGAATGGCAGGCTCCCGTCGAGCGTGGGTTGGGCACCTGGGGCGGGTACGGTAGGCGGTTGCACATGTGTAGCTTTCCCACGTCGGGGTGCGTTAATCTATCGGTGATTTCTTGGCGCATTGCTTCGCGTTTGCCTTGCCCTCGTAGATCACCTCGCTTACTATATCTATACACGCGGCGGTGCCACCTGAGCGAAGACGGCATCCCAGTAGTCCTTCGAGATCAGAATCTGCGAGAGCGCGCTGAGGCGCCTCGGAACGTAGCGCTCCTATGTACACCACAGTTAACCCTTGTAACAGCCTGCATAATCGCCTGAATAGGTTGAAGGCGTGAGGATAATGTTGGAAGGGTCTGGCAGCGGAAAATGGAAGGGCATTAGTATATAAACTCTCTTCACCTCTCATACTGCTTCGAAGAATATGGAGTCATTCGCACCTGAGTCCCCAAGTTGACGTACCACGAGATTGAATACACAATTGCTGAACAGATTCTCTGCCTATATCCACCGTTGACACGCAGTCCATTACACCGAGATTAGGATGCCACCAGACGTTTCGACAGGGAGTGAGGACCGAACAACTGATAATGGTCGCCGCCAATGTATCCATCTTCCGTAAGTCATAGCTCACTTTCGTCCGCATGGGGACATAGGTCCTGTCTGCCGTTACCCATTCAGAATTTTCCCCCTCGTCCATCACCACGTGTACTCCAGAGTTTGTTGACCTGATACACTCTTCTAGTCCAGCAACCGTCGGCTCCCATACCACAACAGCACTGGCAACGGCTCCGATACGAACTCGCCTGCGATACCCTCGTCCAAGCCCGACACCTCGAAACCTCCATTACGGTCGGGGGATACGCCTGGTGCGCCATTGACGGAGTCCTCATTGGCGGCACATAACTCGGCATATAGTGACGAGATTTGGCGACGGGCCGAGTCGGACAGAATCGACAGGGTGGAGGCTGCCGGGCGTAGTCTCAAATTCGCATTACCTCGTCATTGTTATGAGCAGGATAAATGGGAGGCGAATGAGTGGCTTGCGGTGCAGGGTGCGAGGCGGTCCACTTCCCACGGTAACGGTGACCAAGCTCAGTGTCAGGGAGGAGTCGACAAGGAGAAGTGACTGGCATGCCCGTTCCTTGAAGGTACCTGATAGTCGGCCGGCGTTGCATGGCAATTCTAAACGGTGGATTCGTCAATGAATTCGAGTTCGAGTTGCTTGCGCGATGCGTCTTAAACCATGCAACCGTTCGGCTTTTGTCGTACCCAAATAGAGTGATGCCACAGGCCAGGCATGGATGCCACCTTTTTCTTCATCCTTTTCAACGACGACCCCGCTGCGTTCCAGAAGATTACAGAGATCCCTCGTCTCAGGTGCCAGCACTTCCTCTGAGCCGAAAAGAAAGAGCCATCCCATTTTGGGGCTGGCATTTCGCCAACGGCTGACATCCTTGCAGTGACCCGGTGAGACCGTTGGATCATTTGGGGCCAACTTATTTCCAATGTACTGACTGCCATATCTTTCAAGGCTATTAGAATCCAGGTAGTCGCTACGCGTGTTCTTGTTTCTTGGAGAGATGATGGAAGTCCAGGGTGAGATCAGAACGGCTAGTCCGGGTCGGCGATGTCGCATCTCATGATGGTCCGCAGTGTGGAGCAAGAGGCTGAGTATAAGTGTTGCCCCAGCGGAATCTCCGCCCATGCAGATGGTAGAGGAATCTCGCGCCATAGATAGAACATATTCGTAACCGGCCAAAGTCTCCTCTAGTTGTGTGGGATAAGTTGCATCCGGAACAAGGGTATACTCCAGAGCAAGCAGTGCAGGAGCCCGGTATCCCGACTGTTCAAGTAAGCTCACCCATGCAAGGAGGAACTCCAAGTAGAAGTAAGTTGAACCCATTGAGAAGCCTCCGCCATGACAATAGTAGACAATGATATCTGGCCGCTCTCGGTGATTGCTTGTGACCCATATCCCTTTGAAGCCGGGCTTGAGCGCATTAGTGGCAGGTACATAAACCATATTGCTGAGTCCTTACTCTTTCTATTTCTACCCACCTGACTGGTGAAGTATATATGCCATGCCGGAGCATCCGGAAACGGAGAAATGGTAAAGCCACATGCTTGGAGAAGAAGACTCGGCCCAAGAACGCTGGCATGTGTGCAAATGCATATCGCACACATCTTATGACCACATCTTGAAACACGGTTGCGCGCTGGACGAACGGGCTCCGAAGTTCGTACGGGGTGAGGTACCTGTCATGAAGGAGTTGGAAGGGGAGAATAAGCACTGCAGAAACTGTGAATATATGAACTGCTTTGATCTATATACAGGTCTCGCGCGACACACCTAAAGACGGTAGGGCTCCAAGGAGCCAGATTGCCGTGCGCCTAATGCCGACCTGGAGGAGGATTTGTGGGGCCAGAAAAAGCAGGAACACAAAGCAGTCGAGGAGAGAAACTGAACCGAGTATCATGCTTCGAGAAGAGTTCGAACGAATACTTGAGACAGCTTGTTCTCTTTTTTCCCTGTATCTATCCCTGGCGTCGCGCGGTATGACTAAGTCATCAAATGTTTAGGTAACATTGAAGGTGCACGATTCATCGTATCTAACCCTGGGAAGCAAACAATACAGTGGAACCTGTCGTGAATAGAGATGCGCATTGACGGACCAACTTTTGCCATCAAGATCAAAACGCAGCTGGTCGTTTTAATGATGGATGGTTAGTGACGAACATTCCGAGGTTTATATAATCTGCAGCACGTGATAGCCTTCCCCCCGGTCACTCGGCTTGGCCAAAACAACTCTTTTCTCCACCAGGACTTCGTTGCGCATTCAAGCACAAACACAACCTCCAACTGTCGTTTCGAGGTGGACGACCCACTCGAAGCTCCGATCTATTTCCCGCTATTGTTTCTTTTGCGCTTAATGGATTGAGTTCTTCCAGCATTGTTGGCTACGACGGGTGTGTGAGGCATCCGTGTAGAAGCTAGACAACGTAGTTCGCCATGGCTGCCTCTACCGCGGATCCCAAGGCTGCGCCGCTTGCTGACGATCTTAAAGAATATGCGCTGTGAGCATACATGGATTTGCTAATCATTGAGCAAAGCTGACGCCCGCAGAACACTTGCGCCATCCTCTTTCCCCAAAAACTTCTTCTGTGCGAGCTGCAGCCAGCTCGCCATCGATTCTTGGAAGTTGCCATGTTGCAATAAAACAATTTGCTCATCATGTCAGTACGCTCAATCCGACCACTGATAATAGACCTAACAGCTTCTCTCAGGCCATGCCAAGCTCAGTTTCCCGACGACCTGTCCCCTGTGCGATCATGACCCTCTCGAGGCTGATTCATGCATGCCGAACAAGGCGCTGCGGAATACAATGCGCGTATGGTTGCAGAAGCAGAAAAAGAAGGACGATGCGAAGAGCACTCCCCAAATCGAAACGCCCCCCGTGGACACTCCTACTGCGAGTGGCGGAGCGGAGGGTGCTGGACAGTCGGCTGAGCAACCCTCTGAAAGAGATGAGAGCGTGCCGAGGGAGGTGACTGGTGGGGATGTAGCTGTCGCTCCGAATGGTGAAAACGGTGGAGAGAACAACCCCCCCAAAGTATCTGTTCCACCCGCTTCAAAGGAGGTAGGCCGATCGTGTCTCGACATTATTTACAATCGACTAACTTTGAGAAGGGTTCAATCGCTCCACAAACAGATGAACAGGGAAATATCGATGATGGTCAGGTTCCGACTGGCCATGCTGAGCTGGAGTCGACTGCGGTGCACGAGCCGTCACCAGCGAAAGGAATGGAGAAACAGGGCGAAGGCATGTATGGGAATGCCATGCTCAGCAATACGGGTGGGATGAACGGGATACCCAATCAATTCGGTTATGGTTTCAATAATCAAGGAAACTACGGGATGGGATTCAATGGCATGAATGCGATGAGTGGCATGCCCAACATGATGGGAAATGCTGGCTGGAATAACATGGGTTCTATGGGTGAGTCTTCCCCGTATCACGTGAACATCTCCGGCTTGAGCTTCCTGACACGTTCTTCAGACTATAACATGACCATGTCAAATATGCCCAACAACATGTACGGCGGCTTTGGAGGAAACATGGGCATGCCAGGAATGAATGACATGTCTGGCATGAACATGATGAATTACGGGAGCGGATATGGGAATTGGGGGCAAGGCAGTATGAGTGGCTATGAAAACTTCAACGGTTTCAATCCGATGGGTGGATATAATCAATCTGGAGCCCAATATCCCCAGATGATGAACCAGTTCCCCAAAAATAATTTCCAAAACCAGAATCGTTTTTCTGCCAATGGACCTGCATTTTCCCAGCAGAAGAGCATGAGGCGAGGCAGCAATTTTGGCAACCAGAACAGCGGGCCTGGATTCCAGCACGATGTGCAGAACCGACCTGGGAGTCAAAACGGTCCACCACAGAACGTACGTCGATTTCTCAAGGAGCGATCGATCCCATCGGCGCGTCCTCTGCACTCTCTTCCGAACACAACGCAAACTGACTTTTGTCCTTGCTTACAGAATGATGAAGAGACGACCGTTCCGTCAGGTGATGCCTCTGACGTCAAAGAAGGGCAAGCGAAACCTGAGGGTGCAACTGATGCCGCTCAGGGAGGTAAGGCTGATGATGGTGGTGTGGTTGAGGCTGGCGCATTGTCATCTGCAGAAGCTACTGCTAAAGATTCGAAGGAGTTGACCCAAACAGGAGACCAGTCGCATGTCGTTTCGAAGGCAGACACTTTGAATCCAATTCAGACACTTGATTCTGCAGAGAACCAGGGCACTTACCAGCAAGCGATGATGGCTGGTGTTGTTCAACCCATATCACCGCACCCGCAGGACATGATGGGCAACTTTCTGAATCAGGGTCCAGGCATGCAAATGCCATACGGAGGCAGCGCTATGGATTTCCGTCATCACCACAATAATTATAGCGGTGCTTATGGCGCTGCGACTGTTCTTACCGGCGAACCTCGAGGGGTCGGTGTTGAAGGAGCGCCCACCGGGCCTCGAGCAATGCGGGAAGGTCGGCCTAATACCGGATTCTCCAGTCGTATTAGGAGTACGCAATACAATGCTCGTGCAGGCACACCCAGCGTCACTTCCGCTCATGAGGCTGTGTCAAAGAGCCCAGCACGACGTGGTCGATCGTACGTACACAACTCGAATACAACAGGCCCTCCAACTGATACCAGATGCAGAAGCCCTGACCGTGACGATTCCTTGCGAACAAAAGAGAAATCGCCATCGCGGTCCCGATCTGGCTCGAGAACACGGGGAAAAGAGGAGGATCGAAACGAAGAACATGACCGCCGAGAACCAGAGGAGACGGAATCGAGACATAGGAGACACGGGAGATCACCTACGCCCGTTGCCGACGACGATGGAAGGCGCAAAGAGAAACGGTCCCATCGGACCTCTCGCTACGATGAACGAGCTAGTGGTCGGAGCGGACGGCACGACGATTACGGTGAAAATTACCGTGAGGAGAAAGATGATCGAAATGACCGAACCCGAAGCGTGTCTAGGGATTCGAAGTACCGTAGTCGTCGCGACAAGGAGAAGCATCGATCTTCGCGCTCACACCGCGATCGAAGTCGTGAGCATCGTCACCGTCATCGCTCGCGCTCACGGTCCCCTGGCGATGACGAATACTACGATGAGACCACTGAAGAATCGGGTAGTCGGCGCAGACACCGAAGCGATAAAGACAAACACAGGGAGCGCGAACGTGAAAGGTCCCGGGACAGGGACCGTGACAGAGAAAAGCGGGAACGTCGTGATCGTGATTATGACCGAGAATATGAAAGAGAGAAAGACCGGACCCGGGACAAGGAGCGGGATAGGAAGCGGTCCAGGCGAGATCGTGAGGAGGAGGCAGATGAAAGGGACTACGTAGAGGAGAAGTATCGCGCCTCACGACGGAGTAGGAAGGACCGCGATCGTGAAAGAGACCGTGAACATGAAAATGATGAGCCGCAAAGTGCCGTCACCCCGGCTCGCGGCATCTCACCGCCTCTGAACGCTCCAACAGGTCCATCGGCTGAGAAATCCGAAGGCTTCTCAATCAAAGGATTTAGCAAGACCAAGCGCGCCGATTCAATGAGTTCGAAGTCAATGGCCCCTCCACCGAGCGGACCTCGGTCTTTCCAACCTCCCAAAGGTCCGGCTTTGGATAGGGACCGGGACCACCGTGATAGCAGAGACCATCTGAGGAAGCCCAGCGGTAGCGGGTCTGCCGCCTCAACGCCCATATCCCCTTCGACGCAAGACCACTACGCCGCTGAACGCGAACGAAACGTCCGCGAACGCGTCGATAAAGACCAACGAGACCGTGTCCTGCAATCAATCCACGGCCGCGCCACGGGTAGATCGAATTCCATGCTTTCGTCATCAGCCCGGCCTAGCCTGTCGAGTAAACGCAGCAGAGACGACATCGAGGGCGAAGACACAGCTCATTCGGAAAAACAGCAGAGTACCGAGGCCTCGTCGAAAATCCCAACGGGCCCCTCTGCGCACAGGGATAAGCGCCGCAAGAGTGGTGGCGATAGTAACGCCATCGCCAGCCTCTTCACACAGGGGCTGAGGAAGCACGCAAAGGGGAGTAGGCGGGGAGGGGTCAAGACCGAGGGAGAAGTTGAGAGGGATTTGGAGAGGGCGGAAAGGGAGCGGGAGAAGAGGTGGTGAACTACCATCTGGCATAGTCTGGGTTCATCAGAAGGGAGTGAGCGACATGCTGCCGACAAGGCAACATGCAAAGTTGCATTTTCCGTGGGTGAGCAGAGCGCGTTTTGGCATGGCATATGATGCGTGCTTTGGCCATGCATGTAGCAATACCCTAATCCTTCAAACGATGTCTGGGAAAGGTTCTGTCTCATGGAGTACATACTCAATAACAATGTAAAAAGTGGGTGGTAAGCTTCTCCCATGTGTTCTTGGGCGAGTTGAACGTGATTGGTATTCATTGCAATATATCATGGCCAAGTCTTTTCTCTACAGTAAACGCCAGGAGCAGTGCACGCCTCTTCGGCAAACCCGTTTCCCTTGCGTATACCTTTACTACAGCTTATGCCTCGTTCCGTTCACATTCTGAGCGCCCTGGCCCAGCTGGCTCGCAACACACGTTGCCTCCCTGATCGCCCGACTGACATTGCCCCTCACTGTGCCCTCCTCCAGCACCATAAGGCCTCCTATCGTACACCCACCGGGCGTACTCACCTTATCCTTCAACACCGCTGGATGCTCCCCACTCAGCACCAACTCCGCAGCCCCTTTCATCGTCTGCGCAGCCATCATCTGCGCCTCCGCCCTCGGCAACCCCATAGCCACCGCTCCATCCGCGGCAGCCTCCAGCATGAGCGCAAAGAACGCCGGTCCAGACCCACACAAAGCAGTGCTCACGTCCATGAGCTGCGGCCCGAGCGTCACCGTCCGTCCAATTTGATTGAATATCCACTCCACTACCGCCAATTGCTCCTTCTCCAGCGGCGGAGTACTCGTCTGGATAACGCTGATACTCGACCGCACAAAGCTGGCCGTATTCGGCATGACTCTGACAACCCTGCATGCCCCCTCCGGCACCCCCTCCGGATACAAGAACTCCTCGATCTGCTTTTGGGTCACGCCCGCGAGGATCGAGATCAACACTTTCCCCTTCAACGCCTCGCGCATGCCTTCCTCGCCCAGGATGTCTTTGAAGCCATGGGGTTTGCAGCTCAGCAGGACGATGTCGGCTTCTTGGACGCCTTTGACGTTTTGGTTCGTTAGCGTCGTGAGCGGGAGGTTATAGTGCCCTAGGGCTTCCTTGACGCGGGCTTCGGCGGGGGCCCAGGTGTCGCAGGCAATGAATTTGGTTGGGAGGCGGGAGGGGGCGTTCTCGGAGGTGGATGGGGTGGAGGACCGGAGGGAGGACATTACACCGCCCATTATGGCTATGCCCATTGTGCCTATTGTGGTGGTGATTAGTATGAATGGCAGTGGACGAGAGATGGTAGAGGGTCTTACCGGAGCCGAGGACGGTCAATGTTAAGCCATTAGAGTCTGCCATAATGAAGGACAGTGGGGATAAATTCAGGTGAGTAATTGATGTTGTGTGGAGAGTACTGTACAACTTTTATCAGGGGATGTTGGTTGTCTTCAAGGGGTTCAACGTGGGGTAGACGGGTTGTTACGCACGGACCCGGGAACTTTTAGATCGATCTCGGAGCTTGCAGCTACGGCGGGGAATTAAGCCCATGCCCGCACTTCTGTAGATATAACGTCCCATAAACCTTCAATCACTCAACCTCCGTGGATACGATACCCCTCCCTCATTCAGAAGACAACTATTACTCCATCGTAGCTCGCTATGGCTGACCCCTTTGAGGTCCGCATGCGCTTTAGCATGCAACTACAACACCTCAGCGCGTCCGTCACAGCTGCACAAAAAGCAGCGAACTATGCGCTCAAGAACCGGGAGATGGACGAAGACCTCCATTCTTGTATATTAGAACAACTGGAAAAGGTGCGAAGCTCAATCATTACCTGTCTTTTCTGCGGAGTTGTAGCTCTTCGAAAACCATTGGCAGTTTCCCATCTCCCGAACAAATGCTAACACCTACAGCCAGACCTCCATGAACACCCGCGCCAACATCATGTACTTCATCGAACACCTCTGCGCGCTCGCCCAACGCGAAAACCACCCCGAATATATTCGCATGATGCAGCGTGACATCATCCGCGTCATCGACGCAGTCTGCCCGCTCGACGGCTCCGGCGCAGCGAACATCCGCGTGGTGCGGCGCGTCCTTCAAGGCCTACAAGCGCAAAAAGTGCTTATGCCGGAAACCGTAACGGAGTTGGAGGCGGAGCTGAAATCCAGAGAGGGGACTGCACATCCATTCATAGCGGGTGCCGATGATGGCGGCGACGTTGTAGCAGCGGAAAAGAACGGCGGCCCAGTTCGGTTAGACAAGCGACAGATTGAGCAGAGGATCGAGGAAGATCGCGAGCGGCACAAGAGACTCCGAGAGGAGATTTGGGCGGTGAGCGATGAGCCGGATGGGGATGGAGAGTTGAGGAAGATGTGGGATGAGGCTAGTGATATCGGCGATGACGATTATCTCGCGGCAGAAGAAGATCAGGCGGAACGGAGACAGGCGATTGAGTTCGGCTCCTCGAAAGATTAGGAACGTAGCGGGTCGAGTGAGATTGTTCCGTACCGTGGGCTAGACCCTGACTGCGCATAGGACAGGTCTGATATTATTGATCAACTGATACCAAGTTTAGAGTATCGGGGAGGATCGCACAGAACCAGATCCAGTGTTGTTTGAAGCGCACCTCAGGGCCGGGGCATCTTCGGAGGAGTGAGAGAGTACGCGGTCGACGCCCAACGGGCTGTACCTCCAGTTTTGGGCTTGAATGAGAGCGGGATATTAATCGGGTCTGTGGGGATGGAGTTTCGGTTCATTTATGGTGCATTGTTCGGCGTTACATGAGTGGGATAGGGACATGGGAGATACCAAGAGGGCATGCCTGGGCATCTGTCCCTGATCCTGCGTCTGTTTATTCTAGAATACATGCAAGAACTCGAACCCGTTATCTGTACATCGGAAATGCTCAACGTATAGTACAGGTTATATGGCTCCACACACTACACGCTCTCCTTCCATATCGTTCCAATGCTCCCAGCATATGATATCCGGTCTATTCCATAGTGACCGTGGCTCCAATCGCCTTCAGCGCCTCAACAATCTTCTCGGCCTCCTCCTTGGGCACGGCCTCCTTCATCATCTTTGGTGCGCTCTCCACGAACTTCTTGCTGTCGACTAGGGACAGGCCGAGCATAGCCTTGATCTCCTTGATAACCTTGGGTTTCGCAGCGGCGTCAAACTTCTCAAGCTTTAGGTTGAAGAGAGATTTCTCTTGTGCGGGCGGCGCGGCTTCCTCCTCCTCGGCGGCAGGTGCAGCGGCGGGTGCAGCGGCTCCTCCAGGGCCGGCTGCTACGAAGCCTCCCATGGGCATGTCGGGGATGTTAAGGCGGGCCTGTGGAATCGTTGATTAGCCAGTATTCTCGCGCAGTTGAGCAATGATGTTATCGATCCGAGCAGGGCGAGTGAAGCTAGCGGGTTTAGGAAACCACTCCCAAGCGCTGCCATACCTTCAGGGTAGAAACCAAATCCGCCGTCTCCAACAGCGTCAATTGACTTATCTGGTCCACAATACTGGCGATCTTTGGGTTCGTAGCAGCTGTCGCGTCGGTAGACTGCCATCTCCGCGCCGGCCTTTGCTGTGCGAGGGTCACTGGTGCGGCGCGAACATATGTGGAAGAAGATCTGGCGTTGCAGACACAGCGTCTTAGGGCGCGGGTAGCGGGGGCAGACATGGCGGGCGGCGGCAGTGAGGAGGAAACGGCGGTAAATGAGCGTTGATGGAGATATCTCGATAATGTTCTCCGCAAAATCTCGCGATGTTGCGGAGCTAGAAGGAGTTTAGCGGCTTGGCACAAAAGTTCACGTCCTGAACTTTTTCTGAGCAGCATCGAGCAGGAACACGACTCACGCGAACAACACTGGATCCGCGGACAATTTTTGCGTCGAAATTATGGGAAGGCGCCCCATTTACTACCTTCAATATGGCTTCCTGGAAATTGGAAGACACTCTACCATTACCCGGTAAAACCGTTACGTTCGAATGGCTTGCCACCGCCGCTTTGGACCCAAGGCATACGGATGGGCTTTTTGCTAAATATGAGCCTCTCTTCGCGGAAGTCTGCGCCCTATGGGTTCTCTCTGGGTCCCAGTCTGACACCAAAATCTCAGCTTTTGCACGGATTCTACCCTTTGCACCGTACCTCGCAGAGCACGTGGAACGATTCTTGAGCTCCTCGTCTCAGTCACCTCTCATCGGAAGTCAGCCTTCTCACCGGGAAATATCAGGCTTCAGCGAGGTTGACCTGCTATCTGTGACACTGGGCGCTTTTCGTCTGTTGAGTTATGACTGCCGGAACTTCTCAAGATATGTTAGGCCCTTGGCTCTTCAAAGGCTGTGTCAACATGAGAGTCGGTGTGTGCGGTATCTCGCAGTGCGGACATATTGTCTATGGCTTCATGCGGCAGATAGTGCAACCCAGAGGATGATTGCTCAGCACGTTGGAGAAGGAGATATCATTGGAATTTGGGAGGGCAAAAGCATCGATTATCACTTCCTATCTCTGTGGGAAGAGCAGAGATGGACCACCTTAAGTTCTGCATTGTCCCACAGACTTCCCAATGATGTTCAGTCTCTCCCACCGAATTTCGAGCAACAACTCTCTCCCTATACCGTTAACGTGAGCGGCGTGCTATTACCTTGCTTAAATGGCTCTTCCCCGACCGACAATCCTGCGCCGATAATACCTACGCCAACTACGGAAGCCAACCTGAAACGCATAGCCAGCGGTCTTCTGGGATCCAGTCCTCTGCTTTTGACTGGATTAGCGGGTTCCGGAAAGACGCTCTTAGTGAGGCACCTCGCTTGGAGGTTAAACAAACTCGAGACCATGGTCACCCTGCATCTCAACGAGCAAAGCGACGCCAAGCTGCTTGTTGGTATGTATGCAACTGGAGCCAAGCCAGGTACTTTCAGCTGGAGACCTGGTGTTTTGACTACTGCCGTAAAGGAAGGGCGCTGGATATTCATTGAGGATCTCGACAGAGCTCCCAACGAGGTGGTCAGCACTCTTCTTCCGCTCATTGAGAGGGGTGAGCTTCTTATTCCCAGCCGAGGAGAGACGGTTCGAGCAGCAAGGGGTTTCCGCATAATAGCAACTATGCGCAGTACACTCAATCCAAGGGGCCAGGAAATCGTTCCGCAGAACATGATCGGTCATAGGTTTTGGAACTCGATTACCGTTCAGATGGCCCCGCTTGAAGAATTCGAAAGCGTCATTTCAAAGAAGTATCCCGCACTGAAGGGCCATGTATCCGGTATCATCCGCGTATACGCGCGGTTACTCGATCTCTTCGCTGATCCCAGGTTCTCGTCTGAGAATGGGACATCCCTTAGGGCGCTCACTCCACGTGACCTGCTTAAATGGTGCGATAGGATATCAGTTCTACTTTCTCAGTCGTCTTCGTTCAACTCGGCCCAAGTTGACGACATCTTCATGGAAGCCTTGGACTGTTTTGCCGGCAGTCTACGGAGTGAGAAGGCGCGCTTCACTGTCATGGCCTGTGTTGCTGAAGAGCTGCACATTGACCCTCAACGTCGAGATCATTTGTTAAGCAGCCGAGTGGTGAAACTAGAAACCCCAGCCAAGACCACGGCTTCCGGAACCATTCGCATTGGACGAGTACAGCTGTCGAAGCACAGGTCAACGCGACAACAAGCATCAAACCGACCGTTCTCTACGAATGATTACACGCTGCGGTTGCTGGAGAAGGTCGCTGTTGCAGTGGACCGGCAAGAACCCCTTTTGCTTGTGGGTGAAACAGGCACAGGCAAAACCACCTGCATCCAGTACCTGGCTGAGCAGCTAGGGCGCAGACTCGTCGCTTTCAACTTATCACAACAGAGCGAAAGTGGTGATCTCTTGGGTGGTTATAAGCCTGTTAATGTCCGAAGTCTCGTCATCCCGCTTAAGGATGAGTTCGATGATCTGTTCGACACTACCTTTTCGAGGAAGAAGAATCAGCGGTTCCTGGAGATGCTTGGAAAGAGGGTTGCTAGAGGCGAGTGGAAGCGTATCTGTCTTCTTTGGAGAGAAGCATTGAAGATGGTGGACGCTGCTCGTAAAGCGCACGAGTCTCAAACATCCTCGCCGGATCCTGACGGAGAACAACCCAAGAAAAAACGCAAAGTCGACTCATTACCTACCAACTTCCCAACAGCACGATGGGATAAGTTCGCGGCAGATCTCCACGATCTTGAAGCACAGCTTGCCAGTGGCTCCGAAGCATTCGCATTTGCATTCTTGGAAGGCAATATCGTGAAAGCCGTTAGGAATGGCGACTGGGTATTGCTCGATGAGATCAATCTGGCTTCTTCTGACACGCTTGAAGCGCTTACAGATCTCCTTGGTGGCGGACCAGATGGAACTCCATCCATTCTGCTAACTGAAACCGGGAGTGTTGAACGAGTGGTTGCACATCCCAACTTCCGTGTCTTCGCAGCTATGAACCCGGCGACCGATGTAGGCAAGAAGGACCTTCCTCCAGGTATTCGTTCAAGGTTCACAGAACTGTACGTCGAGAGCCCTGATAGTGATGTCAAGAGTTTACGCAACATTGTCGAGAAGTACCTGGGCGGTGATTCCAACGACCCTGCCATCGTAAAGGTTGCTTTAGATGTCACCAGCCTCTACTTGGACATTCAAAAACTGGCTAAGTCGAACATGCTGGTTGATGGCGCTGACCAGAAGGCCCATTTCAGCTTAAGAACGCTCACGAGGACCCTCTCGTACGCAAGAGAGATTGCGCCTTTATGCACCTTGAGGCGTGCTCTGTATGAAGGTTTCCATATGAGCTTTCTTACTTTTCTGGATAAGCCGTCCGAGGACCGCGTGGCGCCACTCATTAAGCAACATCTCTTAAACCAAAAGACCGCCAAAGCGGAATTGGGAAAGCCTCTGCTGCAGCCAGCGGATGGCCGCAGCTACGTTCGACAGGGTCATTACTGGTTGCGGCAAGGTGCACATCCTGTTGAAGAGCAACCTCACTATATCATAACACCCTTCGTTCAGCGCAACATGAACAATCTCATCCGGGCAGCCTCTACTCGCAGATACCCAGTGTTGATCCAAGGTCCGACCTCCTCAGGCAAGACTAGCATGATCGAGTATCTAGCGAAGAGGTCAGGAAACAAGTTTGTCCGGATCAACAATCACGAACATACTGATCTGCAGGAGTATCTGGGCACCTATATCTCGGGTGCGGATGGCAAACTTTCGTTTCAGGAGGGTATACTGGTTCGGGCGCTGCGGGAAGGACACTGGATAGTTCTGGATGAGCTGAACCTTGCCCCTACGGATGTTCTTGAAGCACTGAATCGACTCCTGGACGACAATCGGGAACTTCTTATTCCAGAAACACAAGAGGTGGTGCGGCCTCACCCTGACTTCATGCTCTTCGCCACGCAGAATCCTGCAGGTCTGTACGGTGGTCGCAAGGTCCTTTCCCGAGCTTTTCGCAACCGTTTCTTGGAACTCCACTTCGATGACATACCCGTGGAAGAGTTGACGGAGATTCTACATCGCCGAACTATGATACCGGAGTCGTGGTGCAAGAAGATAGTGAAAGTGTATCAGGAACTGTCAACCCTCCGTCAGGAAAACAGGCTCTTCGAGCAGAAGAGCTTTGCGACTTTGCGTGACTTGTTCCGCTGGGCTCAACGGAAGGCAGATACCATACAAGACCTCGCCGCCAATGGTTATATGCTGCTGGCAGAACGAGTGCGGAAGGAGGAGGAGCGTCTCGCCGTCAAGAAGGTCATAGAATCTGTGATGAGCCGAAACGGCCCGCGCGTGGAAGTCGACGAAGAGAAGATGTACAGCCCCGACACTTCCACAGAGATCAATTTGTACGACAGCAAAGTCCAAGATCGCGGTACTGTCGTGTGGACAAGAGCTATGCGCCGTCTGTATGTTCTGGTCGCTCATGCTCTCCGAAACAACGAGCCTGTTCTACTCGTAGGAGAGACAGGCTGTGGTAAAACTACCGTGTGTCAGATGCTTGCAGATGCGTTCGACAAACAACTGCATATTGTAAACGCGCACCAGAATACCGAAACCGGGGATCTGATAGGCGCACAAAGACCGATCAGAAATAGGACAGCCATAGAAGACTTACTGCGATCTCACCTTCTGTCTGTTCTCCGAACGCTTCCTGATCATGCCTCTCTGGATCATCTCGAACTTACCGAACTGCTTGGAATCTACGATAATCTGGACCGAGAAACGCAAGAGCGCATACCGATTGAGCAGCGCAATGAAATACAGTCGAACCGTGTCAAGGCTGCCGCGTTATTCGAGTGGGCTGATGGTAGCTTGGTACATGCGATGAAAACTGGCCAGTTCTTCCTGCTTGATGAGATATCGCTGGCAGATGACTCTGTGCTCGAGCGGCTGAACAGTGTCCTGGAACCTTCGCGTACAATGCTGCTTGCAGAGAAAGGCCCCACTGACTCCCTTGTCACTGCATCGGAGGGATTCCAGTTTTTAGCTACCATGAATCCGGGCGGAGACTACGGAAAGAAAGAGCTCTCCCCTGCCTTGCGTAATCGTTTCACTGAGATCTGGGTACCGGCGCTTTCTGATGTTGAAGATATCCTCCAAATCATGCGCTCGAAGCTCAAGCCGAGCGCATCGAAGTATGCTGGATGCCTTGTCTCATTCGCTCAGTGGTTCAATGAGAAGTACAACACGTCGGTATCCTCTTCGATCTCAATCCGTGATACGCTCGCCTGGGTCAACTTCATCAACAAAACTGATCACGAGGATCCTGTCTTTGGTATTGTGCATGGAGCAGCTATGGTCTTCATTGATACCCTTGGCGCAAACCCGGCCGGACTTCTGGCGATTCCTCAAGCTGCCATCGAGCAAGAGCGGATGGCTTGTCTGCACCACCTGACCAAGCTTCTGGGTACCGATGTTGGTCCTTTGTATTTCGGCGAGATCACTGTAGAGGCGAGTGATACGACTCTGCAGCTAGGACCCTTCTCCATTCCACGACTTCCAACCAATGCTGAGGACCCTGCCTTCTCATTGGAAGCGCCAACGACTCGCTCGAATGCGATGAGAGTTATCCGCGCCCTCCAGTTGTCAAAGCCGATCCTTCTTGAAGGTAATCCTGGAGTTGGTAAAACAACTCTTGTCACCGCAATCGCTCGTGCTGTAGGAAAGCCGCTGTGCCGCCTCAATCTGTCAGAACAAACTGACCTCATGGATCTTTTTGGATCCGATGTTCCAGTTGAAGGAGGTCAAGCTGGGAACTTCACTTGGCGGGATGCTCCGTTCTTGAGAGCCATGAAGAATGGCGACTGGGTGTTGCTCGACGAGATGAACTTGGCCTCCCAATCAGTCCTTGAAGGCCTGAACGCAGTGCTAGATCACCGCGGAGAGGTCTACATCTCCGAGCTCGATCAAACGTTCCATAAGCATCCGAGCTTCCGTGTTTTCGCTGCGCAGAACCCGCACCATCAGGGGGGCGGAAGAAAGGGATTACCCGCTTCCTTTGTCAATCGCTTCACTGTTGTCTACGCTGACGTCTTCCGTCCTGATGACTTATCGCTCATCTGTGCGAAAGTTTTCCCTCAAATCAATAGCCACGAGGTCAAGAAGCTGATCGATTTCGTTGCCGCATTGGACGAGCAAGTCGTGTACAAGCGATCTTTTGGCCATCTAGGTAGTCCCTGGGAGTTCAATCTGCGAGACACCCTTCGCTGGCTCCGATTGCTTGGCGAAGCTGGCTCAGCCAGAGATTTCTTAGATGCCGTGTTCGTGCAGCGTTTCCGGAGCGACACTGATCGGTCTCAGCTGCTCAAGCTCTTCGATGCCGTGTGTGGGGAACATGAACCTCGAGTCACATTATATCACAACCTGAGTCCAGAGACCTTCCAAGTAGGTCTTGGATTATTGTCACGAGATGTAGTTGTCGCAAGACCGGATCCCGTCTCTCATCTTCGCATTCCTCAGTTAGCGCCCATGGAAGCGTTGATGATCAGTGTCAGGCATAATTGGCCCGTCATTCTCGTTGGTCCAGCAGGATCAGGCAAAACTTCCATGATCAACCAGATGGCGTCCTTTGTTGGAGCAGACTTAGCTACATTCGCCATGAATGCAGATGTAGATGCTATGGATCTCGTTGGCGGGTATGAGCAGATTGACCCTTCAAGGGGGATTCAACGCTTCAAAGCGAGGTTGAGCGCCTACATACGACGTAGGCTCATCATGTCCGAGACAACGTCATCCACTCTTCTGAACCTCATTGCATATCTTGACACGGAAAACGAGATTGATTATGTCCAGCTGCACACTCTGCTAAGCAAACTGGCGGAAGAAGCATACAACTCCGAAATCACAGTTGAACTAATTCATGAGCTCAATCAGCTTCAAGAGCAGCCGCAACGAATCGAAGGAGCCCGCTTCCAATGGGTCGATGGTATCCTTATCCAGGCTTTAGAGCAAGGGAAGTGGCTTGTACTGGATAATGCGAACCTCTGCAGCAGCGCGGTGCTCGATCGCCTCAATTCGCTGTTAGAGCCAAATGGCTATCTCAATATCAATGAACACTCTACAGCTGATGGAGAAGCCCGCGTCGTTCGTCCACATCCCAATTTCAGGATCTTCCTCACTATGGATCCGAGATTCGGCGAGTTGTCAAGGGCCATGAGAAATCGCGCCATTGAGATTTATTTACTGCCAAAACAGGAGATGATGGCGAGAAACGATGAAGTTTTGTTGCCGGCTTACCCGCTGGAGTCGAGCATGTATCGGTTCAGGCATTTCACTGCTGGTATCGAGAGTTCACCGGACGCTATCCTTGCCCACTTTGAGCATCTATCGTTTACGGACGATGGGTTGCTTCAAAGTTTCTCTTCCACTCTGCAAAAGAATTTGATGCCTCTCGCCGCCGTTTCCACACCATCTGCACCTGGAGATTCGAGCGGAAAGTTTGACCAGCTTCATCATTTCTTTTTGAAGTATTGGAGGCCCAAAGCCATGCGCTCCCAGGCCGCCTTCGGAGTTGCCAATGACATATGCTCCCTTCTTGTAAGTCCCTTCAACAGGTGGTGATCTCCCACTTATGTGTTATCAGCCCTATCATCCACTCGTCAATGAGTTATATGTGCAGTCCAACGCTACCACGAAGTCTGCTGAGTTGTGGCTTGCTTCTCTTTACGAGGTCTCTCTGGATGTTTTCAACATGCAGCAATCTATTGCTGCACTGCCCTCGGCTAGACTCGAACGTCGCAAGGAAAAGCAGAAGCTTCCAAGCTTCCTTCAAGCGTACTCTCGGATACTAGGCAGAGTCCTTGAAACGTTGTGGGCTTCTCATAAGGTTGACCAGGTGAGTAGTTCGAGCGATCGTTTTTACGCCGCCCATAACTCCTAACCACATTGGTAGGCTGTCGATCCGCGCGTGTTGCAACATCTACGCGTCCTCTTCTGGGCGTTTTACGGGCTCGCCAGCGGTAATGGCTTGGACCGAGCAGCCTTCCAAACGTATCTAAAGATGCTGGATGCTGAACTCAATTCGCTGTGCGAACGTGACAATGATTTCGGGTTTAACATCCGAACTTCATTGACCAGAGAACTGGCGGTTTTTGGCTCCGAGGTTCAGCTCACTACTGGGCTCGGTGTGGAGCGCATCTGGCGCCGCTTCAGGCCCACCAGCCCCAGCACCGGCAAGCAACTGGCAGCAGTCCTACAGCTGGAGCACCTAGCGGACAGACTTGACGCTGTAATGTGGAAGCTGAATCTCCGGATTGATGAGATGATCCAGATACGAGAAAGGTTTGCAAGCTCTCTACAACTCATGAAGTCCCAAGACGTGGACGCCAGTGAGCTTGTCATTGTAAGTCAACTTGGTATTTCCATGAAGCGCTGCTAACATTCCACAGAGCCTAGAATCCGCCGTGTGTGAGCTTGAGGGCAGCATTGATCACGAAGACGTTGCGGTCACTCCTTATTTCGAGGCGGAGTTTGAGGGACTGTGCCAGTTCTCCGACGTGCTGCAAAGTGTCCCAACCCAAGGACAAGATGTTTCGGAGGTGCTACGGCTGATTCAGGCCAAATCATCCTTGCTCGCTCGAAGGCCCACCAAATCTCTCGCCTTAAATGCCTACCGTGAACCATACGACTCCTTCGAACACCTCTACCGCTTCTCTGGACTTGGAGGAAGCTCTGGCGGCGACATGACCCTACAAGGTCGCTTCCATACTGCGATTCTGGAGAAGATGTGAGTGGAAAACATCTTTCAATATATGGGAAATTACTGATTCGCCCCAGATATAACGCGGAAGAGGTGCAGCTTGTGCAGCTGGATCGGTTTGAGGCGGAATTGCAAGTACTCTCGCAATCCTTATCTCTCCAATCAAAGCGGATCACTCATGACCAATACAACGCCCTGCCTGCGAGTTGTAGACATTTGATCAACGAGCTGTCTACGACTCATGCCGATTTGGTCACTTACGGCTTCGGCATCTCTGCTCAAGAGCCAGCTACCGTCAGCTTCAAAGCGGAAGAGCGATTGCCAGAGGCTTATCGTGACGTCTTGCAAGGGCCACTAAAGAGCTGCGTAGAGCATGGGATGTTGGTAACATCGGAACCAGCAGCCGCATCGCAAGCCTGGGTTGCCCTTGCTGTAGCTGGGCTATTGTTGTACATTCCCAATTACCCATATGACCCAGCTCTTCAGCCCATGATTGAGCGCAAGCTATTCAATGAGCGGAAGGGGTCGCTACAGCAAGCCCTGGATACTCTTCAACGTTTCCAGAGAGCATTGACAGGCCAAGAAACCAGCCTCAGGATCAGAAGATTACAAGCCGAGATGGTGGGAATGGGCTTGGAGCCCCCAATTCCGGCCATTGTAAGACCAGAGACTTCCGAATTGGACGCTTTGCAGGGCGAATTCGCCAATCTCTTAAGTATTATCCAGCCCTTGGCCAACGGCACAATGACTGTGCAGCAAGCTTCTCAAGATGCTACGATGCGATCCAACCTTTCGCGTCTCATCGGCAGGCTTCGTGAGCAATACAGAGCCTATGATGACATCACCGGCCCTGCCGTGGGATTCCTCGTGTGCTTGCATATTGGTCTCTCTCTCGGGTCACAGGTTCAAGCGGAGAGCGATGTTCAAAGGACTCTCAAGTACATTGTGCACCATACCCCCATGTTTTCACAACATGAATGGTGCATTCGACCGTCGTCTGACCTTCTCTTCGCCCATGGGGAAGAGGAGCTTGATAAAGGCTACCATACCGTCGACCTACGGTGGCACATGCTACGCAACCTAGTGCTAGTGCGAAACGTCGAACCTTCTGCTCTCAGTACACAGAATGTGCGTTCATTGGTACACAGGATTTTCTCCTCCCTCTACAGCGACTGGAAACGAAAATTGCTTCAAGACCAGGAGAAAGAGGCGAAAAATACGAGCTTGTATACCTACAAAGGCGGCGATGATGACGTAGAAGATGAGGACCCGGAGTTGTTTCCCGATTATGAGCAAGATCAACTGAACGGCTCAGATGGACCCTCTGTTTCGAGTGATCACAGCATCAAGGTGGCGAATATACATTCCGAGCTTTTCATCGACAATCAGGACGGTGCGGACGTACTGAATCGGATCTTGGATTGGTGCGCCCGCGAAATGGTTCGAGTATCCGAGGGTCAGCCTCATGGCACAGAGCTCGCGACTGCCCTACCTGCAATCTTCCTGGCCCTTGCAAAGAAGTCAACAGCGTTGTGGTCATCTGCCACGAGGCGGAATTACAATTTCTACTTTGATGCGAACCTACCGGAGGCTAAGAGATATATCGATCTCATACATCGTATCCAGGTCAGATACCAACAGATTCGAAAGGTGTGGCCTGAGCATGCGACATTGTCTGACGTGCTTCGTACGTGCGAGGAAGCACTTGCCTTTAGGCATGTTGACCCAGTGGCGAAGTTCATCACCAAGGCTGAGAAACTTTATGGTTACATGCATGAGTGGCAAAGTGTTGCAAGCAGGGAGTATAGTACAGGCCCCCTGTACGATGATTTGACGAAGCTTCTTGTCAGCTGGAGACAATTGGAACTTACAACTTGGGCACGTCTGTTCGATATGGAGATGGAGAAGTGCCGAGATCATGCGAAGAGTTGGTTCTTCGTCGCGTATGAAACCATCATCGCGGCAACTGAGTCCATGGAAGATGACGGCTCCGTGGTGTCGCATGCTAAAGATCTGTTGAAGGCCATGGAGGCTTTCTTCTCATCCACAACTTTGGGCCAATTCGAACAACGCATCAAGCTCCTCGAACAATTGCGCGAACACGTAGCAATGCGACAGCAAGATATGGAGATATTCAAGCCCGTTCAGCTTGCGCTTGACAACTTCATCACTTACTTCTCTCGTCTGAAGAAGCCTGTGCAAGAAGCGATCTCCAATGGTCGACAAAAGCTCGAAAAGGAGGTCAGCGATGTCATCAAGCTTGCCAGCTGGAAAGATACGAACATCGATGCCTTGAAGCAAAGCGCGAAAACGTCTCACCGCAAACTCTCCAAGCTAGTTAGGAAGTTCCGCGCACTGATCAATCAACCCATTTCTAGCATTCTGCGAACCGGCTTCCCTGAAGAGGCATTCGGTGAGTATGCCGTCCAAATGCAGAATACCAGCTCCTCGGTGGACTCGACCACGCTTGAGCTCTGCGAGAAGGCACTACCGGGCTGGGATGCACGGCCTACACGGTTCAAGAATCTTGCTACCACAGTCTCAATCATGCACAACATGTCGTCCCCCAGCGTAGATGTTGTTGATGGTGCCAACTACATAAACACCTTCATCGCGGATCTGGAGACTTCAATTATAGAGCTTCAGAAAGCCACGCCTTCAACTTTGACGGAGGAAAACAAAGAGACCGTTCAGCACCTCAAGACTCAGAAGCGCAAGTTGTACGCCGATACAATGAAGGAACTTCGACAAATGGGCATTCAGTCACATCTCAGCAGCGATGTCCTCGCCAAGCAAGATGAACTTACTACCGTGCTTGCTCGCTTGCCTGCCCTGAAAGGCCGAACCGGTCCGTCATCGAAGGGATCCGAGTACGCGCTGCATAAGGCACTGAGTATTATGGCCCAAGTGAGGGAGCTTTCCAAGGAGCATTCCGGCGACCTTACAAGCAACGATGTAGCACGCAGTGTAGGCTACATCGAAGGTCTCCTCTATTGCGCTATCCGTCAACGAGGCTTGCAGAGTCGGGCAGTAGAGGCATCAATGGCAATGGAACGGCCGTTTGCTCAAATCAGAGATCTGTTTGAGAATGCTTCTCCTTCACTTACACAAGTGGCACCTCGTAAAGCACAGGAAGCACGGACTTCACATTCTGAAATCGCCTGGCTTTCGGTGATTCTCAAAACTGCAGCGGGAATCTGCGCTGCGCAAGCGAGCTTGGGCAAAACCTCAGAGTTCGACGTTGTTGTTCGTGGCCTCCAGGAATGGAGTGCGCTTTTCCGGGACCTGGAGGGTGGTTATCACACACTTCCAACGCTGCCAGCGAATGTGTGGTCGGATGCACATACTCGCCATGATGAGACTGTGCAGGCAAAACTTGTTGAATTTCGCCAGATTTACCTGTCATGGCTTAAGCAGTATGATCTTCTCCGCCCGGTACTGCGACAGATGCAACCGTATGTTCTACAATATGGCAACGCAATGACCGTTGCGCCATCGAACTATGAACGCGTCACGCTGGAGACACATGCCAAAGAACTCTTTGATTCCTTGGACCTCATCCTAGGCTCCATGCAGGATGTCGAGGCTGCCTTGAAGACGATGCCGAAGTCCACTGATGATACCACATGGCTGGTAAAAGAGGAGCAAGCGCTTTCTGGTGCGCTTTCCGCGCTCCATGGACACCAGATTGCCAATGCGTTCGATACGATTCTTGCCAGGCTTCAATATCTTAGCAGTGATCAGGAGCTTCAAGTCATTGCTGCCATGTTCGTGGCTGTAAGGCCGATCTTGGATCAGTATGTGGCATCTGCACGCTTCCTCCTGGACAAGTTTGAGGAGCTGCAGTACGCGACGTCCAAATTGCTCTACCGTCTCGCCAAATCCTTTATTCAAGTCGGAACTCAGGGCTTCTGTACACCGGCCGAGAAATCCAACGAACAGGCTGGTAAAGACGACAAACTTGAGTCAGGAACCGGACTTGGCGAGGGCGAAGGTGCGGAGGATATATCAAAAGACATTGGAGAGGACGAGGATCTTGAAGATCTGGCTCAGGAGAAGGGTGCAGAGCGGGAAGGCAGCATCGAAGAGGAGGAAGATGCTGTGGATATGGGAGAGCAAGAGATGGAGGGCGAGATGGGCGATGTCGCTGAGAAGGAGGATGAGGAGGGCGAGGGTGAGGAAGGCGAAGACGATGCCGAGAGCCAGGTTGGAAGTGTCGATGACCTTGGGCCCAGTGCTGTTGACGAGAAGATGTGGGATGAGGGAGGGAGGGAAGATGATGCGAAGGAGAAGGAAGGCCAGCAGGATGTCGGCACGGCAAATCAGGATGAACAGGTTGCTACGGACGATAAAGAAAAAAAGGATAATGAGAAAGGGGAAGAAAAGGAAGGCGAGGAGAAGCAAGCAGCTGATGAAGATGAGGAGATGGAAGGCGAAGAGCAGGAAGAAAATGTGGGCGTGGGCGAGACGGAGAAGATGGATCCGCATGCCAAAGAGGAGGAGACGCTTGACCTTCCGGACGAACTCAATATCGAAGGCAACGAAGACGATGAGAAAGAAGACGAAGATCTCGGAGATATGGACATGGGTGACGAAGAGGAGGAAATGGAGGCAGACGCTGGAATGGAGCCTGACAAGGTGGACGAGGAGATCGGTCCTGAGGATGAGAATGCTCCGGAGCAGGAAACCGCTGACCATATCAAGGACGATGAGGAAATGGGCCAGGAGGAAGAGGAGGGTGAGGAGCCGGTGGACGACGACGTGATTCCTCTGCCAGACGAACAGGCTCCGCCTGATGAAGCCCGCGATACCAAGGATGACAATACGGATCCCAATGCAGAAGCTGGAGCGGGTGCGGAGGCCAATGACGAAGCGCACCAGGATCAAGATAATCAAGCTTCAGCGAGCGCAGCAAATCGGGATGACGGCAACGAAGGGGAATCCTCGGAGAAAATGCAGGAGTCCACGGCTGAAGATGGGACGCTGGGTCAGACTGCTCGACCTGAAGCTGGTGGCCGCAGTGAAGAGAGTGAGGAAACTCCAGAGACTCAATCCTTCAAGAAGTTGGGCGATGTACTAGAGAAGTGGTACAACCAGCAACGCCAGATTTCGGACGCTCGCAAGAAGGATGAGAGCCAAGTGCAGCAGATCGACAAGGAAATTGACATGGCAGAGGCGGATTTCGAGCATCTCGCCGATGAAGAGACCCAGGCAGATACGCAAGCTTTGGGAACGGCGACCGAAGAGCAAGCCAAAGCACTGGATCATGACATGGCAATGGCTGTGGATGAAGAAGAGGAGATTGCTGCTCGTCCAGAAGACAAGAACGAGGAGGTGGTAGAGCATGACCAGGATGTGGCCATGGGAGATTCAGAGCTGTCCCCTGAAGCACAAGAGCTACCTCCAAACAAGGCAGACGGCCAGCCTCAAGCATTCATCGGCGAGCAGAAGCCAATTACTGATCAAGAGGACCAAGATATGGCAGACGCCATGCCTGCGGAGGACGAGTTCTCGGAAACATCATCTGTGCACGAAGTCGAGACAAAGCTCGAACTTACCCACCTCGATACCTCCGCCCTCCCGTCAGCAGAGACAGCTCGCAGCCTCTGGCTCCAGCATGAGAGTGCCACTCATTCCCTCTCCCAACAGCTCACCGAGCACCTTCGCCTCATCCTCGCCCCAACCCTCGCCACGAAACTCCGCGGCGACTTCCGCACCGGCAAGCGCCTCAACCTTAAACGCATTATCCCTTATATCGCGTCCGGCTACAAACGCGACAAGATCTGGCTGCGACGCTCCATGCCCAGCAAGCGCAACTATCAAGTCATGATTGCGCTTGACGACTCCAAGTCCATGGCCGAATCCGGAGCATCCAATCTCGCCCTCAAGACGCTCACTCTCGTCACGCGTTCCCTCTCCATGCTCGAGGTCGGTGAGGTCGCCGTTGTAGGTTTCGGCGACGAGATCAACGTCGCACACGATTTCGACAAGCCCTTCACCACCGACGCCGGCGTGCGCGTCTTCGAACAATTTGGTTTCGCTGCCAGCAAGACTAATGTTAAGGGCCTGGTAGAGAAGAGTCTGGGCTTGTTTGAGGAGGCCAGACGCAGGGGTGCCAGCTCAGCCGGGGAAGAACTCTGGCAGCTGATGCTGATTGTCAGTGACGGTATCTGCGATTCGCATGCAGAGATTCAGCGGCTCGTGAGACGCGCGCAGGAAGAGCGAGTCATGATCGTCTTCATCATCGTGGATGCCACTGCTACAGCGCCGCTGGCTTCGGACGCCCCTGGGGTATCGACAATGCCTGGAGTGGCCCCCGCGGCGAACCAGGAGAAAACGAGTATCTTGGATTTGCAGAGTGTGGAGATTTCGCCAGAGGGAAAAGTCGTGAGGTGGAAGTATATGGAGCGGTTCCCGTTCAGGTATTATCTGGTCGTGCGGGATGTGAGGGAGTTGCCTGGCGTATTGGCCGGTGCTCTGAGGCAGTGGTTCGGTGAGGTTGCCGGGAGTGTTTGATGAGAGACAGACTGCGAAATGAGAGTGTATTGTCCTGAGGCAGATCCGCTACCTAGCGTTAGGCCCTCACGTTACGTATGTAGATAGTTATGCATAAAAATGCCTTTATTTTATTGTGTGCACAAACTTTTGGCAAGTACTGTAGAAGCTATACATAGGACGCACCGTGCCGCTACCTACTCTAACCCCGTCCCCGCAGTTGCGAACCTGCTAAGTACATATAACACAATCCCTGCACCTAGGAAACAGGTAATCTCGCATCAGTATCCTTTCCCCTACGCGACACACGAGCGCTGATGCCTCCGAAGCTCGCCAATGCTGCTGAACCCGTTTCTCTCCAATGTGCCGTTCTCCGTGCACGTGCTGCACTTGAAGGCATCTGGGTGCGCCTGGGTGAAGTGGGTTTCCAACTTGGACGCCCTCTCAAACCGCCGAAGACAGAGCGCGCACGAGAAGCTCAGCGTCTTGTACTCGTGAGCGATGAATGCCTGGACTTTGCGGTACGTAGGCCTATTAGCCTCATCACTGTTCCCTTTCTTGCTTGTCTTGATCCTGTCCTACTCCCGACCAAGGCTCCGAGCATTGCCTCGCCGCCATGCCGCGTCTTCCAGCGTCACAGTCTTGTAGAGCATGAGCGACTTCGAGGACTCAAAACGAGAATACGGCTTCAGGTAAGGGTATGCTGTAGCTCCTGTGCCGATGACAACCGTAATCTCCATCGAAAGGCTAGGGTAGTCCTCGCAGATGCCCCTCAAGTTTCCAACATGCGTCGTAAGTCCGTCGATGCCAATGGTGAGCATGGACCTTCCGCTTTTCGGTCTCGAGTTTCTTAAGGAGGCAAATTAACTCTTTGCATGACTTTGGTATGCTACCTGCCCTCGATCTCGCTGGCCAGACGATGAGATTGGATCTAACAGTCGGGCCAAGGTATACACAAATACGTCCTCGGGCGGCAGTTGTTCGAGGCCGTAGTCGTCGAAGAAATGCTGGACGCAGCGCCTCGCATTCATCTCTAGACCCTCCCGTCCGCCTGGAAATTCAAGGCCGTCGTACACGCGGGTGTACTCATTTGGGCACCGCGTAGAGGTTCTCCAAACTACTACTAAGGCGTCGAATCTGTGTCTTGATTTTGCCTCTTGCACGTCGATGGTCCCATCGCGGAGCCGCTGAACACATGTCAAATGGTCCTGGTCCAGGTAGGGCCACTGCTCTGGGGGTGGGAAGAAGCTCGGCACAACTCCTGACTGTCCCTCTATGGCATATTGGGATCCTGCGAGAGAGTCCATCTTGTAGCGAATTGAAATCGGTGACATCCCAAACTGTTTAGACAAGCGGACGAGGATCTCAAGCTGGCTCTGACTGGGAGCGCTGCTCTTCTGGGCAGGAATCACGTTGGACAGCTCCTTGTTGATGGCTTCCATCATCTCCCCAGTGAAGTTCGCCCTGACCCATGGTTGTTCTGGCCTCTCACATGTAACGTTTATGTTGAAACAGCGTTTACACTTGCCAGTAAATGTTCCTGCATCCTCGCATTGAGAATACCTCGCTGCAGAGCAGTTGTAGCACTTTTGCGATGCTTTTGAGACGCTTGGCTGGACGGCAGTGGCGCGTCGTGTTGAATGCATTTCCGTATCTCCACGGTGGTCCTGACGTGATCCGCTTGCTATGCACATTGTTGCCGCCTCTGTAGCACTCGTAGCGAGTTCGACGGGTTCTTGCTTTATCTCTTTTGGCGTAGTCCTCGTCAGCCGTCGGTTAGGTAACTCAAGGTAAGATGCGTCCCCTTCTTCGTGCGATGACTTGTGTGCTCCGTTGAACAAGAAAGCTGTAAGCTTTGGTTGGCGGTATTGAACGAGCGGTTTCGTGTTGTCGTCTTTCATTGCTTGCGGTTTACTGCATAAATGTTAGATCCTGTTCACGTAATGCCAGTTTATAGACTTACCGTGTAGACCCCCCTCCCTTGACCGCTGCATTCGCCAATGATCCGCGTAGTGGCATGCTGTGTTCACAGCGTTTGCAGAATGCAAGGAGTGCAGATTTGAATTGCAGCGCAAGGTGAAGGGCGAGAGAAGATAGCTCGTAGTGGTGAGTGCAATACAGAAGCAATTCTTGCGAGACTTCGAAGGCATGCAGCGGTCAGCGTCCTAAACATCCTCTCTTGCTTGGCTGTTGATCCCTATCATGATTGATATACCTGGGTACCGACTCTGTGGTATCTGGCGCGGTCACGATGCCTGCTTCCCCAAGTAGGAAGTCACGCTAACGGCCTGACCGTTGCTTGCAAGGTCAACTCTCGCAGCCTCCACCATGCCTCCTTCTCTCCTTCTCTTCTTCTCTCTTACAGCTCGCTCCTGTCTCTCACTTATCTACTCTGTTCTCTTACTCTCTGTGTGCACGCATTAATCCGTCTCTCCCAGTTTCTGTTATTCTTTCAGGCTGTTGAAACGTCAGCGAGCTTATCAACGTCACGCCTGTTCCTTTTACCTTCCTAAAGAAGCAGCGACGGTTGTTCCTCTGTTTTCAGCTGTTATAGCTCACACGACAGCCAACTGTTGTTGACCCGGACGACGAAGCCCCCTCGAACAAGAAGCCCTTCATCTTCGTCCCAGAAACACGCTCGAGGAAGAAGTACGCTCTCGACCGAGACCCAAGGTCACGACACAGCCCAAACCTGGATGCTGAGAACCCGCGCGTGTTCAAAAAGTTTGCTGGGCAACAAACATCACTTGCTTCGTTCTTCACCCCTGCAGTCAACCAACCCAGTGCCAGCGTCCACCCATCGACTGTCAATCTCGGTAAAGCTACCGTAAATCTCGGTCAAACCGCCGCCGACCAGCGCCCACCGCCGTCCTTGCTCGATGCCACAAACAAGAACAACGCCGTGAATCCTTACATGAGACGATGACGACAAGGAGAACTACTACGGCCCCTCCTCCGATTTCACCGTCTATCAAGAGACTACTCAACTGTCTATTGCAGAGGCAAAGCCGAGCATCAACGCGTTCACCCCAAAACCGAACCCGATCAGCGACGCACAAGGACCACTACATCCGCATTCGGTTCTCAACGCACTGCTCCAGAAGCTTTACGAGGTATCAACCAGTGACTCTGTAGTAGATAAGATTGGCTCTGTTCGGGAGCATGCGTTAAAGAGGTACCAAGCGCTCTGGGAGAATGGCCCCGATGATTTGGCGGAGGTGGAACGCCCCCTCGAATCTACTATCCGCCTTGACGTTGTCCAGCTCTTTGAGGGCGACGCACCGTACGACGTCCAGAAGTAAGTCCTAGTCGCTTGATTGACACGCACTCCTTCCTAACGCAACGACTAGTCTTGCTGTCATCCGACTCCGAAGCATCAAGGATCTCCCACCTCATGATGGTGTCTACCGGCATGCGCTCCCGCTTAAGTCCGGCACAAAGTTCTACGTTGGACCGTCCATGGAACTGGAAGTGAGAATCAAGGAACATAACAAGCCTGCAAACTGGAGAGATGTTCCCCATCACGACGCACTAAGGAAGTGCCGTGAAGAAGGATCCGACGACTTCTTTGTCATCTTGACTAGCTTCAAGCTCCCCGAGACCCCCTCGCCTGCAACTGGCCTGAATTTAAATGTCCTCGAGATGTGGGGATCTACGATCTTCCAAGCCTGTCCATCCAGCATCTTAGCCCCATGGATCACGCGAGAGATACAACTCTTCCTTGCGGATGATTTCTTCCTTAACATGAGGCCCCCTCTTGGCCAGGGTCGTGTGGAGGCCGAGAAGGAATGGGTGTACCTCAAGAAGGCAACGGACCCCGAACTCGTGACCTACAGGGAGAAGCGCTCTGAGATCTCACGGACAAATATGCAAAAATTCCACGACACGCGGCGTGAGGCGTCGCGGGCGAAGGCACTGGATACTGGCGAAGCCGAAATCAAAGCCTATAAAATAAAGGGTCACGCCGTGCTTACAAACGTTTTAGGATATCCTTGAAACCCAGTGCTCTAGTAGCACAATTAGACTGTAGCCAATTGAATAGCTTGAAACTGGTGATCTAACTTGGAGCAAAAGTACATTAGAATGTTCAGTCGAATCTAAGAAGGCGCAGTTCATATATCTTCGGCCGTTTGTCAACTCCAAGCTCGCGCTAACTGCGTGAGACGATTATTTCTGTCCCTCCTTAGAAGTCTCACCGCTAGGTTGTTGCCAGTCCCCCGATCCCCTACTCATTCGTCCTACTGAAGATGCCCCCGTGCTTCTGCACCAAGTTAGGTTACTTATTTGAGACAATACAACTGGTTACATCCTAATACATTGTGTGCCTGGGTAGTTGTTTTGAGGATACCGAATGCCTTGTTCGGCATATGGAAGTCAATTGAAGCGGCAGCAGTTCGGTCCATCCGATTATTGGATTCCCCGAAGCGGAGAGTTGGTGGTAGGACGTCGCGTCATTTCTCGCACGGTTAGTCTCGTACGGATAGTCTCATATGGGAACGCATCTTCAGCGCAACGGAATGTGGCACTATTAGCATTGAGTGACCTATATAAAGGCCAGTTCCACGGCTATCCTGCCCATGGCCTCTGCGAAGAGAACACCGACTAACGGATAGACGACTGTGTAAGTGAACTGTATTTCCTTGGATACCGGAAAGGTATCCGGCTCGGAGCCTTCGGAACGGAGCTGACCCAGCGGCGCACGGTCCGTTCCACAGTCCGCAGAAAGCTAAGCGTGCTAAGCTTTTAAGTGGCTTAGCTGGTCTAGACCGGGCGACAGGCAACATCCACTCTCAACACCAACATAAGCATCGCCCTCTCAGCCGCTCCTTCATCTCACTTTTCGTCGCACTTTCTGCTGCCGTTCGCAGCATTCACATCCGCATGCCGATGTAGCTTCATCCCCGATTGCGCATACGCTGGCGCTTATGCAGATCAGCAGCCGTTCCTGTTTATGATGTCAACACTGCAAACAGAGAGGGAGCATGACGAGGAGCACGATGTCGAGGAGCCCGACAATCCTTTGAAGGATGCGCTCTTTGCGCTGCCCAAGCACCATGTGCTCTGGGTGAAGTACCGGAGTCGTCTCTACACAGCAATCCTGTTCTGTTCTATCTGTGCTGTCTTCTTCATTCTTTACGTATACACCGTTGGACCTCCCCTTCCGCATTCCAGGTTGACAAATAGACCGCCTGTTGTCGTCCTCCCCGGATATGGATCTTTTAAAGGCACCCGCATTATACGCCACGCGCACCACGGCAGCACGCTCGATAAACCTATTGATGCGTGGTTAGGCGTCGAGTATGCCAAACAGTCCCGTTTCGCGCCTCCAGTCTGGCCAAAGCCTTTCAATGGTACCAGAGACGCGTCAAAGTATGGTCCGATATGCATTCAGGGGGGCAATCAGAACATACAATCAGAAGACTGTCTCAATCTCAATATTTATCGACCTGCCGGCATCCCATATTCGAAGAAGCTCCCAGTCCTGGTGTTCTTTCACGGCGGCAGCTTTGTGATGGGAAGTGGAAGGAACTTCGACGGTGCCGGCTTCGTGGCTAGATCACCGGTATCGCTTATGGTCGTCACGGCGCAATATCGACTGAGTTCGCTGGGTTCTTTGCCATCTGCGTTGTTTGAAGAGGAGGGCCTATTAAATCTGGGCATTCAAGATCAGCGCATGCTGTTGCAGTTTCTGCAAAGGTACCTCTCGGTTTTTGGCGGAGACCCCAAGCGTGTCACGCTCTCAGGCCAAAGTGCTGGAGCACATGCTGTGGGTATTCACTTGTTTCACCACTATGGGACCGATGCTGGAAAACCTCTCTTTGCGCAAGCGATTTTGTCTTCCGGGTCACCAACTGCGCGATCTTTCCCGGAAGCTACATACCCCTTGTATAAGCGACAATTCAAGGAGTACATGGAGTATCTGAAATGTCCCTTGGCGCCTAACGCGGCGGCGTTGAGATGCTTAAGAGGGGTGGATGTTGATAAGATCAGGACGAAGCAGAGCCGGCTCTACGGCGCAAGCAACTACAAAATAACTTGGCCCTTTCAGCCGGTTTCTCCTGGACCGCTTCTGGAAAAGCGCGGTTCAGTATCTGGCGAGGATGGGACTTTCTGGAAGATCCCTACCATGATCTCGTCCTGCACCGACGAGGGATCTTCCTTCGCACCGAAAGATCTCGAGACAACGGAAGACTTTACCTCTTTCCTTCACAACGTAAACCCAGGATTGACTGCCGAGGACCTTGTTGATCTGGCGAGGTTGTACCCCGACCCAGACGAACCCACCAGCCCGTACTGGGACTCTCCAAAGAGCAAACAGTTCAAGCGTATCGTTGCGGCATATGGTGATTACTCGTACATCTGTCCCGTTCAAGACGCGGCCGTTAGGCTCGCCGACGCCGGTGTACCCGTCTATAAGGCCCGGTTCAACACTCCGAACTGGGGCAAGGACTGGGAGGGTGTCCCTCACGCAGCAGACTTTATGTACTTCAACGGCAGCCCGGATGTCCAGTTCCCGGAAGTCTCGGAGCTGTACAGTAGTTACTGGGCTAGCTTCGTGGCCACTGGTGACCCGAATACATATGCTGCTCCAGGGGCTCCGAAGTGGGAGATGTATAAAGGACTAGGGAAAAGCCAGCTGGCTGTTGGAAGCCGGAAGGGGATTAATGGCACCCGGATGGAACCGGAGGGCCATGGTATCCGCATGCAGGCTTGTGCGTGGTGGAGAGATCCGGAGCGGATGAAGAGGCTGAGGAAATGATGGGTGTTTCGATTGGATGATTCATGAGAGGAGTGAATGGTTTGGATGGCATACGTACGATACCCACCGTTTGATGTTCCGTTACGAGCATATTTGGGCAATATGCAATTACATTCGTCTGTTTCCTTGCGCTCCGGACCTTTCGGTAGCCTCAGGCTGATGATGCAATTGATGTAGTTCATTGCGAGCGCGGCCACAGGGAAGCTTAACAGCAGAGCTAGTACCCTCGCAGCCTAGCAGACCATGGTCAACCAGTTTCCGTGCATTCACCCCTCTCTATCTCCCTCACCACACTTCTTGTGAAGGCGTATGAGCTGATAGCGCCAGTAGGACTAGACAACGTGGCTTTTGGCACGCGTAGTCGACATTTGAGCTCTACTACTCTTCGCGCACGACATCCTGATGCGATCATTCGCAATGGGGTCTGCAGAAGAGAGGTCGTCAACCGGGAGCACGCAATGGCAGATATCACTATATATATGGTCAACAATGCTCTGATATACGAGTACTCCTTTGCGATCCCCCACCGTCTCCAAAGCTGCCAGCTTTGTGTTCTTACGACAGTTCGCACGTTCCCCTAATCCCATCAACAGTACAGCACTATGGGCTCCGCCGACACTGCCACCGCAAACGGCAATGCCTTTGAGGTAGTCTACCGCGACCCGTCTGTATACGCTGAATACGAGTCGAAATGGTCGGCACTGCCTCAAGACGCAGATGGTTGGCTTCAACGCGCACAGCACGTCGCCGATGTTCTATCTGTCGACGCAGCACAGCGTGAACGAGAAAACAAGTCACCGCGCGCCGAAGTCGCACTTTTGAAACATTCGCAATTGCTGAAGCTGTTAGGCCCGAAGGAATATGGTGGCGGTGGGCAGCCTTGGGAGGTGGGTTATAAGGCCATCCGTAAGGTTGCTGAAGCCGATGGGTATGTAGCTTATCCAGCCTGTTTTGATATACCACATACTCACTTTAAAATTGTAGCTCTATTGGCATGCTTCTCGGGTACCACCTCTTGTGGAGCACAACCGCCCACGTAGTCGGCTCTCCCGAACAGGCCGATCGCCTGCAAAAGCTCATCATCGAGAACAACTACTTCCTCGGTGGAGCCGTCAACCCCCGCGACAACGACCTCAAGATTACCGACCAAGGCGACAAAATCGTCTTCAACGGATTCAAGCACTTCAACACTGGAGGCGTGATCTCCGACCTCACTGTTCTCGAAGGCGTGCTGGAAGGCACAGAACACCACATCTTCGCCATCGTGCCTACCAACCAACCGGGTATCGTCTTCTCGCACAACTGGGATAACATCGGTCTGCGGTTGACGGAATCGGGAAGCGTCAAGATTGAAAACGTCGAGGCGCCTTGGAGCGATGCGCTGGGCTGGAACGCCGATACGAAGCAGCCCAACCCGGAGATTCTGCAGATTCCATTTGCTTCGCTCCTGCTTCCGACGATCCAGCTCGTGTTTAGCAATTTCTATCTGGGGATTGCGCTGGGTGCTCTCGACTATGCAGCCAAGTACACCGTGAAGAACACCCGCCCCTGGCCGTATGGCGGCGATGTACGTTCGCTGAAATAGCATGTCCTTGATGGCGTGTGAGTGATGGCTAACAGTATGCAGAACAAAGACGCCTCCACGGACGAATTCTACATCCTCTCCACCTACGGCACCTACCACGCGCACCTCCTCGCCGCCACCGCCCTCCTCGACACCGTCTCCGCCTCCCTCAGCAACCTGTACCTCTTACACTCTGGCCCCTTATCCAAGCGCTCTACTCTCACCGCCGCACAACGCGGCGCCATCGCCGAGTCCGTCGCGGCAACGAAAATCGTGACGACGGATACGGGACTGAAAGTCACGAGTGGCGTGTTTGAAGTCACTGGCAGCAGGAGTACGGCGTCCAAGGTCGGGTTGGATCGGTTCTGGAGGGATCTCAGGACGCATACGTTGCATGATCCTGTGGCGTATAAGAGGCGCGAGGTGGGCAGGTGGAGGGTGTTGGGGGAGGCGCCGGAGCCGACGTGGTATACGTAGGTTGGAGTTTGGGTGAGGCGCTAGGGTGGATGGTGAGGTTGAGTTTCCGGTGCCTTTGGGTAGTTCGAGGTGTTCGCATTTTTCAGAAGAAGTATGCAGCCTGCTGGAAATAGTGTTGAAATGTGATAGGTGGGAACAAGAGAGAAATCTAATGTCATCTCAGAGAGTGCATACCTAGCAGTGAATCGAAGACGCGCAAACTTACTAACGACTCACCTTTCGACTCATTATGATATCCATATGCAAATATACGCGAAAAGAGCATCTACAATCCGCGTCTAAATCGCTTACTGTTCTTACATAGGTATTTTGCAGAGACCTCGTGCGCTCCAACGTTGAGCTAGCTATTCTTCACATCCTTACCTATTGAGAGAAAACCTTCGTCCAACTCGTGCGATGAGTGATTCGAGACCGGAGTCGCACATCTTACAAATAGTAGCGATGACATGCATGATAGACGTCGGCATCAACAATCAAAGAATACCTATTTGATGGTTAGGACCATGGAACCATGTGCACTGACCACCTCGGCTAATACCCCAGCCCGCGCTCGGAACCGTGTCACCACCAAAGTCTCCTTACTCGCTGGAGTATCCTTTCCTTCGGATGTGAAGTCATAGATTTTGAAAAACAACATAAAACATAACAAAAACAACAGCCCGCTTGGCTGAGTGGTACAGCGTTTCACTAGTACCCCAAAACTGGATAGTCTATGAAAAGATCCTCGGTTCGATTCCGAGAGTGGGCAATTACTTTTTTTGTTTTTGGCTGGACGACCCTCCCTCCTCCTTGGATGGCATGGCGACCGTCTCTCAATGGAAAAGGCTCGCCGAACAAGCGGTCGAGAACATTGTTAAGTCGATCCTACTGCGTTACAATGTCTATGATCTCGCTGCCAGTTCAGCCTCCCCTTATTGCCCACGGCAATCCGTCCATCTAACACAGGACAGGGTCGATAAACTGTAGCGAACTCCCTTAGGATGCCCTTGATTGGTCGCTTCTCTAGGTTGCGTGCACAAAATTCCTCGGCTTTCGCAAGTAGGTTATGGTAGTAGGTATTCGTTCTTAAGTTCGAAGACCGTGCCAATAGCCTAAAGTTCAAAGAGGAATACAAGACCGCAGAGACATAGAATACCACTCTGTGCGGACTAGGAAACGAAGAAAACTTCAGCGAAGAAAAAATTTATTTTGGAGTTGATTATATATTACGGCTATACCTAGAGTTTAGTATTGGAGTTGAATTGCTCCCTGGCGGTATTGGGTATACTGAAAAGGTGAAGCGATTAACCAACTAGAGGAAGAGTACTAGGAGCGGAAGAGCTGGACTCTCTGCGCTCGTCTGTGCAGAATCTATCTCCCTCGTCGAATCAGACACGCTTGTGCTAATAGGATCACAAGAAACAAACGCTTAACAGGATCGGCTCCTGTTTCGCGTTAATCGCACTAGGTCCGGCGAACAGACGAGACCGTATAGAATTGTCTTACACAATCGAGACTCGGAAGTTGAGATGCGGCTGCTGAGAAAGGCAGAGTTCAAGACTGGCGCAAGGAATAATTTAGGAGGCCCTCGAGTAACGCAGAGAAATTCGCTGCTCCAGAGTGGCACGCTGGACAGGATATCCGCTTCTACAATGGTGCGTAAGGAACGGGAGTGCAGACATAAGCTAAAGCCTGTGCGTATAGAATCTGATACCGCAGTGTCTTTGTTCAAAGCGATATAAATGTAAATGAGTGAAGTGCAGCAAAAAGATTTAGCAACGCTGGCGGCGATGAAAAGATCCTTGGTTTGATTCTTAGCGTGGGCAATTCTTTTAGCTTCTAGATGGACACTCTTCCTTGGTTAGAGAATGTAATGGCGAATGGGAAATACAAGCGCCGAGGATACTACTGCGTTTTTCACCTCCGACTAAGCACGACCGTACGCGCAAGGTTAGTTTTTACTTTTCTAAATAGCTCTTTTTGTTTCTTAACAGAACCTTTGTCTAAGTACAACTCGCCTTAAAACGCCGTGCCCCAGTAGCGTAAGTAGCCATCTTCAGTTGCAGCAGACCACTACTTCGCTACAGCCTCCCTCTCCACCGCCTCTGCCATCTTCTCCAGGGTAGCAAACTTCCAATCGTACACGGGCTCATCCACATGCCCATACGCAGCCCCATACCGCGCAATCCACGCACCCTTGATCCCCAACTCCCTGCAAGGCTGCTGGTCATGAAACTGGCTCTGCGCCGTCTGTAGCACCTGCTCCTTCTCGACGCCAAACTTCTCTTTCACGTACTTGAGCATGTACTCGAAGGTCCGATGGTCGGGTTTGTAGCAGCCAATGTCCTGGGCTGTGAGCACGGCGTCGAAGGGGAAGTTTCGCAGAGGGCCAGTGTGAGTGCCGTGGAAGGATATGTTGTCCACGTTAGACAAGAGGACGAGTTTATAGTGCTTTGCTAGACGCTGTAGTCCGGGCAAGGTATCAGGGAATGCGGGCCAAACACCAACGCTGTCGCCAAAGGCTTTGGACTCTTCTGGAGTAGGGGGTCCACAGCCAAGCCGTTTGACCAGCTCGGGATGGATTGTTGTTAAGACATCCGAGTATATCATTCCTGGTGTCTTCTGCTGTTGCACGCTCTCCACCTCTTGGCATGTACGCAGGATGGTTTCCTTATCGAGATTGGATATCCCATTTCTGTCGAGGACGGGCTGGAGGGCGTTGACGAGGCCGGTCTCCCAGTCTATGAGCGTGCCGTAGACGTCGAAGGAGAGGAGTCGGAAATCCGTCAATTTCGACATATCAATTCAGACGTAAGGGACAAGAGTTGGACAGATCTTTTTTCGAGGATGACAGTGATTCTATGTTCTACAGCGACTTCTGCGCAGAGGACGGTGAAGTGGCGTATGGTTCTTATTCTATGCGCCCTAGATGTCAATGGGAGTACAGGATATGGTTACATGGAGGAAGAAGGGCGCAGTGTCAATCTCACTGACGTATCCAACTGCGGGGTGGGAAATCTCCCGAATTTAAGCGGGGGTAGACATATTTTGACTAACTTTCTACGGAAACTCAGAACGATCCGGAATTATTCATGTGGACCACCTTCCTAACCAATTCACATTTTATAGCTCAAGTTGCCAATCTTTGTTTGCAGCACCTCCTTTGTGAGATTCCACAGATTCCGAGCCAGCTCCGGGTCCATCGCTTGCGAGCTTGGCTCCGTTAGCTTGCGGTCCGGGACGATATATTGTCCTTGAATCTCCTCTTTGACTACATCTGGACTTGTCGCTGCGAAGAGAATGGGCCTGCACCCTTGCTTCACAGGATCTTTCATGAAGGGCCTGACAGCCTTCACACCTATGGTGCCCAACAGGCCATAAGCATCCTCGGCCTGTTTCTGCTGATCAGTCGCGACTCCTCCCGGATGCGTAGCATTGATCCATGGCTCTCCCTTGTCTTTGGTTACAGGACCAAACTGCTGAGCCTCGATGCGCTTGACCAATTCGCGAACAAAAAGGATCATTGCCAGCTTGCTGCGATTGTACAGATACGACGGTCCGATGTCCTGGTTAATCTCCTCGACGGAAGCGAACTTGACCGAAGAAGGTGTCATTCGATGTAATTCCGAGGACTGGAAAACAAGTCGAGAGTCCGTTGTTTTCTGGAGGATGGGAAGGAGTGTGAGTGCCAAATGAACCTGGCTGAAGAAATTGACCTGCATGTGCGTGTCCAGTCCATCTCCTGATACATTGTATACCCCCACGCCCAAGCCAGCGTTGCAGATGAGGGCGTCAAGTCTGTCAAGCTCCTTGGCCAAGGATGAGGCAACTTCGTCGGTTTGCTTGAAGGATTCAAGGTTGCACTGTCTCCATTCAACTTTGCTGGTGTCGCCCCATTCCTTGAGGTCCTCGAGCGCCTCTTGTGCGTGTTCTTCCTTCATAGACAAGAGGTATATCTTCTCAGGGTTGTGCTGGAGGAGGTGAGCCACGATGCCATAGCCGATGCCTGCGGAGCCACCAGTTACGACGTAGACCTGTAGTGGCGTTAGCGACTGGGCGAAGAACCTTGGATTGAGGAGGCGAGCCATGCCTTTCCCTTCAGGTCTGGAATGTCCGTATTGGGGTCGAATTTGTTGCCTGTGAGAGACATTGTGATGGCGTGCTTGCAATGAGTCTTTATCAGTGTGGAACGACGGAAATCAGCTGTGTTAGAGTTTCCAGGTCAATTGTTACGTCTTCTTGAGCAACCGGTGCTCTTATAGATGGCACAGTTAGGTCATTGGAGCTGTGTCGTCCTTGTGTCGTCATAGCCTGCGTCAACGTAACATCAAATGTGGAAGACACGTGCCTTGCTCCATGCGATAGACGAGTATCCGTAAACGAGACCATTGCTGGCACCTCCCTTAACTACGACGATGCAGTTTCAGTGACGATGATGCACAAAGCGAAGACGGGTGGTAGAACACGCGGGAAGCTGAGAACAGCCCCACAGCCATAGATCTCGGCTGCGCCTCCTGTTCGGCTAAACCTGCCAGGATAACCCTCCGCAAGCTTGTTCCTCTTGAGTTCAGGATATATACAACATCAAATCCAAAATGATAGATGCGTCTTATTCGACAGAAATCTGATTTGAGAGACATATTCTCTATGATTTGCCTTACCCCCTCCCCTCAATACAGTTAGTTAAAAGTTTCGCTTTCGCTGGCGTCTCCTTATCCTCCCACAATATGCATGGGAGAAGTCGCCGCACCTATGCAGCGGCATAAGTGCAGCTATGCTGTCTTTGTCACACAAGTCTTAGCAAAGATTCCAACATTATAGTCATCCTTGCCCGATGTAATATAGTTATGTACCCAGTTGCGCTGATCATACTTCCCTAGGCCCCTATCAACCCAGCCTCTGAATGCCTCTGTTACGCCCCGTTCGGCCTTTTACCTTACTGTACTCGCTTCCTCTCTCATCTCAACGCGGGAATATGGGGGCTTGTCTCTTGTTATCAATGCGGACTTGTTCCAGTCAACACTTTCACGGCTCCAATGATCCATGGCTCCCATTCATTGGTCGAGACTCGATGAAAGATATATGGACAATCAAGCTTCCAATCTACGGCAGTTGATCCACCATTAGCCGAACGTCTACGATCAACAGTCAATATACAGCCACGCAGTAGATGCCAGGAGCTCCTGCGGCCTTGTTAGATTATCAGAGGCGATGTTCGGCACTGACAGACTCTGCATCATCCAGTTTTAAGGTGTCGAGAGGTGGCTGCACTTCCCCTTTCTGCTCGCAGACTTCACTCATTTTTGTGCCTGATTCACTATTGTTCTGAGAGACGCCTTCCTCCCTAATATGCATTGGAAAAGCCTAGCCCTTGCAGCGGCGCTGTCTACCCAGGATGCCGCCGCCATTTCAACTCGCGGCCTTGTGAACCGCCAAGTACGAAACCAACGTGACCTCAGTTCTCTGTATACAGGCTTACCCTCCTAGTTTGCCCAAGCGGCCATGATGCGATTCCAATGTTCGCAGCTTGTGTTCGATCGCATCGATCCTCTTGTCCAACCAGGTTCTACCCCCTCCGCACACATGCACCAGATTGTTGGCGGTAACTCGTTCAATGCGACCATGAAGCCGATCGATTACGATCCAGCGGTTCAGTCGACCTGCACAACCTGCGATTACTCTGAAGACTTTAGCAACTACTGGACGGCAAATCTTTACTTCAAGGCTCGCAACGGATCGTTCAAACGTGTGCCGCAATATGTCAATCTGGGCCTCCAAGGACGTGAGGGTGTCACTGTGTACTATATCCCGCCGTATGATGGGAAGACTAAAGTGACCGCTTTCCCAAAGGTGGCGTTTACCAGAATACAATGTCTGATTGTCACTGACGTGGCAACAGGGCTTCCGCATGCTAGTCGGAGACGCAGGCCTGCGCACCAGACAGGGCCAGCAGAAGCAGCTTTGCCATCGCTGCGTTCCCAACTTCAAGCAAGATCCTTTCGGTGGCGCTCCCTGCACGGGAGACGATACATATGACCTGCCGAAGAAGATGTGCGGAGGCGGCATTCGTACTACGATAACTTTCCCAACGTAAGCGCTTAGTGTTGCTGTAGCAAATATGCCACTTACTGACACTCCAAGTTGCTGGGATGGCAAGAACCTGGATAGTCCTAACCATAAAGAACATGTAGCCTATCCTGGTAAGCACCTGTAAAGTTACTCTTCTAGTAGATGTTTTTGCTAATAGCCAATAGCATCCGGATCATTCGAGAGCACCGGTCCTTGCCCTGCTAGCCATCCTGTCCGCCTTCCTCAGCTTATGTATGAAGTTATGTGGAATACGACGCAATTTAACGATAAAAATCTGTGGCCTGAAGACGGATCCCAGCCTTTTGTATACTCCATGGGAGACGGGTAAGAGACCCATCCATACTCACTGAAGCCAACCACTGACCATTGCAGCACTGGCTACGGGCAGCATGGTGACTATCTTTTGTAAGGACAATCATATCCTCCTGTAGCTAACGCAGCTAACACCACCAAGTGGCTGGAAAGACGGTGTTCTCCAGAAGGCACTCGATGCCCGCTGCTCCGGAAACAGGTGCAGCCAGCTGAAGACGCAAACCCCAGCTCAGGCTATGAAGTGCGCCAAGAGTCAAGCTGTCCGCGAGCCGTACGATGGATGTAAGTTGTATCACAAATTTCCAAGCAGCGAACTTGCTAAGCCTATATTGCAGGGCTTGATGAGCTTCCTGGAGGCATGCCGGTGACCTACTCTTGAGCTACTGGCGTGTGAAATGTTCACCGTTCATCCATCGACGCATTATCGTGGTATTGGACGTGGAGAGGTTGGATAGGGAGTAATGACGGTGGCGGAGTGGATGCAGCTTTGATTGCTTCGTCGTTTTTCGTCAATACAACAGTTTCCCCGCCAATGCAACGAACTACCAAATGATGTGATGGAAAATGTTTGGAAGACGGTATGTCTGGAGTGTTGAAGTGTTGCGATAAATCTATATTCCATTTTCGAAGACCGCTTTGCAACTTTTCTCCCCAGTTGCCCATGCGCTCATTCGCTACTCTCAATCGAACCTCTGGAAGCGCAGACCGCAATTGGGAATTCCACAATGAGTCATCGTATGCACATATCTAACCATTGTCAATACCTTATTCCATGCTTGGTTTCACTAATTGATAAATGTACGTACCGGATCTTCCCATTCTCAATCCTGAACTCATGCGAATCCGGCCACCCACTGTTCCCAAAATCCAGCATCACATCCACAGCACCCACCGTCTCATCGATGACATACCGCCTGTTGCGCAGCGGAACACCGGAGGGCACACCGCCCGCACACGTCCCGTTGGGTCCCGGGTCACCGTAGAGCCCGCCTTCAAGCCGCACGCAAGGCTTGCCCCATGGAACCGTGACGTTCGGGTTGTTAAAGAGGTCGCAATACGCATCTGCTGCCTTCTTGATCGTATCTCGAGTGTCTCGCTGCTCCTCTGGAATGGTACCCCAGTTTTCCTGCGTGACCCAGTACGCGTAGCCGGTGATGTTGAAGAGCCAGTCACCAGGCTTCGTGACAATCATGTCCACCTTGTTTATTTTGTGGTTCGCGAAGCGCAGTTGGGTACCAATGACATATGGATCAGTCGTGCTGTTTACAATAACTTCGGTGTATGTTGCGCAGCTGGTTGTATCGTAGAGACTGCGGTTATGGGTAATGGCGAGAGGCTTGTTCAAGATGCCGGTGTCGACGTCGATTTTCTTTGCGTTTTCGTAGTAACCGAGCCAGGTGCTGTTGTCGAAACGGGCTTTGAATGCTGCGGTCTTTCCACTGGTTTGTGTCGCCAGATATGAATCTACTGCTTCGACGAGCTGGGGACGCGTGCAGTGTGAGGCAACTGTCGCTGCTAAACCCAAAACTAATGCGGCGTTTGCGAACATCTTGACGGTGGCTATCGGTATGTTGGGCAGTACGGGTGGGCCGGAGAAGTTTATATTATATACTTCCGCAGTCATGGACGTCGAGTACTCCTATGGCACCTCCAATGTAGTGCCGATGCAAGAAAATGTCAGCTTGGAAGTCCTACATTAACATGAATTAGCAGCCTTATTCGAATGGCCAAGCAATCAATCCGCGGTTAATGGGCTTTTGTACCTGCACCGCCAGCAGTTGCCCCACCATTCAGATTGTTAAAATAGATTAGGGCCCCGTGATGTGTGACGAAAGGCTTGAGGTACGGGTGTGTCGACTTTGTCAAATGAGATCGAACTTCTGCTTCGTGGCCCAGAGGCGCGTTAGACTCCTTAGTAGTTGAACTCTTTGGGGACCCCATGCCCAAGGTTTACGGCTCATGACTTCTCTTAGAACCAAGTCGCTTGGTATGGGGCCTGTAAGCTCCTCTTGGTGATTTGCTGCGCATACCACCTCCCCTTGCATTAGACCCTCGACATAACACTCTCCCACAAGTAGATATCTCTCTGGACTCTCCGGCGAGTGTGCCCCCTGATCTAGCACACCTCGTCGTTTGTGAGGATCTACGTTTAGCATCGGCCGGAGGATAAAGGGAACGTTTCCCCCCAGAAAGCACAACAGGAACATCCCCTTCCAGCAGTGAGTCCGAGCCTAAGCCAAAGTAACCGTTGATAGTGAGGAAGAGGCGCCTTCTTTCGCATATGGAGACGGCTGTTTCAACAAATCGATCTGCATCGCCAAACTTTGCCCACTCATGCAACTCAGCCTCCAAACCCGGATACAGGTGAAAGATCTCTCTGAGTTGTTCCTCTGTTGGCGAGTAAAGATCCCTTAGCATATGTCGAACATTTATAACTCCCATTTGTCTGGATTGTTTTTGCTCTTTTGATTTTGTTTTGCTGCCCTCATGAAGGCGCATAATGTATGCCGCAAAATGTGACAAAGCAGTTTCCGTATCTTCAGTGAGAGATCCGTAAGCGTTGCGGCCGCCAGTGAGAGTTCGCGACATGAGACGAAGCCCTTCTGTTGAAGTGAATAGCGTTCCCAGATTGCTAGAAAAGAGAAGTGCGATGTCAAGCAAATCACGACGACGGCTAGACATGAGATCACCTCTGTAATAAATCATCCCGATCATGATTTCACTGACAGTGAGGACATCCGGGCATGTATCTGTCCATTCAGTCAGATCCAGCGGAAAGTCTTTTGCTGCAGCGAAAGAATCATCTTGATCCCAAGGAGCTAGGGTGGCCCGAAGTACCTTCTCCCAATTCGGAATCCAGGAAGGCATCGATTCAGGTCGTTCTCCCAACCCAGACAGAGGTCCAAAGCTTCCAGTGACCTGACGCTCGCTCTCGTAGCCAGGAATAGCTGCAGTGTACTGGACGCTTGACAAAATTGACAGGGTTTTCGTCGCGGTTATGGCCTTCCAAGCGATTCGTCTCCATAACTCGAAGGAAGATATACTATAGTCTGGCTTTAAAAACAAATTGTCGGATCCTGGAACGTTATCGCTTGTGGCGATGCTTAAAAGTCCATACGCTCTATCTCGATGATCCGTGCAATCTAGCTGGCGCGTCAACCGCATGAGGTCCAGGAAACAAAGCTTCGGAGGTGGTAGCTCGCTCATGGTAGGTGACATTCGATATGATAAATAGGCGTTGTAGACCCCTCCCATACTCAGCGCGCCGCAGACATCTCGATAATTGGTGCGAAGCAGTGCTGCAGCCGTGCCCAACCAGCGCCAGTCGATCTGCGCGTCGCCCCATCTCACCACGGCATCTTTGGCAAGTACGACTTCTTGGACGACCCATATGCGCCAGAACCAAGGTGCTTGGAATATATCGGCTATTGACCACCAAAGCTGAGGCATGAAGGGTGCAATACGGGTCAGAGATTCTTCGCTGCAAACTGAGTTCCTATAGAATTCGTTTACCTTCTCACGCAAGAACGCTTCATTCTCGTACTCTGAGACCTGGAGAGGAAACTCGTCGAAGTCCTCACAGTATAACCAAAGGTCGGGGGACCCAGGACGACCATAGGCGTAGCTAGCCTTCCGATTCTGTTTTGTGGTCGCTAGCCAGCGATTAACGATTTGACAAATCGCGCCGAAACCGCGCCGTGCGCGTATGTTTGTAAAGAGTGCAGGAGGATGGGCTGGTAAAACATGCCGAGCATCCCAATCTGCGCTTTGACAGATCCAAATAACTACTCTACGTGCGTTCGAATACACGGAGCCCATCAGTGCGACTTGATGGCCACGCTCCGTCTGATCTTCCTGGTTTATGCAGATCGCATCAATAAAGTAGAAAAGGGGTTTGACTTCGTGTCGAAGATCGCAGAGAGCTTGCGTTAAATTTGGCGTGACAATCATGTCTCTACCGTTGCACTGAATTATGGGCCTGTTCCTGGTCCTTGGGATCGAGCTTGTCGCATGCCCCCACAGATAGGAAAGGGCCTCGTAGTCCTGTGGACACTTCAGATTTCTATAGTGCAATCCACCTCGCAGTGGTTCGTCCCCCTTCCCAGGATACAGCTCGAAAACCCGGAACGTTTCCCCGGAATGAAGAGGATGATACAAAACAGATGTATCGGCAGTTAGTAGTCGCATTGTCTCGTATAGCACCATGGTTGCCGGGTTGCTGCTAGTATATTCAAGCGGAAGGGGCGATCCAGCAGACAATGCGTTCTGAGTCGGCTTGAGACAATCTGGGTCGATGGTGGTGGCATCGGCACTGCCAACAGACTTCGAAATCGGTGGCCAGATACTGCGCTTGTCTGAGTCTGGCATGAAATGTTTAAGTACATCGCCCATCCAAGTATAGAAACGACCTGCCATATTCAGCGTAATGTTATGCCATTTGGTTGAACGGTCAATGGAGTGCGTAGCCTGTTTACGGGCCGGGGTCAGACATTGGATGATGGAAGAAGCATACGGTTATCCTCAACCGTGAAGACATACTCTTCCCCGCGTCGCGTAGGAGGTGTCTGGAACGGAGACTCCATGTAGGTAGCTGTTTCGAAGTTTCCACGTAGGTGTCTGCAGTGGATGTCTTGGAAGGTGACAATGCAAGAGATGGAAACGGCGGGGGAGGGAAGTTACCAACGACAAGGCACAGGGCACAGCCTCAGCCTCAGCCCGAAAGGTGGCTGCCTGGAATACGAAATGACCCATTAAGCCGCCTTCAGCAAGTGTAGGCACATCCACAAACGTCCACATACTCTAGGGTAATGAGAAGTTATGGGTGCGACCTGCGATGTTTTAGACCTCCGATTGAAGTCTGATCAGCAGCTATCTTGCAAGCTTTCCTTCATCTCTTTCCTCAGCCCCGTAACTGTCTCTGTATGCTCGGTCCCCAGATGCGCTGCCTCGACGAAGAAGCTAGCGATGACTGCTAAAAACGCAAATACAGTGTACGTGATCCACATGTTCCGTATAGACCAAGAAAACGCTTCCTTCACAGCAAGCTCCCATTTGGGATTCTGTAGTGTTCCGGCCAGCATAACATTCGCCATGGCATTTTCGCCTGAGAGATCTTTCAATAGATTGTGGGGCAGACCGGCCGCTCGCAACAACTCAGCCCGATCGTCCATGGAATTCATGAAGATGGTGCCCCCGACGACGACAGATACCGTGAGTGCCATACAGCGAATGAAGCTGAGCGTCGAAGTCGCGGTAGCCACGTCTTGCTGGTGAACTTGGCTTTGAACAGCAATGAGAGGCGGCTGGAATAGCATGCCCGACCCTATACCGGCAATTGCCTGGTATCCAATCGCCTGTGCGGTGGTGGTATGCGGGCCCCACGAAATGAAAAGCCCGAATCCTATGCATAGGAGAATCGTCCCAGCCCAGATTATCTCGCGGAAACGACCAGTCCGATGGATGAGCACCCCGGACGCGACTCCTGCTAGCGCTCCAATGAAGATGAAGGGCATGAGGAGGATACCTGATCTGAGCGGAGATGCCTCAAGAACTGATTGAAGGAAAAGAGGCATGTAATACTCAGCACTAATGAAAACCTACTCAAAATTTGTTAGACACCCCGCTGTGGCAGAACGTTCCGCAATGTGACTTACAAAACCATGGAAAAAGGTGACAAAGAGAGCCGCAACGATACTCTTGTTTTTAAAGAGCTCCATTGGGATCAACGGGTACTTTGACACACGTGCTTCGCTATAAATGAAAGCGAAAACCATCAACCCTCCCACGACTAGGAGGGCTACAACTTTGGCTGAGTCCCACGGAAAGATGGCTCCGCCGAAGTCGAGGCCCAGCAGAACCATGGAAGTGAAACCTAGGAAAGTTAAAACCCCTAGCCAGTCTATGGCCTTGATACCTTGCATGAATGTGGTATGTTCATGTTTAATGTCAAGGAAAAGAAGGATCAGGACGAAAGCAGAGCCACTGATCGGAAGGTTGATATAGACTTAAATCAGTCAGTCGTAGCACACTGTCCGTGCAAACCAGTGGGACATACAACACCATCTCCACGAGACTAAGCTAGCAAAGACTCCACCCAGGATAGGGCCTATACCTCCGGCGAGAGCCCAAATACCCTCAATCAGGCCCATGAAGAGACTTCTTTGTCTGCAACGACGTTAGCATGGACTTGCGGTTAGGCTGCACAATTCACAACTATACCGTAGGCTGAATAAGTCGCTTATGCAGACATGCACAAGCAGGATCAAGCCTCCACTGGCCCACCCTTGAAGAGCTCTCCCGACAATAAGTGCCTTCATCGTTTTCGCTGTAGCGCATACTGCTGATGAGCCGAAGAAGACCGCAAGAGCAGCAAGCACAATCATTTTCCGGCCCCAGATATCTGAGAGCTTAGCCCAGATAACGCCGGACGCTGCATTCGCAAGCAGAAACGCAGCACCAATCCAGGTATAACCGGCGGCCGACGACAGGTCCCGGGATATTGTCGGAGCGGCAGTAGCTACTATAGTGGCGTCTAATGCAGCTACAAATAGTGAAAGCTGAGAGTCCAATCAATATCGAAGGATGAAGAGCGGTCAGGTCTAGCTTCAACATACAAAAAGAGCGATGACAATGGCAGTTAGGCGCCATTTGCTCCTGTTCTTGCTGTCCATCGCGGTCGGACTTGCTCGATCATTGCTTTGCTCTCGATTCTCTTCGCTCAAAGTGCTCAATCTTTCAACCTTGGCGGATTTTGAATCCAAGCCGGTTGCCTCTGGATCTATGCTGCGGTTAAGCAGCTCGAGCTCACGGTCCATCGCAAAGGTGGACTGTCACAAGTGCATATGTGGAAATAGTACTCAATATTGGGGAAGTGAAAAGTAAGTTGAAATGACTCCTGGTGGCTATTTTCTAAGTGGGTAGACGAGTCGGGGCCCCTGTCATTACATCAATGACAAGGGGCAAAACCATTCCGCCCTTTCAAACATCCTTCCCGCCTTTTTACTTCTCACCCATTTCCACCTTTGCCGCGAGTTGGAGTCTTCGTCCATGGAGATTCGACACCTTCGGTAGCCGTACTCGCAACTCCGGGTTCTCTGCCGCACTGCATTAAGCAGTATGAACAACTCTGCATGCACGTGACCTGGGACTTACGGATGCCTTGGTACAGCTCACTGAGGAAAGTGTGTTTCCGCTCATAATGAGAGACTTCTACAAAGCTCTGCTGGTTAGGTGAAGAGAAGTGGAAGTTGCCTACTTACTTTAGGCAAAGGTGAGGACGTTTATGGGCCACTTCGGAGCAATATTTCTTTCAGAAGCCAGGCAATGACATGGCTGTAAGCAGCATAGGTCAGTATTTTCTAAAAATGAATGATTTGAGAAAGATAATGAAAGTCTTATCAGGTCTTCCAGGTGTCATTATACCACAGTGTCTATCTGCGTGGTAGCCGCAATATCCTCGTGAATGTGGAGAAATCAGCTTCGTGGCTCGAATAAATCATCCATCTTCCTTGTCTCCAGGATAGTCAATGAGAAATCAATACGCAACCAATCATATAAACGTTGGGCAAATGAATCCCTCCTTCCACTCCTGAGGTCCTGCTAATCTTCGATGTCGATATCCTTCAGTCCGCCTTGTCGCAACCAATAGGCTTCCCAGGCCTTAGGCCATCTTTCTTCTTTCAAAGATCTTAACCAATCTTTAACAGCTATTTCTTCCTCACCAATCCGGATTATTCCATCCTTGACGCCTCGCCATCCTTTCATCGGCCCTTTGATGTAGTGATGATTCTTTCCACAATATGCCCTCCATGCGTCGTCGGCAGTTTCACCACGATTCCACGCTTGGCGCTTAGCATGGCACTCTTCGCACAGGTCGGTATTTGGGCAGATAATGCACAGATAGAAGGGCGACGTCCACGAATTGATGTACCTGTTGCAACCACCGTCACAGGTCACGCTGAAATCGGAGAGGTTCTCGTCCCTCTCATTCTCCTGAGGCGTATCTGACGTCTCTGAAGTCGCGTCGCCATTATTGCCGACGTCGCCATGTCCAGAGTTTTTTTCGGTGGAGCCCTTCTGTAGATCGGGAGTTTCCACACTGTCTGTCTTTGAAATGTCCTGCCCCGTTACCTCAGGATTTATCGATGAAGAGGGCGAAAGTTGCGGCTCATCTCCGCTATCATGCTCGTTTTCTGAAGTGCCGTTCCGCTCGGGACTATGTGCACTCTCATGAATGCTGCGATCTAGGAGTGAGAACTGGGCAGATATCGTAATCCTTGCATCGCGTTCCAGGCCGTCCAACGATGACAGGACTTTCGCAAGCAACCGTAAGGAGTCGCCATCGTTCCATGAGACGTTGTCTTCCAAGCCGTTAATACAAGTCTGGAATATTCGCTCCATTGTATTTTGGTATTCGCGGGCTGGCCCCATGATCCGTAGCATGTTTGCAACAAGCATTCCTATATGGGACTCTTGGAATCCCACCTCATCATCGGTGCGTATCCCTGAGAGCGATTTCATCTCCTCTAAGAGCGCGTCTTTTCGCTTAGGGTCAGAAGACTCTCTGAATTGGGAGAATATGATGCTGGCAAGCTCCAAACGCACTTCAGTAATTCTTTCATTCAAGACATCCTCCTCGGTGCCTCCAACCTTCGGATGAACCGCGAGGGTTGCGCGCATGATTTCTTTTGCTTTATCATCGTTCCCCAGCACGTTGGATTGATAATCAGCGAGCGCGGATTGTGCATTGAAGCGCAGCAATGACCGCGGATCCCGTGTCTTTCCGTAGGCGTCGAGCCACTCTAGGACTAGGTGTGTTTCCCCTGTGCCTTTGGCTGCGCGATACATTCTTCCTAGCGCACGGGTGTTGACCCAGTACGCAAGATTAACATAAAACCATGCGAATCGCTCTTTGTCACTCCACGATTTCAAAGTGTCCATAAGTAGATGTCCGTTGGGATCCAACTCTGGGTCGTCCAAGAGGTTAGTGATGTCGTCCAACGTGTAACCGGATATAGTTATCTCGCCCATGGCCTTTCTTGCCGCGTTGAACGCACTCAACGCAGCCTCCTTCTTACCCAAGTCCCAAAGATGGTTTGCCTTCTCACGGTGTAAGTGCTGGCTCTCAATGGCCAACTCGCTTTGCGCATCATTGTCAATGCCAGGCATCAGGGACTCCAAACAGTCCAGAGCTTGATCGATGGTTTCTACCGCTTCTTGCAGCCCTTGGTTCCGTTGGTGCAGGACGGCTAACGTGGAAAGTGTATATACTTTAGCCACGCCGTCGTCCTCCATATTTTCGAGGCTTTGCTTCACATATCTTCTACCCTCCTCATAGAGTGTCTTCGCAAGATCAGGGTTCTGTGCGGTTGTTCCTTCTCCAGCGTAGAAGAGACATGAGCCCAGAGCCCTGAAGGTCTTACCATCTCTTTTAGGTTCCCCAAACGCGTCTGCGACTGATAATATACTCTTCAAAGGATCTTCCTCGAACCATGTGAATTTTCCAGACTAGCCCTCATCAGTATTCAAAGGGTGGAGGGGGAAGACATTCACTTACAATCTTCAATGCAGCTTCGGCAAATCTGTATGCCTCACGGATGTACCACCGCCTGGGCTCCTCAATCCAGTTTCTTATATGGGCTTTCGCCAATGGAAGGAGGACCCGTTCAGGCGCTGCTGTAAGCTCCACTGACCAAGCTCTTACCTCGTCTTCCATTACTGTTACTGGAAGAGATGAACCTCGCACTGCCCATGCGTGTAGCCTGTCGTACCAAGGCACTGTCGTCTCATTGTTTCTTTCCGGGTACAAATCCGGTGCCGAAAGGTATCTTTCCAACAACTTTGCAACGTTGTTTTTATTGCTCACGATCTTGTGTACAGCCAAGAGCACCTCGGATACCTCTTCATCTGAAGCCGTTTCAACGTCCAGTTCGTTGAAATGTTCGTACCAGTAGATCATAGCGTAGGTTCGCAACACCGGCATGTCGGATTCTTTGGGCACTTTGGCAGATTCCACTAGAATCTCGCAACACATCTTAAGAATGGTCAAGTGTGCTGCTGATGCGGGAGTACGAAGTTCCTCATCGCCGCTATTATCGACGCTGACGGCTCTGAAATATTGGCGAAGAGACCGCTCTTGGAAAGTAAGAGACGCATAACGATACATTTCGTCAATTTCGGGAGGGAATTCGTCAGATTGAGCTTGATCATCATCCTCGTCGTCATCAAGCTCGGTTTGATGGTCTTCGTTAAGGTGTCGCGTGCGAGAAAGTTCAAGGATTCTAAACTCCTTAGCTACGTTGACACGCAGCCGCAGTGGAAGCTTACCTTGCCGAGCGGCCGATGATCTCGTCTTCAATGTCGAAGTGGTCTTCAGTGACTATGAGCTTCACCAATTCGGATGCCTCGTTCAGACTGAGAGAACGCTTGGAGAATGCTAACCAAGCAAACAGGCGCTTCAGTGCTTCATATTGCTCCCTCGATCGGTTTCTGCGACACTCATCGAGCATCAGCTTGTACAAATCTTCCAAGTTGCTTGGCATTTTTGCCAAGTCCTTCAGGACAGCGCCTTCCCTGCCGATATATGATAGTCGTCGCAACATATGTTCGATGTACAACATGCCTGTGTTTGTTAGCGATCCAATACCAAGCTTCAACGTTTCTAAAGTCGAGATTCTTACCATCAGCCTGTCTTAAAACCTTTCGAGCGATAAGTCTCTTCGAAGTAGGACTGAACTTCCTTAACCGCCCCATGGTATTCAAACGATTCCATATCAAGGCTTTCATATCGCCTATCATCTTTTCCTTGGTCACTTCGAGCACAAGAGGGTTGAGCTCCTTCAAACCATCAATGCTGTCTGGTCTGCTGGTGACCAAAACGTGTACATTTGATTTCACCTCCCTGAGTTGACCCAGTATACGCAGGAACAGATCCCTCTGCATTTCTGGAGCCTCATCCAAGCCGTCAAAAACCAGGTAAAGATGATCATTGTTCTGTGCAGTGCCGTTGAAAATGCTCAAGAAGAATCGATCCAGTGTTGGTATAACGAAACCTTCCTGGGCGTCTTCCTTCATTTTGACAGCAACCTTTTCTGCATATCTGGTATCCGACTCCGCAATTTGGAGAGCGGTACAGGCAATTGCATTGTGTGCTGATTGCAGATAGGGGTAATCCTCTTTGAAGTAGAAGTAGGCTGTGGGGTGACCTGCGTCTTTCTTCGCCAACTTATGAGCAAGAAATGACTTTCCGATACCGTTGCTCCCCTGAATCCAGAGCAAGGGGTTCTTTCCTTCATACCATTGCTGGAATATAGGGTCGCCGGTAAGCCAATCAGCCGTGTGCTCAACGTACGCTTCTTTCATTTCTTCGTGTTGGGTCGCGTTCTCCTTGTAGGCATCTCTCCAATTCGGATAGATACCAGGCTCACCGTCAAGCAAAGCTTTGATGTTTCGCAGTGCCTTGAATTTCTTGTCTCCAGGGTCGCCTTTGCCACTCCCCTTTGTGGTTTGCTGTCGCTTATCTTTCTCCTGATGGTCTGGCTTGCTCTTGTCTCCTTGTAACGCTTTCAACACCGTCGATTGAACTTCCCGTAGCAATGCCTCCTGTGACCGGAAGCCTTCCGTAAGAACTTTCGTTGATGACAAATGACTTTCGTAGAGCCCACGTAGATCCTGGTCGATCTTTGAGCGAAATTGCTTGATGTTTTCGTCAATCTCGTCCGCTTTCCCGCTGACCTCGATCGTCAGCGTCTGAGTATTCTTAATTTCCGCATAGCTGGCATATCCCACTGTCTGACCAAGCTCTTCGACAGACTCTTGCATGACGGCAAATGCAGCCGCAAGATCAGGGTCTTGCATGTTCCAGAGGGCGATCAGCCACTGCTCTGAGAGATGTTACTGTGATTCTTTGCTTTTCTGAACCTGAACTCACTGAATCTTGCCGCTTTTGTCTTGATCATCACTTCCACTATGGCACATATCGAAAGCTGGGCAGAGAAAACTCGCACAATCGCTTTGCCGAGAGCTCCGCTGTCGACGCCCTTGTTTTCGATGATGGAGAGGCGCTCGAAAAAGCGACTAGATTGACTGAAGAACTCTTCCACACGGTCATAATCGGCTTTGACACCGGCAAATGCCTACATCTGCGTTAGGAAAAGTCTTCGCGCTGGCACCGATTGCATATACAACTTACTGACAACAAATGCCCACATGCGGCAAAAACAATCCCCACGGGCATGGCTGGAGGAAACGCACCAGCTGCAGCGCCTACAGCTTCAATACCCTTCATACATTTCTGCATACCATCGAGATGTCGTCCAAAAGCTGACCGGACCCTGTCAACTTTGTCGTCTTTGTGACGAAACCCCGAGAAGCTTTGCATGCTCCGCTCTGTGAACTTCATGGCATCGCCAATGCTGCGCGCAGACAGATCGCGCGACAAATCTTTGCCTGTTTTCTTGAGGTAGTCGTGAACCGCCTTGGACCATAGCTGGCCGAGATCTGTACTTTCATTTTTTGCGGCCATTGTAGCTTTCGAGGCCGTTTTGTTTGGTCCGATACGTGTGGCACAATGCCGTGCCCTTCATGTACAGTTGCTCCGTCTGGAGAGATAATGCGAAGACGGATGGCAACAGCGAGAGGAAATGGGTTTTTGGAGGCTGAGCTGTTTATGTTGGGACGCCAGCACGAAAACCGATAATGATAAGTACGCCAGGTATTTCCACAAGGTTGACGAAGCTCTTCAGCCCTACGTGTCGTATTTGTGTAATAAGCTAATGCAGTGTGTGTGGGGTCGACGTGCTTGTCATCAGCCCCTTGAGTGGTGTTGCTGTTGTTGAGAGACCAATTCAGGTTAGCAGTTGGGGGCCAAATAGGGTCGGCTGACTCTCAGCAGCCCATTGTCCAGGAAAAGGTCGTGATGCGCGAGGATAATTGAGAATCTCAAAGTGTTCTCGCTGGCTCTCAGAATTCATCTGCAAAGATTTGAGAGAATGACTCCAAAGCCACCGCGCAAGGAGTCTCTGCCACGCCGACGAGGGCACGGAAGGCTCTTTCCATCGTCCATTGGGAGCTCTTCGGATTCTTTTTCTGGCGCGCAGCCGCCTCAGCAACCTCTATCTGGTATTGTATTGCTATTAATGTTTCCCATGATTTGCGAGCAAAGCTGGTGTCGGCTTTTTCATATCCTTCTGGACTGGCCCAGCTTCCCGGTACGTAAATCTTAGGTCGGTGCTTGCGTCCTGAACGTCTGAAAGCATTGGAGTTTCGAGAGGGCTTATCATTCAGCCAATGCGAAGTGGCATACAGCTTCAAGCGCTTGGGAGGCTGGGGAAGTGCCTCCGTTTCTTCGTCTTCCCTGGGTCGCTTTTTCGACATGCTGGAAGCTGAATCGGCTCCAAGTAGCCGGGGTGCCGAAACTCTTACTCTCTCATCAAATCTGACTTTCTTTCGTCTATGTTCCTTCTCCCCAGCCTCCTCGTTTGCGGACTCGTTATGGGCGTCCTCGGGCCTCTGGAGAGCAAGCGGAGAGGCATTGGGGTTTTGCTCATTGTGAGAAGTGCCCTCAGCAGTCTCTTTGGCGGAGCTCGCGTTCGGAGAGGGGAAGATGGTAGAACTCTCCATAGCTAGGTTCTACAGAGAGGATCTCTAATGCTTTTGTAGAGGGTGCGTGTAATGCGAGGCAGTAGTAAGGAGGTATCGAAAAGGAAAGTTTAAGTACGAACGCAGTGGGACAGCGGACGGAGGAAGAAGGTTGGCAGTATAAGCAGCAGTGGACAACAATACCAAGGCGCGCCTATTATTCTGTGCTATTGTAGTTATATCAATATGCGAAGAGTGTGTATAGACGAGTTGAAAAGGCGATCCTCTAAGAGGGGTTGTGAAAGACTGCGAATCGCGGCTTTCACTAATTTGACTCCGCGAAGATTCATCTTCACCGCTTCCGATGACGTCGCATCGGATCATCAATAAGACGCTCCTGACTGTAACACTGTTATATTCGAAAGTAGACTCCGTCTCGCAGTTGAGACTTATACCTGGTTATCTGCCGGAGAACAACGGATTCGAGCTCTGATAATACAAGTTAGTTCAAACACAAAAGGATTGGGACCGCCAGTGTGATCGGAGGAACAAGCAGAACCATTCAATTGAACATGGAAGTGCACCTCCACTTCTTTCAACAATTTAACACTGTTGTACACAATCAGCATCCTCAGTCCGCTTAATCTCTAGCTTCCAAAGCCCTCTCAACTCGCCAGATAATGTACTTCCTAGCCGAGACAGCAAAGGAGCAGATTATCCAAACGAATGAGAAGGCAACATATCCAGTCACCAGCCAATACCTTCTAGCATTGGTGTATGCTTGTTCAGTGTTCCGATTGAACTCGAGTAATGTGTCTTCTTTGGCGAACAATCGTGAACACCAACAGCTTCGATAGACACCCGAGAGATGAAATATGGTGCCGACGACAAGGACCAGTGCGTTGAACACGACCACGACCCAGTACGACCACGTAAGGAAAACCAAAGGAGAAGTCCTTGCTTTGCCGGAGTGATTCCGCCCTGCCCATTGGCGGCACAACTGAATGATTGCAGCAACCGTTGTCCCTACTCCGTATAATACGAAGTTGAATGAACGACATCCAATACCAACAGTAGGTGTAGTCCACGAGATAACTGCTGCCGAGCCGGATGCGAAACAGACGCATACGCAGCCGATAAGCTGTCCGAGCAGGAACTTGAACCAAAAGGCCGTATTCTGCTGGAATGGGCCCGTAACTGTCTGTTCGGCATCAGGATTCTCGATTTCCCATAGCCAATTCTCCCAGGCAAGACGATTGACGTATCGCTCCGACAGAGATACTCTCCTCTGCGACAACTCGATTGACTTGCCGAAAGCTTTCCTAGCGACTCCGACGTTTGTACTTGTGGCAAAGCAATTCGCCGCAACTCCGAGGGTGACGAGCCACGAGTACCAAACCCCATAAGCCAGAGCGTGTGCAGTGTCTTTGTCCCCGAGCTTTTGATACGCGTCGAAGAAGACTGAGGCAGCGACGGCTAACATTAGGATGGTGGGCATGAAGATACCCTTCGTGAAGTTGATGCGGCCTTGGACCAACAGTTGAACTCCACGCATCAATTCTTCCTCCATAGAGGACTGGAGAGAGGCTCCAGTGAGGGTTGAAGCATGGACAGCTGTGCTTTGTTTGATAATCTCATCCTGGCCCGTTGAATCCGGAGACCCATTCCGTTCTATCGATGGCGTGTGTGCGGAAACTCTCTTGGCCAGCATTCGCCATGATGTGGTCTTAGCCATCGCTGGGTTGTCTATATCTGCGGCCTCATCTGATGTGCGTTCATCCTTGGGCAAGGATTTTGCGAACCCTCGCCAAAGAAGATCAGGTTTGAACTTTGTATCGCCGGCCAACATAACAATCCATACTGCTTTATCCGCCAGCCAGGAGGATTTCTTATTTCCAAGACGTTTTGCCAATCGCAAGTCTGACAGAATCTCCGAGAAGGCACCCCAAAGTGCGCTGGCAGGATCCCCAAGCAGGAGCACGTATTCGCCGATCACATTCGTGACGAAGCTCCAAAGGGAATGGACATGCTTGTTGTTGAGGAATCTCGCCAACACTGTGAATCGGAATTCTGTTTTTCGAGTGTTCTCGTCAATGTCATCTTCTCCCTCGGCGACAGGACACAGCAGTAGAAATGCGATATAAGGCGCGATCCACGTTGCGAGGGGCTGAAGCCATTGTGCAGTTTCACTTCGCTGATATCCGTCACATTCGGCCTTACACCAGGCCCGCGTTTGTGTAACAGACGGCCAGCGAGTTTCGGAAGGATATTCGACAGATTTGCCAAATTTGCATATAGCCCAGGGTTCTTGTTTCTCTTCGAGAGCCTCTTCTACCCGTTTCATGATGCCTCGATCTCTTGCGGCTTTGACACAGCATCGAGCAAGGTCAAAGCTAGCCCGTACCGGTCGGAGAAATGATACGATGAGAAATATGAGAGCTTGATGCGCCATAAGTGCCAAGGGGCTTCCTAAAGTGAAGTGTGCTGGAATCATTTGGAAGGCGGCAACGGCCAAAGATCCGAGGGTGGAGAAATGGTATGTTTTTGCGACCCCGGATCTGCTAAGAGTATGTAGGTACTAGCAGCAAGAATGATGAGAATACAGTGATGTTGCGGCTGTCAGGCTGAGAATGGTAGAAGGCACAGTGGATATAAAAGCGATTCGCAGGACGAGCCTTGGCTGGACAGCTACTCAAGCCCTACAGAGCGATTTAAAAAACATCTTGCCTAACTCGGCAGGCTGGCAGAGACCCTCGCTTACCATCTCCATATCCGCTCAACGAGCAGTAGGGCTCGTTCAACAGCTCAACCTACCAGCTCGCCAAGGATCATTGATATGGCAGTCGGCGAGCTGATACCTTGTTGAGCAAATTATGTAGCGAGGATAAGATTGAATACCAAAGCAGCGGATCTGCAAAGAGGGGTGTATCCTTCTGGCCGGGGACTCATGTAAGTCCTGTAACAACACGAGCGCCACACAGTCACTCACTCCAGCTGAAGTCGACCAGGGAGCATTTAACTACCCTGCCATGCCCAGTAATCTGTATCCGCTGCATTGTAGCTGCTGCATGGCTGTCCCGATACGGAAATGTGCATCGGGTGTATTTGCAGATGGCCTGGGCCTGCCTCTACCGCGGAAGGCTGAGAAGGCGTAGAAGGCTGAAAAATAAGGTAGTAATGGCGCCCGCACAATCCCCGAGCTCATCAACTCTTCCTTCTAATGTCTTGGAGGTGATCAAATCCATCTTCCTCCAGCACTCACTTCTTTATTTCTCCGCGAACCGTCAGTCAAGAAAATGGCTACATTTTGTTTGCTTGTCCAGCTTTTTATCCTTTTAAGGGCCAGATTTACACTAGCAGAGTTAATTAACCCAATGGACATTCCTCTCGGACCATGCGAACCGTACAGCGGTTGTTGGCACTATTCCAGCCGACCAGATCAAATAGGGCCTTGCGGCATTGACACCTCAACCTGCCCGCCCGACTCGAAAAACTGCGGCATGTACGAAAGCAGTTGCTACTGCCAACAGAAAACGCAGTTACAGTGCGCATGGGTTTGCCAATGGTGGGATTGGATGATCATCGAGGACTGGCTATTCAACAAGTGCCCCGACGCTCCTACTATTGACTTCAACAAAGCACCTGCATGTGCGCGACGATGTCTTGAGGAGAAGTCGTTTGACTACGGGTGTTTGACACGGAACACGAACTGCTTTTGCATCCATGGTAGCCTCTTCGACTGCCAAAACCAGTGCGCAGATAAAGACAAACAGGCGTTGAAAAGCTGGCTGGTGGATACGTGTGGCATTTCAGAGGCTCGAGCGGATGCTGGTGTGATGACGGGCGATTTTACAGAGGAGATGCCTCAGCCAAGCGGTACACCGGTTCCAGGAAGGGGGCCAGTCTTCGTTGCAAAGAAGAGAAGGAAGCCCAGATGGTACGAGATTATGGCCTTCACACTGCTCGGGTTGACATTCCTGGGGGCCATTGGCTTTATGATTTGGATGAGATGGACAGAGTGGAAGCGAGCGTCGTATTCGAGTCTCCCCTCGACGAGAGATATTGCCGAGATACCAGAGCACATGAAGGGCTGAAGGCGCACCCTGGTTGCTATCCATCTATCCAAAGCAACAGAGATCAGTCAAGTTTGCACTCAGCATTTCGTGGATCAATATCCAGAGCTGTGTTGAACTGTGTAGTTTGCCAATTTCCCCTAGGTTCCTCTTTGACAATCCTATGGATAATTGTGTTTTCACCTGCCCTCCAAAGTTTGATGCGGAGCTGCTTTGCCTTGGAGAGTTGGTGACAGGTTACTCCGCCGTTTGGAGGTGGCAATCGCATTCATTATCTCCGCGTACTCTGGTCATCCACTCGGCGTAACCGCATGCTCATGCATGAGACGGGAGGTGCCGTACTTGTAGGGACACGTCAAAGCTAAGCGACTGCATGCGTACCGTACTATCGGAGGTCCTCTATGTAGACTAAACCTGGACCCTGCATGAATAAGTTCAGCTGAGTGGCTTGCATGCATACTCATAAAGTCCGGGCTGTCGGAAACCTATAGAAGCTTACCTTTACTCGTGCTGTAATGTTCAGCTAAGGTTGATGCCCTTGTCTTCTCCGAGCAATACGAGGATCGCCGACTGACTCACGGACGAAAATCAGCACTGAAGGCACTGATACTCTGATGTGGTGTCAACAGGAAGAGGTACGCTTTGGAGGGCGAAGGACACCCTGGGCCATCATAACCGCGTAACGGTAGTTACACAGGAAGTAAGAAAGGTCGCTATGTCAAACGTAACACCTTGCGCGATTGAGTACTCGAATTTTTCACCTTCTCCGCTGTCACCGACCCTATAGGGCAACCCTATAGGGCATATCACAGGGAAGACAACCTTGTGCGGTGGCCTAAATGGTTCATGGAATAAGTTCAGGGACATTCATAAGGAGGGTGTACCATCGCTCGGACAAATCGCTTGAACAGACTTGAGAACTCTTTCGTACCGCCCGCACAAAGACATCTCGAGAACATGGATAGCTTTAGTGTTTTGACATTACAAGCTAATAAAAACACGATCTCCACAAGGCAGGAACACGACCGCGGATATAGAAATATACTCGCAAACGAAATTATCAGGTATTCTAATTGGCCACTCTACAGAAAGGGGATTGTTTGAACCAATCGACGTTCGAGGCTTCTTGCTGCCATGAGATACATGTCTTAAGACCGCTCCACCTGATTTTCAGAGGTGACTTGAGTATAATATTGCAGTGGAAACCCTTTTGATGTAATCGTATCAGTGGATATAGATTTCACGCATTACTTACTTCATTGTATACATAGCCTAGGAGACCATGCCAATCCTAAGTACCCCAATCCTATTCGTCACAAGTCTCGCATTACCAATAACTGCCCGTCAGTTTGCTCTCCGCCAATCCAATCCTTGAGCTCACTTCTGCTCTTCAAGACAGCCTTCTCTCAACGAGTAGCACAGCACTCTCATTTACTCTGACCATCACCGTCCCAGTTCCTCCAATGCGGCCTTCTACATTGCCAGGAGGCAGTCTCTCCTTCCCAACCCCTGCGACTACGTTTACATATTTCTCCACCAGTCAGCACGATGTTACCGACGGTTTTGCCGACGATGCCCACTGCAAGGTTCTCGACGAAGAGCGCTGCGGTGTGGGGGCCGTGTTTGCCTATTCCTGGGACGATGATTTGTGCGGAGACGACGCTGGACACCACGGTTAGGCGAAGCGGTTGTGGTGAGGGGAAGGTGGACGACAATAAATAACTGTATTACTGTTGGCAAAATGGCAAACAAGCCAGACTTCCGAGAAGCATAGAGGAAATCATCGATGTATCAAGGTATATCCTACTCTCTCTCAAACCGAACGTACGGTATGCACTGTAAATAATCCATCGCCTGTGAAAGGCGTATCTCAACTCGTATCCTTGCAGTGGCTGCTAAACAACTCAAACAGCTTCAACTTCAACAAGGTAACCTTCTTCCAACGGTCAACTTGCGCCTTGACGGTAAATCCAGTGTAGATTAGATCTGGATGGTTCATCGCGAACGGCCACATATGCTCAAGGTCTTGCATCTGCGCAAACAATAATGCAAATAATTCCGGATAGACAAGGTTGCCCAAAATGCGAAGGCGTCCGGCCCAAAGCGGAGACTCCTCTGCACGGTCGCGTTGCTCGTTCGGGTTGAAGTCGCACTCTACAGCGGTCACAAAACCGCCTGTATCGCCAGGTAACAGCATCTGCGAGAAAGGTGAACCGTACATGTACGAGTCGTAGGATGCTGCGTCAACGACTAGAAAGACGTGTTTATCCCAAGTTCCCTTGCCGAACGGAGGCACTGTGCGGAAGTGTCTACGATTGTGAGCTGCATTGACGACTCCGGGGAAGAGAGGAGAGAATTTACCTCATTGCATCTTCGATGTTATCTTCTCGAAGGCCGAGCTTCTGCCCATCATACCATGTTAACTTGGCCATAGCTTTGACGTCACTGGCGCCCTTCAGGCCTCTTCCCCAATCCTGGAGATCCGCATTCAATTTTTGCTGAAATCTGGCCCAGTCTCCGTCGCTCGCTTGATACGTGAGTTTATAGATTGAAAACCCCCACGACTTTTCCTTCTCATCTGCCGCGTCCAGTTGCTCCTTCAATTTTCTAATCCACGGTTGAGGTGGTAAGTCTAGCGGCTCCCCGCGCCATTGCAGTCGTACTTCCTGTTGCGCTTCACGCTGGACTTGAGACGTTTCGGCTAGACCCGGTTGTTGCATCGATCCAGCTTCCCTGCCTACATGAAAATGGTGAACCGTCTCTTGCATCATAATCTCTCGTGTCCTCAGTCGAAGTGCTCTGGACATTTGCTCACGGCGTTGAGATAGCCCTGGAAGGACTCTCCCAACGGGACAAGTCATCCGGGGCATGGTTATGAAAATTCGTGAATCGGCGCAGAAAGCTAACTCGGCCAAATCGTGAATCATGTTTGCGATAGCAAGCGACTCTCTCGTGATGGTGGGCTCCGTGAGTAGATTCTCATCTCGTTCCCTCAGCGCTATCGTTTTGGAGATGACCCATGAATGGGCTCTGGCAGCCATGGCGGTATAATGCGAAGTCATATATTCATTCCAGAGGGCAGACAGTCCAATTTTGGGTTGGTGCAGCCGTTCAGGTAGGTTATTGACGACTTTGTCGAAATCATAGAAATGCTGGTAGATCAACATATAGGTGGATCCACGCAAGGGCAGAATCCGCGGATGTTCGAGATAGTCGAAAACCTCGATCACCTGCCCAAGATAACGGCAGGCCAAATGATGGTTCTCCGGCCTATCTAATTGTTTCTGCTCCCAGCGTTCTTCAGAAACGGGTAGTACGCCTTCCCAGAGTCGGCCTTTCATGGCGTGCACGCCTTTCTCGACAGGAACTAAGCGGCTTGGGTCTTTGTCCGACCCAATCCTGACTAAGATTTGATGGAAAGGACTGCCGCCGAATACGTCGTGTGGCCCTGGTGCCCAAGTTTCATATGGTGCCATCAAATGACTCTCAATTAGTTCCCCAGGGAGGAGGGGTAAGCTTGTCGTCCCACCGGAGGGTAATTTTCCATCAAGTGCAAATTCTAAGAACCGAAACATCGTTGATGGCTCCAGAATGCGGTCCACTGCCATCTATGTGAGAGCAGCTCATGTGACTATGATCATTCATAGACTGGAATGATTGTAAAGATATTTTCAACTAACCAATCGTAAGGCTCTCATCGAAACTCTCGTTATTTTTGAAGACGAAGTCCTGTACATTGCGAGGGAGATTCTCGCTCCAATTGGGATCAATGATTTCGCGGAAGCTAGAAGCCATGACGGAAGTAATGCTGTCAATGCAGACACAAAACCATACGAGTCTATATTCTTCAAAAGATGGAAGAGTTATTGCCTGTGCGGTCAAAGGCGTGACTGACAGGAGAGGAGAGTCGTGGATAATTGAAGGAATCGCTCCTGCCAAGCCGCTACTACCTAACCCGAGACGTGATACCCATGGATCCTTTTAGGCATCAACGCGGCTCTAACGCGCGTTCTCGTGACATGGCATTCACAGATATTGTCATCTAGTCTAGGAGTCGCATTAAATTTAGGGAGTATGGCAGGTGAGATACCGCAGTCAGTACCTGGATCGTGCTGTTAACAGTCTTAGCAAAGGTTATTAATCTAATTTATACGCACGATGCGATCAGGCGGTAGAAATCCAACGCAACAGGCTGACGACACAGTAGACCTAGCACACTATCGATCCGAGAGGTCCCTCGTGAAGCTGACAAGCGGGCTAACCAAAGACAAGTATGCTGTGTGTACCACCGTTCAATGTTGCGCAACGGGTGCGCGCATCCATGAGCTCAGTGAGTATGGACAATAGAGTTTCAGTGACTGCAACGATCACGTCTTTCGGTTAAGGAGGGATTGAGTCTCTCCCATATATCCACAACGGTACATCAAGCGCCATTCGTTGCTGACTTTTCTTGATTCTTTCCTGCTGCCAAATCAAGAATGAACTTCCACTCATCCTTCGTGACTCGGCTCACGCTCAGTCGTGAATTCGTCACCAGCTGCATCCCCTCTAACGGCTGCCCCTTTCCGGCATAACTCTTGATGGTGTGCAAGTCGACCACCTCATCAAACTTCTGTACGAACTCAACACTGACACAATACCATTTGGGCTTTTCCTTATCGCTCTTTGGATCGTAATATGGGTCCTTCGGATCAAAGGCGGTCTCATCCACCTCAGCTTCTTTGACCACACGCAAGATACCCGCCACCCCAGAAGGCTTTGCGTTACTGTGATAGAAGAACCCCAAGTCCCCTTTCCGCATAGCTTGCATATTGTTTCTGGCTTGGGGGTTGCGCACACCTGTCCAAGGCTCCGGGTCTTTGCAGGCTTGTAGGTCGTCGATTGAAAATGCCACATTCACCCCGTTTTCGTATCTTGGCAGTGGTTCCGCTTTCAGTAGCCAATAGATCTCTTGGTTACCCTCTGCGTCTCTGTTTGTCCCCGACACTGGTGTGGGAATCGTAGCAGTCTTGCGCGGCTTTGGTGAAGCGGGACGGGCGGATGTTATTTGAGCAGCTTTCTTCCGCGGCGGTTTCCTGAAATACATTAGCAGGTTGATATGGAAAATAAGTTCTAGGGACAAGCACACTCTACTTCGATCCCACCTTGCTCATCTCTTGCGCGTTTTGAACGCGTCCCTTGTCGGCCTAGGGGTTTCCTTCCATCAGTTTCTGAACTCAACTCCGCATAATTTGCCGCCTGAGCAGTCGAAGTACGCGTAGATCTTCGTGTTACAGCCATTGCATTGTTATCATATGTGGATCATAGGTGGTGTCTCTTGCGTGGTCGTAAGTAATGCCGTCTCGAATAGAATCGTATGTTGCCGATGCCAAGACCTGGGGTGCATTAGCGCGGATTGAAGCCCATCCGATCAACAAAGGTGAACGTATTTATTGATTGGGTATGTACGGTCAGACGAAGAAGACGGCAGAGTGCAGGAGTGTAAGCGATCAAGCTTTTGATTACCTCCCTTGGGACGAGCGTGCTTTATGTTATCCTTATGCCCAATATACCATTCACCACCATTCACTACTACAACGCGACTGCTTGATTCTCTTTGGAGGCATCGGTAAGCAATGCGCCTATGTAGTCAATCCGAAAAGAAACAACCGAAGGGGATGCTCAATAATAGTTTGGACGCTAAAGAAATGTTTGCTTAGTCACCCCTTCCATAACGCCGCCTTTGGGGGGGCCGAGCTGCCCCGTAGCCGAATGCAATCGCGTCAGGACCCAGATCGTTTTTGAGAGATTGCCTCGACGAGCTTGTTGTTTATGACTTCGCAATTCTGCGCCGTTTCTTCCCCTTTTTGTGGGTGTAGTACTCGCCATAAGCCGCGCTGAGCCGATCTTATCTTTTGGGTTTCGTCTCATCTTCGCTGACGACACCACACTCTACCAACACATACTCAGAATCGTTCCTGGATACCATGAAGCTCTCCCCGTTCGCGTCCTCATGCCTCCTCGCGCTCCTGATCGACTGCTGTTCCAATATAATCGCCCAGCGGCTCAAAGCGTATAAGCTCGACGTCCCCTTCGTTTTCGATCGTGTTCTCTTCTTCCAATTCCTCGTCATGGGTGCCATTGGGGGTCCGGTCAACTTTCATTGGCAAAGTTGGTTGGAGAGGACATTTCCCGGCTGGAAGACCGTGGGCAGGAAACGAGAGTTTACAACATTGGATACCGAAGAGAAAGGAGTCTCGTTGGCAATTCAATATGAAGGATCACCGGGCCCAGGGCTGCACACCTACAAGGAGGAAGTGAGGGTTAGGAACTGGTGGAACATTTTTTGCAAATGGTTCACGGACTGCATAACGATGGGCGCGCTGTTGAATACGACACTATTTCTCGTGGTCATGGGAGTCTTAAAAGGAAAACCTTGGCCGCAGATTGGCTTTGATCTCAGAACTGTGCGTGCACGGCGTTCATTGGGAGGCACTTCTCTAACATGGCTGAGTAGGAAATGTGGCCAATAATATGGGATTCCTATAAAGTCTGGCCAGTTGCCAACTTCTTCAGCACGACATACTGTCCGGTTGAGCGCCGCATCGTGTTCCTTAGTTGCTGCGGATTACTGTGGAACATCTATCTAAGCCTCGTTGCTGCGCGATTATGATTAATTTGGCCTCTTTGTCACGCCTTGGTTCCAGGCGTCCATGATGGCCGACCAATATTTCCCCGAATCCTCTCTGATGTGGCCCGCATGGGCACTCTTTTCGAACAAGACCTTGACAACATGCCAACCAAGATTTGCAGCTTGTTCGGCATGGCCATCTACCTCCTCATGGCCCACCATCTCATCGGCCTTACTGTACAGATATACCCGTGGTGGCTTTACATCGAACAACTCCGGATCGTTGAGCTCCCGGCACATCGTCACGATACCATTCTCTTTGAACGTGATTGTCTTCCAGACGAAGTAGGAGAGGAGAAAGAAGTGAACCAGCAGTGGCCCAAACAGCTTAGTAAGGGTGTTACGAGGAAGCGACACGTAGATCGCTTTGTAACTTCGCGACCAGCTTCCTTTTCCAGGCGCTGAATCGATAATCTGTGCCCGCATGGGCAACGGTGTGCCAACAGTTGCCCGCCAAAGTTTGGCGAACTCGACGAGTTGAATACCGCCGCCGTTACTGAAGTTCTGGACTAGCATGTCCCCGCCAGTGTCGACATGTTCGCGCACCACCTTGAGTGCCGGTCTTAGCAGCTTCTGTGACGCTAGGGAACCTCGGAAGACGTCCAACAACTCGCAGCGTATCAGGAGTATACGAGCAGTAGGGAAAAGACGCCGGTAGGCAACGGCGTATTTGGCGATATGTTTTGGAGCGGCGCCCATCCATGTGAACATAACGATTAGAGGAGATTGATAGGTATATGTCGAGGGGGTGTGAAGGAAGGTATGATAACCGATTTTCTCAAAGTCCGAGAGCGGATTGGGCACATCGGCCGGTGTTATGTCGATTGCAGCCATAGTACGGACGAAGCGATGTCGAGCCAGAGAGGATTCGAACTGAGGTTTGCTCGAGAGGGTGGATGGGGTGTAGTTTATCATATCTTGTCAGCATGACAAGTCGCTCGGCTGCTCTGCAGCCTCGGCTCTCGCTTGTGAATCATCAGATGGTTCCCTACTGATGTTGATTGGTGAACTCACTCATCATTGATGCGAAGAGTTTCGGGCTTCAAAACTTGCCACTTGTATCTTGGAGGAGCTCACCTTCCGCACTTCTTTCTATGTACTCCCTCATAAGAGTGGTCACATCTACGCACAATGAATCCTTGGGCTACCGCGAAACACACGCCATAACCCGATATCGCACGTTTACCTGTCGCGGAAGAAAGAATGTTTTACTTCAATGTTGAAATCTGTAGAAGGCTTGAGATAATAGCCTTATAACGTAAACGGTAAAGCCTATCAAGTCGCGTTTGCCATGACTGTCGACCCTCTGTGCAATACATCCACCCCGTTTGCGGATTGTACCATTCCACTCGGTAAACTCAAGATACGCATTCTGCTCGAGGCTTCAAATGATCCATGACATCAACGAGATCATCTGCTTGCTATGGTTGATTCCCGGCTCCATCTACCATTCCTCGGCACCACGCGAGGATCAATATCCATGCCACGTTGCTTTTCATATATTTCCTATAGAGCTACCTCAGGTCATGTCTTGATTCATATTCATATAGTTCTCACAGAAGCAACCCGGGTTGAGAGGAGGATAAAGGCTTCGCATTCATCTACCTCAGATGAACTGCACCAATCGCAGATTACCCGAGCCTAATCTATCCTGACATCGGACAATGTTGTTAGCATCCACTCTACATTTGTTTTGATAACACGGACGTGGTGAAAAATGGGTGAAGGCCCATTGGTAGCTCCTTCCTTGGATAGAGAGCATTCAAAAGCACTTCCTCCCATTGCTTGCAACCAAATCTCCATCCATCACCATTCTCCACGCAGACCGTCAGTATTTCGCTTTTCGCTGCCGATTACCTAGGTATCCTTCTCATAATGAAATTGCTCACTCTCGGTTGGACCGCCGCACTTCTCGGCTTAGGTATGGGACCCTTACTCTCTATTGCCTTATCAATCTGGAGGTCCTGCCGACAGGCTGACCGGGTGAGCAGCATCCGCACAGTATGAGGCGATCAAATACTACGATTCAGACACCGGTATCACTTATTCCTCGATCACCCACTCAATCGGCGTGACCTACCGTGTCGCCATGCCAGCGAATTCGTCCACTTCGGACGCCATCGTTCAAATCGTATCACGAAAAGAATTCGCCTGGTGTGGTCTCGCGTGGGGAGGACACATGACCCAAAATCCGCTTTCCGTCGCATGGGCGACCGGTGCGCAGATCGGACAGAAGGCCATCGTGAGCAGCAGGATGGCATAGTAAGCATTCTGAGCCCGCCTTTCTCCAGAACGGCCCATTGATGATAACAACAGTGGCTACTACGCTGTTCCGCAACCATACGAAGGCGCGAAGTATACCTACCTCAAAGGCACAACGGCGAATGCCACGCATTGGCAAGTCACTGCTCGCTGCCAAGGCTGTACGCGCTGGAGCAGCGCCGATGGAGACTTCAACCTGCACAATGAGAACGAGGCGGTTCTGGCGTATGCATGCTCGAGTGTCGCACCAGATGAGCCCTCAAGCAACACCAGCACATTCAATATGCACGAGCAGTTTGGCATCTGGAGTCATAATCTGAGCTTTGCGAAGAACGCGAGCTTTGCGGACTGGATCAGGAAGAATCCGTACAACGGGACGGAGAAGAGGGAAGTTGTCGAAAAGAGGTTCTATGCTTGAGTGTCGACCACTGAATTGTAGACATTAGTACGACCAACCTAATTCATCCTCCAACCTTAACCACTTCCGAACAGCAATTATAACGGTGCTGCTTTCACTAATTCTACCCTTCCCGGTGCTCTTCCCATTCTTACTTCCATTCCCTTCCACTCTTTCCCCGTCACAGGCCTCAGCCCACTTACCCATCGCACCTTTCCCTCCCCTTCCTTCTCTCCCTCAGTGTTTACAGGAAACTTCGCGTTTGCTGCATAATATCAGTCTTCTCGTCTCTACTACAATCTTACTGCAAGTTTACTCACCTAGTCCAAACGGCCTGAAATTGTGATATATATTCTCCCAATGGCCCGCCGGAGCCTCATAAACCTCATGCCCAATCCCGATATGTTTATACTTTGCTCCCGCACCGCGATCCCACCACAGCCAGCCCTTCATGTGCGCTTCTGAGTGCGCGAATGAGTGCAGTCCGTCGAGCGTCTTCCAGTAACTGATAAACACCATTGTTTTGCCCTGGTCGTCGCCGTTTCGAGGTCCGTACGTTTCTGATTTGTCTTTCTCGACCACGAGCGGAGGCATGTTGCCTTTGAATGGAGTCAGGACTCTGAGACATGGAGTGAGTGATCCGAAAATCAATACCTACCTAGATAACCGTATTTTTCTCTCTGTGCATTTGCATCACGCCACATCTGCCTGAAATACTTTCCTATTATCGGTGAACCATGCGAGAACGCCCCGTTCGGATGCGAAAACGATACACAGAGCAAGAGGATAACGATCGTGTCCTGGGAAGGCTTGACTGCATCCGTACCGTCGGCAGACGGATACTGTGAAGTTGAACGCCCGTAATTCACGCCATCTGTTAGCGGGTTATGAAGGTATCCTGTCGCCTGGAGATAGCCGCGCAGGGCTCTGAATGCAAGAAGAAGAATCGGAGGGAGGAAAGCGATGTTTCTGGGGAGCGCTGCTAGAAGAAGGCACTGAAGAGTACCGCCTAGCAGTAACCAGGTCGATATTCTATAGTCACTCGGTTTGAACAACCTTATAATCAGTGGGAACCGGTGACGTGCGGGTTTTGAAGCTGGAGATTTCGGCGTCGACATGGTGGGGCTTTGTTTGAGAGAAGAGGGAGGTGAGGCTGAAGAGTAGGTGGAGTAAATGAAACCCCGCGGGATGTAGCGTACAGCTTCAATATGAATTCAAGGTGGAAAAATACTTAATAATGGGTTACGATGCTGGATCGTGCTTATCTAGTACCTTAGCTCCCAGCTCTCGTACGGGAAGTCGTACGTGGCGCTGTGGCTGCGAAATTAGGACTAAGAACCCAAGACCGGGCGTACGCATGGATGATGCTTTGATGTATTGCATATTACAAGCTTGAAAATGGTTGTATGTGTTTGGCGTTTAAAGTCTGCTAAGAAGTGCTCTGATTGTACAATATCAGTGTATCTTGGCGTGCAAGGGATATCGCTGATGAAGTGCCCACCTGCCACCAGTGGACGAAACCTGGAATTTGCATCACACCCGCCCGTATCTGCGAATTCGTGAGCGCATAAAACACTCGTTGGTATAAACATGTTGTTCACAATGTTGTTCTGCTTTTACCCCTATGGTACTTACTACCTCACTCCTGCCACAATTGAAGGGAGTCCATGTCACCGCCGTCACGTGATCAGGATGTGGGAAGAGACCAGTTGACTGCTCGGTCAAAGGTCGAATCATAACTGTTCTCTTCAAATGTCCCAATCGTTCTGTCCTTATCGAATACTGTGCAAGGCAGAACTGGGTTTCCCGCCCGAAGCTTCCACATTGTGGTTGGACTGCGCCGCACGCTCCCGACATTTCATGTTTGACGGTGAAATCGATTGGCTCTCGTTGACCTATTTCCGTGAGCGTTTGCTGCCCTGCAAACAGTACCACATAGATACACAAGCGGTAGCCGCTCACTGCGCCACACACACCGCCTTGTCACGGAGCCCAGTTTATCAACTCACCTATAAATGCTGCTGGAAGTACTCCATACTCAATACGCCAGCACTTGTCTTCGAGCAACTTCTTGACAGTACTCGTTACAAACGTCCCAGTCACAATATCACAGATGTGCTTGTCCCTTCTAGCCTGCTTTGGAAAGACATCCAGCAGAAGCAAACACAACACCGATCCTGAGAAGGTCCACCTACTACGGCCTCCTACCCCGCAGATGTCTCCCCAGCATATCGCCAACCAAATCATTGATGTCCTACTTCGCGCGCGGCGTTCTGAGAAGGATAGCCTCAATTCGACCACGAGTTCGCTCGCCTCTCCCTCCCCCGCCGGGACAGTATCTGGACCGATTGGCACGAAGAACTGGTACTCTACCATCGCCGAATATGTCCTTCACGGCATGGAAATTGCCATCGAGAAGGGCTTGACGTTCGGACAAGCAATGGAGTCGGCTGTGGAGCGAGCGCGTGTAGGAGCCGAGGAGTTCGTACGCGAGCATCCGATCTGGGCGGGTGTCATTCTCACCGTGATTGCACTCGGCGCGTTGTACTTGCTCGCTCCTTGGATCATTGAGGCTCTTGGGTTTACTGAGTTGGGTCCTCTGGCTGGTACGTTGATCGAGAGATATACGGTAAATTAGCTCAGTGTCCTGACAGTTGGCAGGGACTTGGGCGGCAAGCTGGCAAAGCTCTATTGGCAATGTCGAGGCGGGCAGTTTCTTTGCCTTTCTGCAGAGACTCGGAATGGTGGGCTTGCATGGAGGGTCGAAGTTGTGAGGTCGTGTCGGTCTCTCACTGCGCTCGTATCTGCCTTGGCTGCGTCTGAGAAAGCAGGTCGGAAGACTAATCCCAGGGGGCGATCAATCTACAGTGAAGTTTCCAACACTTATGGTTGGCCATGTGGGACAAGGTTGTAGTCGTCACAGGAGGATTGAGAAGCACCTCAAAGGACTATCAGCTTTCAAACCGGCTCAATCAAAGGAGAACGTCATGGGTTTTAGGAAAGGTTTCCTAGTATATTTCTTGCACTCCAACCACATCAATATATACAGCTCTCTCTATCCAGCCTAAGGAATGTTCTCTCCCTGCAGCCTGCAAAGTGGTCTTCCCCTCTCCAACTGATTCTGATTGCAAGTCAACCTGCTATCCTCGATGCAGGTCAACTGTCCGCCACCTGAAACCGGGCATTAGCATCAAACATTCTGCATCACCAAATCATATCCAAGTCCTCTACTTACATCCTCGAGAGGCAGATGGTACACAGCGTCCGCTCTGGCCATTGACGAAGCAGACGTCCTGCTTCAGAGATGTATTTGCAACGCAGCAGTTGCCAGTTGGTACGGGGCGGTTGGCGTTTTGAGGGCTGGGGGCGGCGAGCGCCAGGGTGGCGAGGGAGAAGATGGCGAGGGCGAAACGCATGTTGATGTTATGGGTGAACGTGTGAATGGTTGTACGGTGATGGTTGAGAAAGGTTCAAGGGAGTGGAATTGCGGAAGAATGGGTATCAGAGAATCACCGGCCTGCGGTAGAACGAAGTGAAGGTTGAGCAGAGATGGGAGGAAGCGACTGATGATGAACAACAGAAGGCGGTCGACTGCACTCTCTTTATATAGAGGAGTTGCCCGAGTGCATAGGAAGAGGAGGCGTTTACTACAGATCGAGAACAATAAGCGCGTGTCATGTTCTCCCATAATACCAGGGTCACATGGAGGTGCGGGAATTCTTGCAACCAGCATATGCGCTATGGAGAAAGGCTTTCAGTCTCCGCTGGGACTGGTGCCACAGAAGAATGTTCTGAAGCTGTTCGAACTTCATGCGTAAAGGCTCACGATGCGCAGATCATACACTCCTCCAGGCGAGCGTCAGTGCAGAGCGACTCCTAAGCGGAATGCTCCCCATATTGTTTCAAGTCGGCGCGAATGTTTTGCGTAACGCGAAGAAAGGACATAGAAAAATCGGCAATACAACTCGTGAAAATCCACCACCTTACGGGTAACCGAGACAACGGAGATGTTCGCGCCCTCAGCCTCGATTTCTTCTGGCGCATTGATTTCAGCATCTCCCGAGGGTCTGTTTGCCTTCCTTTCTGTTCTGAGAGCAACTTTGGTGAGACATGGAAATGCGGCATGATGAAACTCCTGAACAAGGCGAAACAAATGGCTTGAAACGCTAGTCTACAGACTGCACGAGAGAAGCTTGAAGCGAGGCGCGTCAGCTTCCAGTGTCGAAATGGTGGTTCGAATATCACAGGCATCCCATTTGCAGGCAGGCAAAAAGATTTATTTTGGAGAGACGAGTGCATGATGGTTGACGGCACGAAAATGCCGATGTTGGCAGAGTTGAAGGTTGGGCCGATGCCGAAAGCAGATTGGAGTAGGGCCCGCAATCTCAACGTGGGTGAGGACGAGTAGTTCTAGCTTTTAACTCTGCAGTTGCTTGATCGATTACTCTACTGCCCTACCTTTATTGCGAGTCTGAAATCGTGGATACCGTAGGGTACCCAGGGTAGACTTGTTGTCCCCGTTTATCCCCACGGACCCCAGCTCCTTATTACCCTACCGTGACTAATCGCGTAATGGACGGCCTCGCGTAATGCACGGTTCTCACTGGTTTTGAGCACCTACTTTTGAGGCTATAGAGCCTAATATAGATTGTAATATCACGAGATTTTGAGTAGAGGAGGACTATTGAGTTCGGCAAATCCTATTTTGTGATCAAATCACATGCGATAGCGTTCTGGCACCTTAATTTGCCTGCCACGACGGCTTGATGGCCCCAAGACCACTACTACCTCTGGAACAGTTTCCTTTTCCTCTGTATCCTTTTGAGCTTGAACTGTTGGCTTGATAACCTTCTTCTGAGGCTTCCTGGTGGGTTTAGACTCAATTTGAAGCTATTGATTTGCCTTACGGGCTATAATATCCTCCTGCTTTTGATGCCACTTGTCCTCTATCTGCTGTAGCTGGAGCTCCTTTGCAGTAGCCCTTGTTCATCATCTCTCCTCCTGAAGCCGCTCCTTCTCAGCCTTCTTCTCTTCACGGAGGATTCTATCTTTCTCTTTTTAAAGTCTTTGAGACTCTGCTGCTGCTTCTTTTTGAGCTTGGTGATCATGAGCTTGTTGTACCTTATTAGGACTCCAAAAGATGGCTCCACCCTCACTCTGAGTAGGAGCTGCAAGTTGGAGAGGCTTGCCACGCTGCTGTCACTTCTTCTCCTTCCTAATAGCCTGCTTAAAGCCATCAACCTCTGTTGTAAGGAGCTGAGTTTGAACTGTAAGTGCCTGTATTGACCTGCCAAGCTTCCGTACCCGGCAGTCATCCATATTGTCGATGACTTCCTCAAGAAATGCTCTGACCTTCTTCCAATCGCTAGCACTGAGTACTGAGGTCGAAGATTCTGAACTAGATGGCCTATCTGGCTACTTGGTATTGAACTTATCAAGGATTACGGATGGATTAAAAGGCTCAATCCCAGTACTCTTAAAGGCCGAGGTGATGAGATTTGATGTAAACATCTTCTGCCAGGCCTTATTGAATAAGCGGAAGAAGTCACACTTAGTTATAGCCATGAGGCCTTGCGATTAATAGAGTAATCCAGCTAGTTCTTGGCTATAGGTGGCAGATAGAGGTCGGAAGCAGCAGACATCGAGAGGTTGTAAGGAATGAGTGGAATGAGGAGGATAGAGGCATAGGAGGATCTTGTTGTTATCGCAGTAGTCAATGAAGCTCATTGTAAGGTGGGATCCATGGCCGTTGAGCAGGAGCAGCCGATAAGCATTCCTGGCTTTGGATCGAGTCAACTTATTGAAGAGTTTGATCCATTGGAGGCTTATCTTGTGACGGCTCAAGGCTCTGCTCGGCTGAACCACTTGATTGTGTGGTTGCCTTGATCAGTCACATGGCTCAAGTCATATGATTGTTCCTTTCATCATCCTATCTTTTCTGCACTGGCCTTCTGCCAAGCCAACCGCTCACTTAACGAGCGCACTCAGTGTATATAGATCGTGCGGTGGAAGCAATCCTTTGCTCTCCACCTTTGGATAGCTTGAAATAGATCTCAACCTACCCAGCCATTCTCCTTTGTCTCACGCAGTTGCAGTACAGGCCTCGGAGATCCAGCCGCTCGTGGAGACCCAGGGACCATCCTCACATATCTTATCGTTCGTCCAGCCACTTGGAGATGAGGTAAAGAAGGATTGAAGGATTGAAGGATCAAAATCTTGTAACCATGTATCCTAGATATTGCCTGAGGTCACCTGATAGATGAGAGCTAGCGGTAGGAAGGTCCCATCTGCACAGATACAGACAATACTAGTTATCCACTCTCGGTTGCCATCCTGGATAAACTGACGAATCTTACCCTCCTCAAATTGGGCTTTAGAGAAGATCCTCTTCGTTTTTGATAGTATACCAATAAGGAAACCTTTCTCATCCATGTTGTAGATAAGGAACAGTTGAATCTTGTATTGTTTAATCTTGGCCTCCAAAAGCTTGAAATATAATGAGTATTTGAAGGCAGAATCAGCCCATTTTTGGGCTATATCCATGCCCTCAATGTACTTGGATACCAGGTCAAATTGATGCTGTTTAATAAAGTGATCCGCTCAGCACTTTCCAACAAGCTTTTGGGCGATTTCAGCCATGAAATTATGAACCATGGACCTAGTCGGCGGTAGGCCTTGCTCAGATAGCTGATCAATATATTGGATAAGCTCGCTTTCTTGAACAGGTATGAGAAGTTGCTGATTTTGATGTTTCTCTGCATGGGGATGGGTTATTCCTCGCCAACGCCTCGACAGTGTCGAGCATTGAACACCAAATTTTGCTGCAGTTTGAGTTAAATTGATCTTTCCTCTATCTTTTTGCACTTCTAAGTGCTGCTAGCACATCCTCGATAGCTCCCATATTAGTGGAGATAAAGGGTGTTGAAATTCGTGTGTAGAAAGGCTCGGCCATGCATTAACGTCAGCGACCGGCTCGTGCACGGGACCGGCTCGTGCACGATTTTGGCTACACCGCCAAAAATCAACCCCATTTTCAACCAGCTATATCTCAACCAATATGGGCGATATTGAGGCAGCTATTGCAGCGGCGGAATCGTAAAAAGAAGGAGAAAAAGTCAATATCACACAGATCATGAAAAAATACCGTGTTAATCAGTCAACTCTCTCGAGGTGGCTGCATGGAATTACTGGATCAAATGCGGCCGGCTATGAACAACAATAAAATCTTAGCGCTACTCAAGAACTATGGCTTGTAGAGTATATTGAAAGCCTTTCAAGGTGTGGGCTACCTCCTACGATACAAATGATTCGAAATTTTGCCCAAGAAATTGCTAGAAAGCCAGTAGGCAAGTGTCAGATTTGATGATATCTGAAGATGTCACGGTGACAGAAAGATTGAATGAAGATGGGTTGACTGATTGTATTC